GTGTCTGGGAATCCAGTGGGAGTGCCTTAGAGTCATTGTTGTCTTTATACCAGCACTAACAGCCAGAGATGCCCTGGCCCTCACTGTATGTAGGGTCCTTGGTGCATGTCAACCTTCTAAACTTGATGACAGGAGCCAGCAAACCAAGGCCCCCCGCCCTGGCCCCCAGCCCCCTGCCCTCGCTTGTTTTTGTGAGTAAAGTTTTATTGGAACACAGTCATGCTCATTTGTTTGCACATGGTTCCGAGGCTGCTTTCCTGCTTTTTGACCCTTTGCACAAGACGTTTGCTGAACCCTGAGCGAAAGGGAGGTGATGTTAGGAGAAAAATTCTCAGAGAGGGACCGCTGTATTCACGGTTGTGAGAACCAGCATTTGAACCCATCACCCGGGTTTTTTTATTTTTAAAATTTTTCCTTGTTTTTAGCCGCGGCTGGTGTGGCTCAGTGGCTTGAGCGCTGGCAGGGCCTGCAGACTGAAAGATCGCCCTTTCGATTCCCAGCCAGGGCACATGCCTGGGTTGTGGGCCGAATTCCCCGGTTGGGGGCGTGCGAGAGGCAACCGATCAATGTCTCACACACGGATGTTTCTCTCCCTCTTTTTCTCCCCCCTTCCCCATCTCTCTAAAAATAAATAAATGAGATCTTTAAAAAAAAATAAAAATTTGCCTCGTTTTTAATTGCGGTGAAATGCTGATAACATACATTCGCTATTTAAGTAGTTTTAAAGCACCCAGTTCGGTGGCGTTAAGTATGTTCACACCGCTGTGCAACCACTGCCCGCTCCCCCACCCACGGAGCTCTCTCCATCCTGTAAAACGGAAACGCTGTCCCCGTGAAACCCTAACTCCCCATCCCATCCCTCGCCTACCCTCCGGCCCCTGCTCACCACCGTTCTCCTTTCCGTCTCTGTGAATTTGACGACTCCAGGCACCTCCCATACAGAAGCACGACCATACATTATTTGTCTTTTGTGACTGTCCTGTGTCGCTTGGCATGATATCTTCATGGCTCATCCTTGCTGCCGCATGCATCAGAATTCCCCCCTTTTTTGAGGCCGAATAATATTCCCCCACCTGTAGGTGCCATGTGTTGATTATCCGTTCACCCACCGACGGGAACTTGGGTCACCGCGCCCACGCTCCTGACCACTTTTTCTCACGGGAGGTTTTACCTGCATGAGGAAGAAACCGTTCTTCAAGAACAGAGACAAGGCAGATGAACAAAAAGAAAAAAAAAAGTCACCCATCATGCTGTCTGGCAGAGACCTCACACACAATATTATAGCGTTTCTTCTTTTGCTCTAAAAATATGCACGTTCCTCTGGCCGGATGGCTCAGTTGGTTAGAGCACCGTCCCATTACGCCAAGGTTGCAGGTTCCATCCTCGGTCAGGGCACATCCAAGAATCCACCAATGAATGCATTGATAAGTGGGGCAACAAATTGATCTCTATCTCTCTCCCCCTACAATCTATCAATAAAGAGTTATAAGAAAAAAAAATAAAGACACGCACATTACTATATAAACTTAAAAAGGAGAGTCACCTGTATTGGTGCTTAAGGGAGGAACTCATGGATGTTCTTAAATGTTTGAGCCTCATCAAGTTGTAGACAAAGTCTGTCCTGAAACATGTACAGACGAATGAACTTTTACTTGCTGTGTCAGGGGATCTGTGAGGGACCCTGTGTGTCTTGCGGCTGAATTCCCAGTGTCTAGTTCTGGGACACAGCAGGTGCTCGTTAAATAATGGTCTAGAAGGAGCGTAGGGGTAGGAATAGGAGAGAGTAGGACCACTCTCCTACTGATAGACATTGAAGTTGATTTCATTGATGTCTCGTGTGCTGCCATGGCAGAGAGACAGGGCTGTGAGGAACATTTCCCGATTTGTGTTTCTTTCCCAATGATCAATTCGTTGTGTAAATTCCTCCAAGGGGAAGGCTGGGTCAAAGGTGTACACAGATGGTTTTGCCATGTACCAGAAAGGCCTCTTGGAAAGGCTGTACCAATGGGCACTCCCATTAATAGGTGTGAGTACCTGTTTTTCCACATCCTTGCGAACACTCACTATTATTATTCTTTTGCTCTGCCAATCTGATAGGTGAAAAATACGTTGTCATTATCTTAACAAACATTTCTTTGATTCCCAGTGCGTCTGAATAGTTTCATTATGTTTGTTAATTTCCTTTGCAAATTGCCCATCGTACCCTTTGCCTATGCTCCCCTTTCCCTGTAGGGGGTGAGCTTTCTTTTCTTGTTGATTCAGAAGAACTTTTTACACTTGGTGGGTACAACTCTTTGTCATTTTGGTGGGTAAAAGGAGCCAGAAGTTAAGAGAGGGGCAGTCGCTGCTCAAGGTACACATCTGAGAAGAGGTGGATCAGGAGTTTGAAACAAGATCCATTTAGCCATGTCTGGGATTCTTTTTTTATTTTTTTTTATTTTTAAAAAAATTTATTGATTTTTAGTGAGAGAGGAGAGGAGAGAAAGAAACATCAATTTGTTTTTCCATTTATTTATGCATTCATTGGTTGATTCTCCTATGTGCTCTGGCCAGGAATCGAACCCTCAGCCTTGGCGTAGGGGGGCGACACTCTAGCTAACTGAACTACCCAGACAGGGGCCCTCTCTGGGGATCTTTGCCACAACCTCATGGCACCTTGCCCTTTCTCTGGCTTTGCCCCTCCATGGCCCAGGAGCCCTGAGTCCCCACAGCCTCAGAAATGGGAGAGGCCTCTCCCCAAACTCAGCCACCCTTCCTACATCCCGAGCAGCAAACCTATTTATTCTTTAGTGTGTTGTGCAGCTGAAATACTTGGTACGTATTAGGTAGTCAATACATAGGATCTGGTATTATTGCTTTTATTTTTAAAAAAAGATTTATTTATTTATTTATTTTGAGAGAGGAGAAGGGAGGGAGAAAGAGAAGGGGAGAGAAACATCAATGTGCGGTTGCCTCTCGTGCTCCTCCCTCACTCCCCACTGGGAACCTGGCCCGCAACCCAGGCGTGTGCAACCCAGGCATGTGCCCTGACTGGGAATCCGACCGGGAACTCTTTGCTTTGCAGGCTGGTGCTCAATCTACTGAGCAACACCAGGGAGGGTACTTTATTTTTATTTTTTAAAATTTCCTCTTCTGCCACATGTCTTGCCAGCTGCCTCCCCCTTCGAGCCAACTTTCTACTGTCCCAAACTTCAGTTACTCTCAAAGCAAGTTCCTTATGACTCCTAGCTTGTCCACATGCTATTCCGCCTCTCTCTCTGGTCTACTTGAAGAACTACTACTCATACTTCAAAACCCTGTTTAGGTTTTCCTTCCTCTGACTCCTAGGCTGAGTTTCTTTCTTTCTTTTTTAAAGATTTTATTTATTTATTTTTAGGGAGGAGAAGGGAGGAAGAGAAACACCAATGTATGGTTGCCTCCTGCGTGCTTCCTACTGGGACCTGGCCCACACCTAGGCATGTGCTCTGACTGGGAATTAAGCCGGCGATCCTTTGGTTCTCTGGCCGGCACTCAATCCACTGAGCCACACCAGCCAGGACTGAGTTTCTACTTATAGATCCTGGGTCCAGGGCGGTTGTGCTCCCTTTGAGCTTTCCAGGGCACGACACAAGTAAGACAAACCTCTCCAAGGGGGAAAAAAAATCATTAGCTCAAAATTATAGAAGCTCTGGACCAAGGTGAACACATTTCATTCCATAGCTAGAAAACAAAACACTACATCGACTTTATTGTCCAAGCCAATATTCAAAAACCTCTTGGGACAGTTAAAAACAATTTGTCAGTTAGATATTTCTCACTTCAAAGAATTCTCAAGTATGTCTGTCGATTGCTGACTAACCCCATTCAATCATAAATTAAACAAAGTATTGTGGCCAAATAATTTCCAAAACAAAATTGCAAAAATCTTTAGTGTTGTTTTTCTTTTTAGTCAGCTTTATCGCAGTATAATTTACACGCAATAAAATTCACTATTTTTAAGTGAATTTCCATTTCTGATGAGAAATGGAAATCTGATCAGATCCACATCTGATCATGCTCTGATGAGATGTGGCAAATGTGTGTAGTCAGGTATATAATCACCAGTAGGGTGAAGACAGGGACTATTTTCAAAACCCCCAAAGGTTCCCTTCCCAGAAATCACTTCCCCCATGCCCTCTGCCCCAACCACTAATGTTCATCCTTTCATAGAGTATTGTTTTTCATGCAATGTCACGTAACTGGAATCATACAGCGTCATTCCTTGGCATCTGGCTACGTGGTCCCTTAGATCCGTGAGTCAAAACACCCAGCCCCTCCTCCCTCAGACCCAGGGGTCCGGGCCCCCAGCCCCTCCTCTCTCAAACCCAGGACTGTGGGAACCCCAGGCTAGTAGGGCTGGTTTCTGAGCATCAGAACTCTAAAATTCAGTCATAGAGTCTATGAGGAAGGTAACATTTTATTTATTTATTTGTTTGTTTTCAGAGAGCGGGAAGGGAGGGGGAGAGAGAGGGGGAGAAACATTGCTGTGAGAGAGAAACATCGATCTGTGGCCTCTCGCACGCGCCCCGACCGGGACGAACACGCAACCCAGGCAGGTGCCCTGACCGGGAATCAAACCCGCGACCTTTCAGTTTACCGGAGGTCGCGCCAACGAAGCCACACAGGCCAGGGCGAGAACACAGTTTCAGACGAGGGAAATGACTGCTATAGTTGAGAGACCACCTCCCTCCCGCCACCCGCCCTCGCCCCTCGCCCCGCGCCCGGCGCTCTGAGTAACAGTCCTGAAGTGGCAGCTGCAGGATTGGAATCCCGGTTTCATTCCAGAACCGCGCTGAGCGGGGCTGTAGAACGAGCGTGACGTCATCCCAGCAGCGCGTAGGCCCCGCCCCAAACCTTCTCCTAGCCCGTGGCCACGCCCCACGCCTGTAAACTACCATTCCCAGCAGCAGTAGCGTCCCGGCCCATCCTCAGAGGCCCTGGAGGCCCCGCCCACGTTTGTCCAGCCCCGCCCCTCCCAGGAAGCCACCAGTTTAAGCCGCGATCGCTCTTCCCCACGTGGATCCTAGGCTCCGCGCTCCCGGGAGCGACTCGGGTGGCTGATTTGCGGGCGGCCTCCCGCTGGGTCCTGCTCCGGTCCGGCATGAACCGCTATCTTGTGCCGGTGTCCCTGCTGGGCACGGCGGTGGGTGGCGCTGTGCTGCTCAGGTGAGTCCGTCCTGGCCCCGGTCGTCAGCCTAGGGAGGGAAGACCGGGTGGAAACCACCAACTCTGCCCACCAACTCACCCCAGAGAACGTGGGGACAAACCTAAGCCCCGAGATGGCAGGTCACCGCCAAGGTCACCCCGAGGAAGGGGCGGTTCCGGGCCCTTGTAAACATTTTGATCTAGTTGCTTCCGGACTTTTAATGGATGAATTAGTCCATTCAGCAAATATTTAATAAGCAGTTCCCCTATGCCACCGGCGGGCCAGGTGCAAGGAAAATATATGCCGCCTAACCTTTCTTATCCAAAATTACAGAAACAAATAGAATTGTCTAGCTCGGCAAACGAAAAGCTCGTATTGCATGGGATGTATACGTGGTTGTCTTTTCTAGGCGAGTTCACTTAAAAACAAAACAAAACAAACAGCTAGCAAATATCCTATAGCAGCACTGTTCGGTACAACTTTCTGTGTTGACGGAAGTGCTTGTGTTTGTGCTGTGCATAATGGTAGCTGTGTCCTGTGGCTGCTGGGCACGGAGAGTGTGCTCAGGTTATGCTGAGAGTTAACAATATGCAAAGAGTTCTTACAATTAAAAAGAGAGGATTAGCCATATGTAATTTTATTAGTCATACAAGAAAAGACGTTGGCTGGGAGTTTGACCAGAAAGCAATTGGAACTGAATTATTATTATTTTTTAAAGAGCATGAAGGATAGACTGTAAATCTCTTTGAGTAATTACCTTTGGTTTTATCTGCTGTATGATGGGCCTTCATTTTGAACTTGTTCCTTCTGATCTGATGTCTTTGTCGTCTAGTTGGCTGGTATGTTGTTATTTATATTTATTAATTTATGAAACTACCCTGAAATATGAACTAGCTTTTTGGGAAAGCTCTAGAAAGTGGAATAAATGATATAAAGTGATTACAATAAAATTCATTGGCCACTGTTTTTATTTTTATCATACTGTTGTCTTTCACTTCAGAAAAAGCTAAACAATACAATAAAAATGAAAAAAACTGAGTACCTGGTAGAGAGGGAGTATGACTATTTATTTTTCCTTTTATACTAGGTGTTTATTTGTATGCCGCTGCCAGTGTACATAAAATAATCATCCTTGTGAAATAGAAATTCATGAAAACGCGGAGAGGTAGATGTTAAGGACCGACAGAAGCAGATTTCTGTAGAGTGAGGCATGCATTACACGGATGAGCTTTTTGTACAGGCTTCAAATTTAGCTCTCTTTGAATATCCGCTTGTTCACGAAAAGTGGTTGAGAACGCCTTCAAAGATTCATTTCATTATAAAAAGGAACAGGCTTTCTGGGGTCCGAAGGGATTGGTCCTTGAAGAGGCTCCAGTCAGCAGGGGTCAGGTTGAGCACCCTGCGGACAGAATTGTTTCGGATCTGCAGCCGCCTGGGTAACCTTCACCAGGTGCGCACAGCCTCCAGCCCGAGCTGTTGAACCACTTTCTTCATAGCGGTGATGCTTGGAGGAGCCAGACACGGTGCACGCAATAGTTGGGCCGATTTGTTGGTAGTGGGTCCATGGGGCAAGGAAGCCTATTTTTAAAATTTTTTATTTATTGCTTTTTTTGGGGGGGGGAGAGAAAGGGAGAGGAGGGGGGCTGGGAGAGAGGGAGAAATGTTGGTTGAAGGAAAATATTTATTTTTAGAGAGAGGGGAACGGAGGGAGAGAGGGAGAGAAACTTTGATGTGTGAGAGACATCCATTCGTTAACTACTGCACGCGCCAACTGGGGACTTGATTCTCAACCCAGGCATGTGCCCTGACTGGGACTCGAACCAGCAACCTTTTGGTTCACAGGCCACTCAGTCCACTGAGCCACACCAGCCAGGGCAACACTGACTTTGTTGTTCCACCTATTCATACATTCATTGGTTGATTCTTGCATGTGCCCTGACAGGGGAGCGAACCTGAAACCTTGGCTTCCCGGGGCGATGCTCCAACCAACGGGGCCAGGGCCGTGCTGTTTATTTTGAATTCGTTTCAGTTAAACAGCCTCAGGTGGCTGGTGGCTACAATGTCGGACAGTGCTCTTCTTGTGTGTGGAGGTGGCCTTGTTTATTTGGCCAGTCCCCTATGGGTGACATTTGGTCCAGCTTTTAGGCTCTGGGTATTATGGATCTAGTAGCCGCCTCATGGCCCCCCACGGTGCACACATCCTAGTGCTCAGAACCCGCTGACACTGAGTTAGCGACCTTGAGATGGGGAGATGCCCCTGGGTTGTCCTTGTGACTTATATCACAGGAGTCCTTATAAGAGGGAGGCAAGAGGGTCTAGTCAGAGCCTTGAAAGGTGAGGAAGGGGCCGTGAGCCAAGGAACGAGGCGGGGGTATAGAAGCTGGAAACGGTGAGGGAACTGATTCAGCCCCGCGAGACCCCCTGGGGAGCCTGACCCGCGCAACTGGAGGAGGAGAGCTCACTTGCCTGAGTTTAACCATTTGCTACAGTAGCCGCAGGAAGCAAATGCAGCGGCTCTTTATAAAACAATGGTGGTCACGGCCTGGAGGCTTCCTCACACGAGGCTGCCCTTCACCTGCAACGTGACAGTGGCTTCACGGAATTATGCAATGTCACTTCCTTCTTTCAGGGTGTGGATCGCAAGCTCAGAGGGGTCGCTGGCCCGGGATGGAAGGAGCCGGGGCCACCCGTGGTGAGCGGACAGACGCGTGGAACTCACCGTGCGGTTTCTTGCCTGCAGGGACTATGTTGCCGGCGGGGCCTGTCCAAGCAAGGCCACCATTCAGGGGAAGACTGTCATCGTGACGGGTGCCAACACTGGCATCGGGAAGCAGACCGCCATGGAGCTGGCCCGGAGAGGTGAGGGCCTCGTGGCGGGGGTGTGGGGGGCTGGGGGGCCACGGGGACGGGACCAGGCAGCGCAGGGGGGCGGATACAAAACAGTCACGGGGATGTAAAGCCCAGCAGAGGGAACAGGGTCACTGGTATTGTAAGCGGTCTCTGGTGTCAGGTGGGCACTAGTGTCAGCTGTCTTTGGGGGAAAACCAGGTGAGGCCCGGCATTCTCTGTTCAAGGCTCGGGTGTGAGGCTGGCAGCGGAGGGTGGATTTCGTGGGATGTCAGGTCGTTGGATTCTTTTCGTTCCAACTCACACGCGTCTAAGCCCTGGGAGAGGGTGGGGGTGTTCAGGGTCTCGGCGGGGACGAGGTGATGGGGACGAGGTGATGGATTTCCTCTGCGTTGGCCTCTCTCTCTCCTACTGCAGGTGGATCCAGCCCTCGTGGCTGGCTCGGGGCCTGGGTCAGAGGTCAGGGGCAAGACCTGGCTTCAGGCGCTTCTGGGTGCCCTTGGATTTGGGTTTCTTCGATGTTTTTCTCAAGGTCCAGATGGGGTTTTGGAGGAATTCCTTGGGGGAGAGAGGCCCTCCTCAACGCTGGAGGATCCCGTCTGATGTTAGAATTAGCGGGGCTTGGAGCGGGGGAGGGGGAGGTCACGTGCGCGATAGGGCGGAGCCAGGTTTTTGGTTTCAGCAGCTGGAAGGCCTGCGCGGGGCAGCCAGGGCGGGAAGGTGCGGCTGGGGTGAGGGCCAGCGGGCAGCGGAGGCTTCCTCTGGGCTTGCTGAGGGGTGCAGGCCAGGGCCTCGGGCCGCTGACGGCCAGGCCGGAGCTGCCTGTCCACCCCTGCGGTCAGCGCGGTGCGGGGCGGTGCAGGGGCTGAGCCCCTGACCACGTGAGGCTCCCCCAAGGGAGACACTGCTCCTCCCAGGAAAAGGTGAGGAGGGGAATTGGGCAGACACACCCACTGCTGTCCTGGGGACCCCGCTGTCACTAGGAGGACACGCAGATTGGGGGGTCCAATGAGTCTGCTTCCGGCCATGTGAGGGGGCAGCGGGATGTGGAGGGGGCAGCTGGGTCCCCTGTGGGAGGGATAAGCCACACACATCCTCATGGACCTCAATCTGTTTCCTGTTCTCACTTGTCTAATTTTTTTTTAAACTTATTTTTACAGACATACTAACAAGTACATTTTTGCAGATGTACTAGCAAGTACCTAAAATGAAATAAAATAAATAAATAAAATCTTAAAAAAAATAAAGTATACACTTCCAGGATTTTTAGTATATTCGGAGTTGTGTAACTGCTGCCACTTTCAATTAGAACATTAAAAAAATATTTATTTATTTTTAGAGAGGGGAAGGGAGGAAGAGAGGGAGAGAAACATCAATGTGTGGTTACCTCTCATGTGCCTCCCACCGGGGACCTGGCCTGCAACCCAGGCATGTGCCCTGACTGGGAATTGAACCGGCGACCCTTTGGTTCACAGGTTGACACTCAGTCCCCTGAGCCAGACCAGCCAGGGCTCAGTGAGAACATTTTTACCACCCCAAAGTGAAACCTTACTTCCCTCAGCCTCCCCCTGTTCCCCACGCCTCTGTAGGAAACCATGAATCTTCCTTCCATACATTTGCCAGTTCTGGACATTTCATAGACATGGAATCATATGCTATGTGTCCTCTGCTGTGTGGCTTCTTTCACTCCGCATCATGGTCTATGTTGTAGCGTGTGTCAGGGCTTCCTTCCTTTTTCTTGGCTGAATAATGTTCCACTGCAGGGACAGACCATGTTTTGTTTTTCCGTTCATCCATTGATGGACACTGGGGTTGCTTCCACCTCTGGGCTGTTGTGAACAGTGCTGCTGTGAACATGTGTGGTCTGCATTTTTGTGCTTGCTTCTGTTTTCATTTGTATCGGGTATGTACATACCTGGGAGTGGATCTTCTTTTTTTTCCGTTGATTTTTTTTCTATCCTGGGCTTCCAGGAGGCAACATCATCCTGGCCTGTCGAGACATGGAGAAGTGTGAGGCGGCGGCAAAGGACATTCGAGGGGAGACCCTGAATCACCATGTCAACGCACGGCACCTGGACTTGGCCTCTCTGAAGTCCATCCGAGAGTTTGCAAAAAAGATCATTGAAGGTAGGAGGGAGGGTGCTGGCTGTGTGGGGCGAGGTCTCGGGTGGCCAGGCTCTGAGGAGTATGGAATTGAGCCAGGCCTGGTCCCGCCCTGGCTGCTGTGGCTCAGTGGATTGAGTGCCGAACTATGAACCAAAGGGTCACTGGTTCGATTCCCAGTCAGGGCACTTGCCTGGATTGCAGGCCAAGCCCCCAGGAGGGGGCGCATGAGAGGCAACCACACACTGATGTTTCTCTCCCTCTCTTTCTCCCTCCCTTCCCCTCTCTAAAAATAAATAAATGAAATCTTTAAAAAAAACAAACAAGCCAAAAAACTAGGCCTGGTACTTGAGACCCACAAAGCCAAGGATCTTTACTGCCTGGTCCTTTACAGAGAAAGTTTGCTGACCCCTGCTCTGTAGGCACACGAGCTCCTGCATCAGCTTGGGTTCTGCAGGAGCCCGGCTGGGACTTGGAGGGGCGTTAGCCAGGGGAGAGGGGTAGAGACAGTGGTTCATTGTCCATTGTCTCCTGAGGCTTTCTCTCGAGTGACACCAGGGACACACAGATGAGTCAGGTTCAGGCTGCATCTCCAAGTAGCGCCCGGACATGGCGGTGACAATTCCTCCACCACTGGGGGACCCATGGGCACAGTGCAGAGTCCCCAGACCTCCCTCTTCTTTACTGGGTGTTTCTTTTCTTAAGTCCAAGGATCAGGCTTGGGGTTTTTCTGCACTTGTCACCTTGATTGATGATTCACTCATTTTGCTTCCCACCTGGTGTCCTCAGAACTGTTCACGTAGTAATTTTTTTGAATAGGAATAACATCGACAGTATTAAATGTTCAGAAAGAACAAAAGAGCAGGCAGCCAAATGTCTCCCTGCCGCGCCTGCCCCGAGCCCCCAGCCGCCTCCCTCACATGTGCAATGCCTGTATGTCCTACAGCGTATGCCTGCAGTAGGTCGGCAGGCGTTATCACCGCCCCTTGCTCTTCGCGGACAGATTGAGCCTGTGGTGCGCCCAGTGCTGCCCTGGCGCTTTCTCCCCAGTTCTCTCTTACAGATCAGTGCAGGCAGAGCTTCCTCGCTCTTGTGGCTACATGGCCTTTCTTTATTCTTTGCTTGTGGCTACATTGCATTTCTTTATGCTTTTCTTGTGGCTACCTTGTGTTTCATTGTGTGGCTCTGACAGGCTGGCCGTTTGGCTTCCAGCCTTTCTGGGGCGCTGTGAACGCCTGGCCTCGTGTATGTATTTTTTGTCCCGGGTAATGGTCTCTGCAGCTCTTGGAGACAGCTCCTTCCTCCTCACCCAGCTCCATGTTAGATAAAAGCAGGGAAGTCAGTTGGGAGACCAAGGGGCTGTTGCTCAGAAGAAGTGAACAAATAAACATTTAAGGCCGGTTTTTTTTTTTTTTAACCCCTAATGCAAAGAAATGCATGTTCCTTATGGAAATAAAATCCTGAACAGTAAAGAAGAACTGAACACCATTGATTCCACACCAACGCCAAGGGAGTCGCTATTAACCTCCCCCCACCTCCCCATATTGTGAAGCTTTCATTGTGAAAACATAGCTACTGCCTTTAAAAAAAGATTTATTTATTTATTTTTAGAGAGTTGGGGAGGGCGAGAGAAAGAGAGGGGGAGAGACATCAATGTGTGGTTGCCTCTCACACGCCCCCTGCTGGGGACCTTGCCCGCGACCCAGGCATGTACCCTGACTGGGAATTGAACCGGCGACCCTTTGGTTCATAGTCCACCACTCAATCCACTGAGCCACATCAGCCAGGGCTACTGCTCTTTATTTTAACAATACAAATTAATAACACTTAGGAAGGATTGCAGAGGGGGAAACTGAGTCACAGAGGCACTTTGTGACTTGGTTGAGATCTGCTCAAGGCAGAGGTGGGGATTTGAACCCCCGTCTGAAGGGCTCCACAACTTGTGTCCCTGACATCTGTACTACACCCCCTTCCCCACAAAGAACAAAATAGAGACTGTTTATTAGGTGCTAGATGACCAATTTATTTCTGTGGATCCTAAACACCACTTTGCGAGTGTTATGGAGTCGTTCACACCTCCCTCCACAAAGATGGGTCGGGGTCCTCCCTCCAGGACCTCAGGATGCAACCTGATTTAGAGACGAGGTCTTTATAGAGCTAACCAAGTGGAAGTGAGGTCCTTAGGGCGGGGCCCTAATCCGATCTGACTGGTGTCCTTCGAAGATAAGGAGGCTGGGACCCAGACACACGGCGGGAGGACCACGTGAGGACACAGGAACGGGACAGCTGTCTGCCCGCCAAGCGAAGAGGCAGGGAACAGATTCTATCTCACGGTCGCAGAGGAAAGCAGCCCCCTGACACCTTGATCTTGGACTTCTAGCCTCCAGAACCGGGGGATGATATATTGACTTCTGTTGTTGAAGCTGCCCAGCGTGTGGCCAGAAATCTGAGATCAGGCTGTGTGGGCTGAATCCCCCCTCGCCCCCCAGCGCCTGGTGGTGGCCGCCCACTCTGGCGTTCCTCAGCCCATCGCTGCGTCTGTCCACACTCCCTCCGTCCTGGCACCGTGGTCCCCTGTGTGCGTGTGTCTGTGTCCAAACTGCCCTTCCTTATGAGGACGCCAGGCACGTTGGATGAGGGCCCACCCTGTGACTTCATCTGTACTTGGCTACTTCCTCAAAGACTCTGTGTCCAAAGAAAGTTCACACGCACAGGTTTCGGGTGGACGTGACTGTTTGGGGGCCATTGTTGAGCCCAGCACAGGCCCGAAGAGGTCGTGTTTGCCCTGACCCCTGTCTTCCAGAGGAGGAGACGGTGCACGTGCTGGTCAACAACGCGGCCGTGATGCGGTGCCCACACTGGACCACTGAGGACGGCTTCGAGATGCAACTTGGCGTGAACTACCTGGGTGAGGCCGCGGGCTGGGCGCTGTTGGTGTCCACCTGGGACGTCAGTGGAGTCCCTAGTGGGTCAGACACAGGCTCTGGGAGGGGGTGGCCTCCTCCACTCTCCAGGTCAGCTGGGCGGCCACTGGCAGGGTCGTCCAGCAGCTCAGGGAGGTGCCCGTTCCTTGCTGGACACCCGGAAAGTCTTTGGGATCCTCCATCCATCTCTTGATCTTTTATCCCTTTGTCTGTCCTTCAGTCACTCTGTCAGTCTATCTGTTGTCACCCTGAATATATCTGGGTGACAATAGTAAGTGGCAGAGGGCAATGGGACCTATTGAATCAGGGCCCACCCTCATGACCTTACTTTACCTGACCTCTGTAAAGACCCTATCTCCAGATAAGGTCACATTCTGAGGTTCTGGAGGGGTGGACTTCAACGTATTTTTTTTTTGCAGGGAGTGGGGAGGCACAGCTCAGCCCTTAACACACATTACTATCATTCACGTCCTATTGGCTGGGACTCAGCCACATGACCGGTCTGGTTGCAAAGGAGCCTGGGAAAAGGAGTCCTTTACTGGGCCCTCTGGGGCACAGGCAAAAATTTTATTACTGCATAAGAAGTGGGGAAAGGATTTTGGGAGGCAGAAGGCAATCTCTTCCCCAGCTGACCTCACAGGGCTTGACATTTGGGGCTGGGTAATTAATTCCTTATTGTGGGGAACTGTCCTGTGTGTTGTAGGATGTTGAGCAGCATCCTGGCCTCCACCCACTAGATGGCAGTAGTGTCCCTACTCTCTGCAGTTGTGACAACCAAAATTGTCTCCAGATGTTGCCGAATGTCCCCTCGTGGGGCGGGGCGTATTGCCTCAGGTTGAGAACCACGAGTTATGGGGAGGGTGAGATTAGATGAAGGTCTCAGCATGCTCCCAGGCACGTGGGCAGAGTTTAAGGATAGTTACCTTTTTGTCCTCTTTCATCCAGGTCATTTTCTTCTGACGAACTTACTACTGGACAAGCTGAAGGCCTCCGCTCCTTCGCGGATCATCAACCTCTCGTCCTTGGCCCACATCGCCGGGCACATAGACTTTGATGACCTGAACTGGGAGAAGAGGAAGTATGACACTAAAGCGGCCTACTGCCAGAGCAAGCTGGCCCTCGTCCTCTTCACCAAGGAGCTGAGCCGGCGGCTGCAAGGTGTGTGTGTGATGTCCTCCTCCTTTGGCTCTGAGACTGGAACGGTCCTGCTGGGACCCTGGGCCGATGAGAGGCCAAACGTGGGCTTGAGGACAGAGTAGCAAATGCATTACACACGCATCACAGGGCCCCCTGCTGGTGCCTGAAGCAGACATCACTAATCAATCACACACAACCAGGCCCCTCTGGTGCCTGAAGCAGACATCACTAATCAATCACATTTTCTCTGCCCATCCAGGACTGGCACCTGAGCCTTTGCTGCTCCAGGCCCATGGAAATTTGGCAATATCTGGAGACACTTTAGGCTGTCACTTTCTGGGTGGGTCTTGCTATGGGTGTCTAGTGGCCGAAGCTGGGCATACTGCTTGGCACCTCTGGTGAATGGGTTAAAGAATGATCGGACCTCTGTCCATAGTACTGACGTTGAAAAGTCTGCCCTTTGCCCTTGCTTCTCGCGGAGGGTGTGTGGGCCAGCAGCGTGAGCTCACCTGGGAGCTTGTCAGACCCACCCTGACCCACCGCTTCAGGAGCTCTGGGTTCCTCAAACCCTCCACGACGTTTCGACACACACTCAGGTTCAGAGGCTCTGCTCAGGGCGGCCACGTGACAGAGCAGCCTTGCACGATCAAGCCACCTGGCGTGGAAGTTTCAGAGCAAGAGGGTGATGTGTGTCCAAAAGCAGGAAACGGGGGAGCCCCAGAGCTCAGAGAGGACGCGTCAGGCTTCCTGGGAAGGAGTAAATCTGACGTCTGTCTGCCCCCCACTCCTATCCTTCCCTTCTGTCCGCAGGCACGGGTGTGACCGTCAACGCTCTGCACCCTGGTGTGGCCAGGACAGAGCTGGGCAGGCACACGGGCATGCATAAATCTGCCTTCTCCAGCTTCACGCTCGGTAAGTCCCCGCCTGGCCTGGGGTCCCCTTGCTGAACCCTTGCCCTCCCTGCCTGGGGCCCGGGGACCTCCTTTAGGGTGTTCGTCAGGACCAGCGGGATCTACGTTAGGAGAGATTGGCTCACGATTTATGGAGGCAGAGGGGTCCCACAATCTGCCCCCAGCACGTGGGGGCCCAGGAAAGCCGGTGGGTGGTGTGGTCACAGCCTGAGTCTGTCGGCCGGGAGCGCCCTTGTCTGACCGCAGGAGGCGATGGATATCGCAGCTCAAGCGAAGAGCAGATTCACTTTTTGTTCTACTCTGGTCCCCAGCTGTTTGCATGCCGCCCGCCTGGGTTTCCTGTACCCAGTCTCTCGATTCACATGCTCGTCTCTGGTCACAGCTGCACAGGCACACCCAGAAATAAGGTTTTGCCAGCGCTCTGGTTGTCCGGTAGCCCGGTCCAGTTACATAAACTTAACATCGCACCCAGAGACGGCTCCCTCCTCCGTATCGTGTATGTTACCAAGAGCAGGTTGCTTTTCTACGTCAGGCTGGGCGGCCAGCCTAGAAGAGCCGCAGGAGACAGGCCAGAGCCCGTTTGACTGATGAGAAAGCCATGTCTTGGGGTCGGGGGGCGGTGCCCGTGGAGCCCACTCCTGGAGTCCTCGGTGCTCAGGGTCACCTCAGCTTCACCCAGGACTAGTGGGGCTACCCCGGGGGCGCGGCTTCGCCTTTCTGAGCCTCAGTCTCCTCACGCAGAGGGAGAGCCAGGATAGTGCCTGTGTCTATGTCACTAGGAGTAGTCAATGAGACCGCCTGTCAAAGGGCCAGCACAGTGCCTGGCTCCCATTTTTTTTTTTCCTTTCTTTTTTTGAGAGAGAGATGGGGGAGAGGGAGGGATGGAGAGAGAGAGAGAAATATTGATTTGTTGCTTCACTTATTTATGAAAACTCACTGGCTGACTCTTGTATGTGCCCTGACCAGGGATCGAACCCACAACCTTGGCGTATCTGAACGATGCTCTAATCAACTGAGCCACCCGGCCAGGGCACTTAGAACTTTATAACTAACACCTGTAATCTTGAAAAACATTCACTGAGTAGATGCTAGGTGTCAAGGATCTTAAGTTGAGGCTGGCAATTGGAAACATTTAATAAAAAAAAGTTATTTTAGTCCTGGCTGGTGTGGCTCAGTGGATTGAGTGCTGGCCTGTGAACCAAAAAGTTGCTGGTTCAATTACCAATTAGGGCATATGCCTGAGTTGCGGGGCAGAGTCCCTAGTTGGGGGGTGTGTGAGAAGCAACCAATTGATGTATCTCTCGCATGTCCGTGTTTCTCTCCCTCTCTTTCTCCCTCCTTCCTTTCCCCTCTCTAAAAATAAATACAAATCTTTAAAAAAAGTTATTTTAAAGCAAGATGAGGTATGGTGGGTATGTGGGGCTGATGGAAAGGAGGGAGGTTCCATTTGCCTAAGAAAAGCCAGGGAGGCTTCCTGGGGGAGGCGGCTTTGGGACTGGTCTCTGCATGTGGAGGGGTGGGTTAGGGAAGGGACTTCCTGGTGGAGGGAACCACAGGAGCAAAAGCCTGGAGGTGGGCTTTGTGGGACTGCAGACCAACTTCTGGCCTCAGGGGGAGTGGGGCTTTTTGTATCCTCTGCTCTGAATGTGTGTGGACTGAATGCTCTGTGGGCTGATTGCAGGGCCTATTTTCTGGCTGCTGGTCAAGAGCCCTCAGCTGGCGGCCCAGCCCAGCACCTACCTGGCTGTAGCAGAGGAACTGGAGGGCGTTTCTGGGCAGTACTTCGATGGACTCAAAGAGAAGGCTCCGGCCCCCGAGGCAGAGGATGAGGAGGTAGCCCGGAGGCTTTGGGCTGAAAGTGCCCGGCTAGTGGGCTTGCAGATGTCCTAGGGGGTCCCTGTGTGGGGACAGCCCCTTCCCAAATCACCTGGGAGCAGGCGTGGTGGATTCAGGATGAAGTTGCAAGACCAAGGCTGACTGCCATGTATCGACCCTGAGCCTCAAGGTTGAGAAATCTGGCTGCCATACCCGAAGCACCCTCTAGGTGGCAGCATTGGCCAAGCCTGAAAGATGAAGGAACTTGGTTGCCATGCCAGCAGCAGCAGCCACTAGAGGGCAGCATTGACCAAGGAATGCTGGCTGCCCATGCTCCCTTCGCCCTCTAAATGGCAGCATTGCCCTTTTCTGGCCACAGTGGCTTGGCCGACCGGTGGGGCGCCTGACCCAGGGGCTGGCTCGGGCAGTGTGACCCGCTGTTACAGGTGAGCAGGGTTATCAGGTGCTGCTTTTGGGGATCTAAAAGAGGAGCCACCGAGGGAAGAGCCGGCTTCCTCTGATGTGGGCCACAGTTGGGGACAAATAGTGGGACACAGTCAAGTTCATGGTCCCCTGTAGGACCTTGTACACCGCCAGGCTCCTTTCCGAGTCTCTGTTTCCCCAGCTGTAAAGTGTGCAGAATCACTGGACTGCCTCACGGGGTGGCGGGCTGAGCATTTCCTGCTGGGGAGAGTGTACTGGGGGTGTTAGCGTGCCTTACCCGGGCCAGGTGCTGGGGCTGGGGGCCGTGTTTGGAGAACAGGACGACATATACCTGGTCCCACATCCCTGAGCCATGACCCACACAGGTGAACAGCGCGCCAGCTGCCGCTGCTGAGTACCCAGGATGCCTCGGGTCCCGACCTTTCCTAGCCCTATTAACTCTCAAACTTGCTCTTTAATAAAAAATAATAAAAAATCTAGCTGAGTCACAGGTTTTATTTCTTTCTCTGTGCATGGAAGGGCCAATGAGCTAGTGGAACAAAAACAACTCACTTATTTCTTCCTTTTGGGAAGCGGATGACAGTTTAAATAGTACCAGGCAAGTAAACTAGTCAGATGTTCGCACGGTTAGAAATGCGGCTCTGGCTGGGTCGCTCAGTTGGTTAGAGCGTGGGCCCCATACGCCAAGGGTGCTGGTTCCACCCTGGTCAGGGCACATCCAAGAATCAATCAAGGAGTGCACGAATGAGTGGAACAACAAACCAGTGTTTCTTCGTCTCCTTTCTCTTTCTCCCTCTCTCAAAAAAAAAGAAGGATCCTTTCCCACCCTTCACCTGGCGACAGTTGTTGAAGTCTGGCTGTCTTCTCTATTAGAAACGGGGCTGGCACTCCGCTCAGACACAGAATCAAGGGAGAGGCAGCACCCAAAGCTCAGTAATCAAGATAAATGTCTTGACATAAAAAAACTTGAATTTTGAGGGACTCCTGGAGGCCAGGGGAGCTGCTTCACATCCTGTAATACCCAGAACAGCCGGGAGTGACCCCCGCCAGGTGCTGGCCGTGCAGGCGAGGGGCGGGGTGGAGGCGGAATCACAGGCAGCCCAGCGCGTTATACATGCCGTCTCTTTTCTTACTCTTACATCAAAGTAGCTGCAGGATATGTTCGGGACGACCCGCCCCGCTGCCATAGGCGGCCCCCATCTCTCCGTGTTCCAGAAAATCCAGGCTCACCTCCCTCCTTTAAAGTCAACTGATGAGCAACTTTATTTTATTTATATCTTTTTTTTTAAAACAGCCTTTATTGGGGTGACATCGGTTAATAAAATCACATAGGTTTCACGTGTACAATCTGTACACTGTATTGTGTGTTCGCCATTCAAAGCCAATTCCTCTTCCATCACCATTTATGCTCCCTCGACTCTCTTCTGTGGACTCCCCCCTCCCCCCTGCTTTTCCCCTCAGGTAATGACCACGCTGTTGTCTGTCTTTGCGGTCTTTTTCCTTAATCCCTTCACCTTTCCCACCCAGCCCCCACCCCATTCCCCTCTGACAGCTGTCAGTGTGTTCTCTGTATCTATGAGTCTGTTTCTATTTTGTTCCTTAGATTCCGCATATAGGTGAGGTCATACGGCATCTGTCTTTCTCTGGCTGCCTCATTTCACTTAGTTTAATACTCTCCAGGCCCATCCATGCTGTCGCAAAGGGGGAGATCTTGTTTTCCATGGATGAGTAGTACTCTGTCGTGCAAATGCACAGCAGCATTTTTATCTGCTCTTCTATTGATGGGCACATGGGCTGCGTCCAGATCTGGGCTACAGTAAATAATTGATCAGCAACGTTAATTCCATTCATTCACCCTCCTTTGCCACGGGGGGGTGACAGGTTCTCAGGATCAGGATGTGGACGTCTCTTGGGGGGCGGGGCCCGCTGTTCCGCCTGCCCCTGTCCCCTTTGAAACCTGCTTTCTTCGCTTTTCTCACAACTGGAAGCCTTACTTATGTAGTTGCTCCTGATCCCTTTCTGCGTAAACGAAGCAGGACCAGCTTCACACCAGTGTTGTGAGCAAATCAACTGAAATGAGAAGTTACCACGAACTCCCCGCTACCTGCTTTAAAAAAAAAAAAAAAGACATCAAGGGCATCTTAAGAAGAAGAGGACTGGAATTCAACGCCTGACTCTGGAGCCTACCTTTTTTTTTTTTTTCCTGGGGAGGGTGGCGGTGGTTATGGGTCGAGATGAAAGGGCAAGTCCTTCCTGTTATGTAACCACGTGCAATGTGGTTTGGTTGGGGGCCGATTCTAACCGCAAACCCTCGAAACCGACGTCCGCTTCCTTTCCACACCGAGAAGCCTCAGAGACCACAGATGTTGGCGGACACAAGCCGATGTCACCCTCCTGCGTATCCTCAAAGGCTTTGAGGTGGCTCACAAGCTCAGCGATAACCTCTGCTGATGAGGGATGATAAAAACCAACCTAAAAACAGCCTCAAAAACCACAGGCACCCAGATGGGAGGCTGTGGCAAAGCAACAAGCAGAACAAAGACACGGATGAGGATGGGCGAAGCTTGGGGTGGGGGTGGTGGATGCGCCACGGGAAGGAACCCAAGTTGGGGTGCAGCCTTCACACACTCTTTGGGGTCTGGGAATTGTGCCACATGCCAGGCCGCACTTGGTGGGTGTCAGCTGGGCTGCTGATCCTCCCCGGCACGAGGGGGAAAGGGACGCTTTTTCTCTGAGGAGATCTGGGGGCACTAGGACATGCTTTGGATTTGTTGACGTTGTCATGATTCCATTTGCCTGTTGAACCATCGTTGGGCCAACTTCACCCCAAGGCTGGGCGCCAGGAGTGGGTTGATGGTGGTGCCCCCAAAGTTAGGCCCCCGTCCTGGTACCAGTGCATCGGACCGCATTTGGAAAAAAGGTTCTTTGTAAGGAAGTTAAGCATTCCGAGATGAGGTCATCCTAGATCATCTGGGAGGGCCCCGTATCCGATGGCAAGTGTCCTTACAAGAGAGAGAAGACATGTGGAGACAGGGGGCCGAGAGGAATGACAGGCCCCCAAACCAAGATGCAAAAGGCAAAGAACAGACTCTCCCCTGGAGCCTCTGAGGGTGCTGGGCCTCCAGACGCCTTGACCTTGGACTTCTGGCCTCTGGAACTTGGAGAGAATAAATGTGTTGCTTTAAGCTGCCAAGAGGATGGCGATTTGTCACAACAGCCAGGGGACACAGTCTCTTTGGGGTCACAAGGAGGCCACCAGAGCCCACTGGGGCCATGTTCTTTGTTTCTGTGATGGAGAGAGAAGCACTTCCATGTCATGTCTGACTGTGTTATGTGCTATTCTTAAAGCCCACTCCCATTCCGCACACATGCCAAGACCTCCCGGGCTTCAGGCGGGGCCTGCCAACACCCGCGCCATGAACATCGGGGCTGGACATGTCTTCACTGCGGGCCGGGGTGTGCTGTGCGCTGTGGGGTGTGAGCAGCGTCCCTGGTCTCTAACGCCAGATGCCAGGAGCACCTCTCCCCTGTCCCGCAGGTATGACCGCCCAATTGTCTCCAGACATTGCCGGCTGTGTCCTGGGAGGGAACAGTCGCCTTCAGTGGAGAATCCCATGTAGGCAGAGTGGGCCCCATGTTCCGGGCTGTGAGCTTGAGGAGCTGCCAACGGACAGCAGGTGCGTCGGCCGCAAGCTCGTGCTTCCACCTGCAGCTAATCGCGATGGCGCTCAGGTGCGGCGCAGGCAAGGGGCGGCGAGTGCGTGCTTGGGATTGGACGTTGTTATGGAAGCAGTGCAAGGGACGAGAGAGGCAACGAAAAGTGACTGTCTCCGAGCAGTTAACTCCTGGGGGGAGACGTGTCACGAAATCAGGGGTCCTCTCTTGCAGGTGGACTCTGCTGGAAGCCACACCTGGGAGCTTATAACGGTGGCAGAGCTTCAAAGGAAATGAAACACGCAGCCCTGGGACCCTCTGAGATCTGGGGTTGGGGCCGTTGCGTGCACACACCTGGGGCCCCCCCACCCAATTTTCCGTGACTGCACGGGCCCTCCTCACGCAGGTGTCTCCCAAGGTGATGCTTATTCGCATCAAGACCCGCGCGGCTCACGTGCCTCAATTGGTTGAACCTGGGGCACGCGTCTGGGCGTGCTGGAAGGCGAGAGGCTCGGCGTGGGCGACGAGGCCAGCTGGGGAGAATCCACGGGCGAGGATTCCTTCCTCCCTTTCTCACCGCCCAAGGATCTGCTTATTGATTAAAGGGGGGCGGGAGGGGCGGGGGGGGGGCGGGAAGAGAGAGAGAGGAACATTGATCTGTTGTTACTTATTTATGCATTCATTGGTTGATTCTTGCATGTTCCCTGGCAGGAATCAAACCCACAACCTTGGAGCATTAGGACAACAGTCTAGCCAACTGAGTTACTTGACCAAGGATACCACATTCTTCAAAAAACCCAAACCAACCTGTACGCGATTTCATTACACAGATGTATATCATATGGATGCCCCCACAGCAGCCCGAGAAAACCTCGGGGTGAAAACAGGTTTTTCACCGTGTGAAAAATGGTGCTATCATCAGGTCTGCAATTGTGTGAAAACCACCGTCAGAAAGAGAAAGTGCGAAAATAGTGAAAAGCACTCAGGCAGATCAAGCACCGACCGCAGTCTCAGAAAGGCGAATCTGCAGCCACGAGAACGCAGAGGAGGGGCGCCTTTTGGACCCTGCATGGTCAAGGGAAAGAGGAGAGAGAGGGGAGAAATTAGGATTTTGCAGAGAGAAAGAGAAAGAGAGAAAAAAAAGGGACAGAAACCTCTCCCTGTCTTACAAAAACCTGCCCTTCACCACAGTGACAGTAGATGGCGCTCTTGTCTCAAAAATCTTCCTACGAGCAGCCAGAAGCGTTAAATACGTAGGACTAGGGTTTAGGAAAAACGTAGAAATAGCCCCAAACCACAGAAATACACAGTAGTTATCCAACACTGCCACCAAAATAAATCAGAAAAGATGAGAACCCCCAAGTTCACTTGATAGGCGCCTAAGAGTGGAACTGGCAGGTCCCACGGTAGCATTTGGCGGACCTGCAACCCTCCCCCGCCCCCGCCCGCGGGCTCAGGGCAGCACGATTCGCAATAGCCCAAAGCTGGGCGCACCGCAGGTGTCCACGGCCAGGTGAACGGATAAACCAAACGTGGTCCGTCCACCCAGTGGAATGCTAGGCAGCCTTAAAAGGACCCCTGCTGCCACGCGAATGAAGCTTGGCGTCATTATGCTGCGTAATAGAAGCCAGACCCCGAAAGACAAATACCACCACGGGATTCCACTTGCAGGCGGTGTCCCGGGAAGTCAAACTCATCGAGAGAGAACGATGCTCATTAGCGGGCCAGAGTGAGGGGGCGGGGGTGCAGGGGTGAATTTGGGGCAGACTAGTGCTACGGTTGGAAAAATAGCCATTAATGCATATCCAGCCTGAATTTGGGGGTCGTGGAGGGGCTTGTGGGAGAGCCGAGGACGCTCCTGGTCTGGCCACAGAATTGGCCCCGAAACGCGGGAGCTGAGACCGTGAAGGCAACGGCAAATTAACAAAAAAAGAGGCTGATTTCTCCTCATTGGAAATAAGGGAAAAGGTGCTCCCTCACCCCGTATCTTAGAGCCCTGTCCTCAAGCTGTGTCCCCAGCATGATGCTGGGGTCTGTGTTTTCCCCTTCTTCCCTGTCAAGTATATTTTTAAGCATTTATTTCTTTTTTATTAAAAAAAAAATCCTCATCCGGGGTTATGTTTATTGACTTGAGAGAGAAATATCGTTCAGTTGCCCCAAACACACGTTCCAAATTGGGACTGAACCCACAACATTTTTTAGAAAGATTTTAATTTTTTATTATCGGAGAGAAGGGAAAGGAGGGAGAGAGAGAGGGACAGAAACGTCGCTGTGTGGTTGCCTCGCACGTGCCCGCAACAGGGGTCCACACCTGCAACCCAGGCCTGTGCCCCAACTGGGAATCGAACCTGTGCCCATTCAGTTCGCGGGATGGCACTCGCTCCACTGAGCCGCACCAGCCAGGGCTGAACCCGCGGGCTTTTGGCTTATGAGGTGATGCTCCAACCCACTGATTGGGGCCAGGGCTCCAATCCAGTAGTTTTGTGTCTGTCTCAGGTCCTGTCTTTCCTGTAAAACCCAGACCTAACCGGTGAACACGACCCGTTTTTTCTACCTTGGAAGTGAGTGCAAGTTTGCCGAGTTCTCGCCACACTCCCAGGTGTCCCCAGGTGGATCCCAGCTCCACGGGCTCTGCTTTTACCTGCCTGGAATGTTCTCTGTGCTGCTCTTTCCCCCCTTGCCATCCCTTAGAAGGTGGTTTGAAAGTCTCCAGGCTTCACATCCTGCCGCTGATGCCCCCGGAGAACAATCTTCTCCCTCTATCCCAGGAAGCCCCAGAAGCCCCCCGTTCCGATTCCTGCCCACTCCTCTCCGTAATCTCATATCACAGCTTCCTCTCTGCGGTCTCAAAGCCCCCTTCCCCCCCCCCAGACCCTCCGCACAGTAAGGGGCTTATGAGGTGAGTCCCTTAGGACGCGCTGCTTTAGGACACGGTAGCCTGCTTTCCCGAGCAGTGCAAGTGGACCTTCAAGGTTGGCTGTCGCTTCTCTGAGGCCGAACACGTGCCTTTCAGACTAAAAATCAGTGTGGAGGTTCCTCAAGAAATGAAAAGTGGAACTACTGTCTAACCCAGCAGTTTCCCTTCTGGGTTTGCAGCCAATGAGCTCCAGATTACGAATTCAAAAGAATACGTGCCCCTGTAAGTTCACCGCGGTGTTACTTGCAAGAGCCGAGACGTGGAAGCAACCCCAGTGCCCGCGGCTGGAGGAGAGGGTGAAGAAGGAGCGGTGCCCGCATGCAATGGAACAGAAGTGAGCTGCAAGGGAGGGGCAATCTTGCCATTTGCCACAGCGTGGGCGGGCCGAGGGGGCCCTGCGCTCAGCGAAGCAAGTGAGACAGAGGACAGGTACCCTATGACCTCACTTGTACCTGGGATCTAAAGAACAACACAGAAGAAGCGGACTCACAGACAGAGACCAGACTGATGGTCGCCAGATGAAGGCGGGTTCGGGGCCGGATGTGAAAGGCGAAGGATTAAGAAGTGGGGGGGCCGGGGGGGCGGTTACAGAACGGTCCCTGGGATGTGAAGTGCCCAGGGAATAGAGGCAATAATGGTGCCGTCACTGTGGGTGCTGTCAGGTGGGTTAGACTTAGTGGGGGATCACTTTGCCCATCATATAAACATCTAATCATTATGCTGCTCTCCCGAAAAGAATATATTATTGTGCGTCAACAGTAATTGGAAAATAAATAAAAACACCTTCCCAACTAGTTCAATCAGTCCAGCGAACAAAAGGAGCTACAATGTAAAAGTGGGGCTTGTTACCTTGTCTGAAAAATACCACTGATTTTATTTAGAAAATGTAAACCTGAAAAAAAAAATCTATAAAAGTAATCGCTCGGACACTTGGAAACACAAACGCAAAGAGGATCTGTTGATTATTATGCACGATTATCTTAATCTCAAAACCATTTTAAGAGACATGAGGATATCTATGTTCCTTTCATTACGGAGTCTATGTAAGACACCAAATCGTCAAGAATTTACATATGTCTCAGGTGAAAAGAAGGCCGTTTGATCATCCCAAGCAAATTAAAATAGTCATTTCATGTGAACTGAGATGGCGGCTGCCAGCGGAGGGTCTCGGGCGGGACACCATCCTTGGCACGAAGCCATACAGAGTGCATTTTGACTTCAGAGTAGCAAGAAGTGAACAAGGAAGCGTTTTTTTTTTTAAATTGTTGTTCAGTTACAGTTGCCCCATTTCCCCCCATTACTCTCCCCTGCCCTACTCACCCCCACCTCCCGCATTCCCCTCCCTGGTTGTCCTTGCCCACGGGTCCTTTATACATGTTCCTTGATGACCCTTCCCCTTCTCTCCCCCATGACCCCCCTCCCCTCTGGTCGCTGTCTGTTCTTTATTTCCATGTCTCTGGTTCTATTTTGCTCTCTTGTTTGTTGTGTTGATTAGATTCCACTTAGAGGTGAGACCATATGGCATTTGTTTTTCACCACCTGGCTCATTTCACTTAGCCTAACACCCTCTAGGTCCACCCATGCTGTCGCGAGGGGTAGGAATTCCTTGAACAAGGAAGGGTTCTTTGTGAAGGAACCAAGTTAAAACAATCTGACTGCAAGAAGTATGGCTCTTTTGGAGGGGAATATGCAGAAGGCACACAGAGAGGGATGTACAGTCTCCCCCTGTTTTTTAAATCCTCACCCAAGGATATGTTTACTAATTTTAGAGAAAGAGGAAGAGAGAGAGAGGAAAAAAAAAATCAATGTGAGACTGAGACATTGATCGGTTACGTCTTGTACTGCCCCAACTGGGGATTGAATCTGCGGCCTAGGTATGTGCCCGGACCAGGAATTGAACCGGTGACCTTCGGGAGTATGGGATGATGCTCCAACCAGCCGAGCCACTTGGCCAGGGCTAGTCCCCCTGTTTTGATAAATTTCTTGTTTTAATCGTGGAATTAAAATAAATAGACCATAATAAAAACAGATGGGAAGGGAAGAAGAGGAACTGTTTGGCAATAAAAGGAACTCTTTTAATAAATTTTGACAAAAGGACATAAAGACGAAAGCTCTCTCAGAAATGAAATCCCACAATTGGTGACCTTTGGTGACTGGCTGATTTCGCTTAGCGCAGTGTCCTTGAGGCTCATGTATGTTGTAGCATGTATTAGAATTTCATTCCTTTTTTAAACACTGAATATTATCCCATTGTATGGGTGGACCACAGTTTGTTCATTCATTTATTCATCCATCAGGGGACACTTGGGTTGCTTCCGCTTTCTGGCCCTTGTGCGGGAGGCTGCTGTGAACGCGGGTGCGCAAACCTCCATTCGGGTTCTGTTTTCAACTCTTTTGAGCCTGCACGGAGAAGCAGCGTTGCGGGATCACACGGTGATTCAACATCGAACACTTCGAGGAACGGCCAGACAGCTTTCCGAGGTGGCTGCGCCGCTTTACAATCTTGCCGGCAGGGCACGAGTGTTCTCGCTTCTCCACATCCTCGCCGACACTTGTCATTATCTGTCTTGTTGGTGGCAGCCATCCTCGTAGGTGTGAAAGGCTATCTCATGGCGGTTTTGATTTGTGTGCCCCTGGCGAATGCCAGGAAGTTTCGGGGAGCCCTGGGGTGCGGAGAGTCCCTCAATAGGCTGGTGAATGGAGATAAAAGAGGATCCTTGGAGCTTGTGTGCAAGTCATTCTGCTGAAGGGACGGCTCCAGCCTGATAAGTCTCTGTTAGGAAGAGACAGGCTGGCGGGGGAAGGGTGCAGAGCGTTCTTCATCCTCATCACATCCTGTGTCTCCACTCCAGCCCCCCGCGGCTTCCCTCTGGGGCCCCAGAATCCAGGACGAGCTGTGCAACCATGTCTCCCTCCCTGTCTGCCTGCTTCTGTCTTGGTGAGTCCCGAGGGTTGATCTGGGAAATGCCGAGGGGCAGGCAGCGGGCTATGAGACAAGTAATTTTTTAAAACTTGCGTGAGCCATGAATTTTGGAGCGAGAGGTGACTTCTGAGGGCCCCTCGCTTGTTGGCGGGGGCCCCAGCGAGGCGGAGTGTTTGTTACCCTAGTCTGTTCAGGGCTGGCTCAGGAAATGATCGCAGGTTTCCCAGTGCTGGCTGAAACTTTCTCCCACTGCACTACTTAAACAAAAACAAAATGTGGACTCAGTGATATCAGGGCTGTAGATTTAATTGGTCAGTTTCCCTTTTGGAAAATAATCCTGCCATTTGCAACAACATAGGTGAACCTGGAGGGCGTTATGCTAAGCGAGATAAACCAGAGGAAGAAAGTACTGCATGATCTCATTTAGATGTGGCATCTAAAACAGCGAACTCACAGAAGCAGAGGGTAGAAAGGTGGTTACCAGGGGCTGGTGGGTGGAGGGCGAGGGAAATGAGATGTTGGCCAAAGTGCACAAACTTCCAGTTAAGAGAGGAATTACGTTCTGGGGTCTAATGGCGACTATAGTTAACGATACTGTGTTATATACTTGAAAGTTGCTAAGAGAGTAGGTCTTAAATGTCCTCACCACAGAAAAATGGTAATTATGTGACGCGCTGGAGGTGTTAGCTAAGGCTACAGTAAAAATCATTTGGCAACATATGCGTGTATCAAATCAGCACGTTGTACACCTCAAACTTATACAATGTTATATGCAATTATATCTCAGTAAAGTTGGAAAAAAAGAAGAGACCCCACCCAGCACGCAGTCCCCAGCCCAACGAGGTAATTAGTTGTCAAAAATGTGTGCATGGCGCAGGAGTTCTGCAGGGAGCTGGGCTGGGGGTGGGATAAGAAATCCCTCTTGGCCCTTCAAAAAAAGGCGTGGTCAAATAATACATTTAACATACAATTTGCCATTCATGACGTTCACGGTGTCTTGCAGTCGTTGCCTCTGCCCGGTCCCGACACATTTTCGCCGTCCAAAGGGAAACTCGGTGCCCGCCATGCCCAGCCCTCAGCCTCCCCTCCCCCTCCGCCCGTGCCCACCACTAACCTGCTCTCTGTCTCTGGACAGATTGACCTCTTCTGGATGCTTCCTATACATGCAATCATACAGTTGCGGCCTTTATTATTCTCGTTTTAAATCCTCACCTGAAGATATGTTTTTTATTGATTTTTTTTTTGAGAGCGAGAGAGGAAGGGGGCAGAGAGTGAAAGAGAAAGAAATATCGATGTGAGAGAGAAACACAGATCTGTTTTTTTGTTGCTTTTTTTTTTTTTTTGAGGGACAGAGGAAGGGGGCAGAGAGCAAGACAGAGAGAGAAACATAGATCTGTCGCCTCCTGTAGGTGCCCTGACTGGTGATCCAACCGGCAACCTAGGTACGCGCCCTGACCAGGGATCGAACCCATAACATTTTGGGGCACGGGACGATGCTCCAACCAACTGAGCCAGCCAGCCAGGGCTACAATAGTGGCCTTTTACGGTTGGTTTCTTTCACTTCAACTATGTGCATCTTTCAAAACAATTATGGCAAAAGACGTATAATGCATGCAAAGGGCTTATCACCGTGCCCAGCACACAGGACGTGTGGGTTTTACACGAGGCCCTAGCGTTTGTCCTTTTCTTCTGTCCTTAGGGCTGTGTCTGGGGCGCGTGATACAAGCTCAGCTGGGTGAGTCTGGATCCCTCCTCCGGGTTCAGCCAGCGAGGGGGCAGGCGCGGCGAGCTGACACCCACTGCTCTCTGCCTCCCTTCCAGGCCTGCTCCCCAAGCCCTCCCTCCAGGCCCAGCCCACCTCCCTTGTGCCCTGGAAAACGCAGGTCACCCTCCGTTGCCAGGGGCCCCCCGGTGTGGACCTCTACCGCCTGGAGAATCTGAGGTCCGGGAGGTACGAGAACAAGGCGGTCAAGGTCATCCAGGAAATGACACCGGATTTAGCCGGACCGTACCGCTGCTCCTACCAGAACGGAAGCCGCTGGTCTTCCCCCAGCGAGCAGCTGAAGCTGGTTGTTACGGGTAACTGGGCAGGCGGGGGTGGGTAGGGCTGGATGTGCGGCCTCGTGGGGCTACGTGATGATGCTCCGCCCTGGGCTCAAAGAGGGTGATGGCGGGGACCGTGCCGATGGCAATTTCAACGTCCCTGGGCGCTGGGATTAGGGTGGGGGCAAGTGAGGCACTGGCCTTGTGGGCCAAATTGAGGGGAGGTACCCCCCAAACTCAGCCAGTAAGATAAACAGGGTATGTTACTGCAATTTCTGCTTACAGAAATCAAAACCGATGCGGCAATATCCACTATGCACAAAATACCACAATTAAGATATGTTGTCACCCAAGAATATGTTCATTGATTTTAGGGGGGGGCGAAGGAAAAGGGGGGGGAGAGAGAGAGACATCGATTAGTTCGCTCCCGCACGTGCCCCGACTGGGGATTGAACCTGCAACCTTTGGGTGCACGGGACAATGCTCCAACTAAGCCCTGGCCAGGGCTCTTTGTAATGCATTTTAAATTAAAAAAAAAATATTTTGTTTATTTTTAGAGAGAGGGGAAGGGAGGGACAAAGAGAGGGAGAGAAACATTCTTGTGCGAGAAACAGTTGCCTCTCACATGCTCCCAAATGGGGAGCTGGTCCCCAACCCAGGCACGTGCCCTGACTGGGACTCAAACCAGCGACCCTTTGGTTCTCAGGCTGGCGCTCAATCCACTGAGCCCCACCAGCCAGGGCTGTCTTTATTTTTCCCCCTCAAAGAAAATTTCAAAAACATCATTTGCTTTCGTGAAAGCCCACGACTCAAATGATAATAAATCCTGTTTATTTTTGGGTCTAAGTCAAATATTTAAACTCGTTTTCATTAAGTGTTTCTTTCCATCACCACCTTGTTTAAAACTGCACCTGATTTAAATGGCACTTATCACTCTCTGATGGGCCACACAGGTTTACTTATTTATCTTAGTTGTTGCGTCTTCTCTCCTCCTGGTGGGAATTTTATGTCTGAGCACAGAGATAGGCCTGTGGGACTTGCCAAGGGAAAAAAAAAACAAAAACAACAATTGTTGCAGAAATGAACGAGCCACCCTTCCCAGGCGGCTTCGGTTGGGAATACGGTGCGCCAGGTGCGGCTTGCCCTGCTCCGCGGCGATAATTAGGTCACATTATACACATAGTGGTGAGGACTCATTGCTAGGAGCCGAGAGCCTGGAGCCCGTGTCTATGATGGCAAATCCCAGCTCTGCCTCTTACTCTTCTTACGCCCTTGGGTGATTTATTTAGCACTGGGCGCCTTAGTTCCATAGCGATCAATGTGTAGGTCTTTGCGAGGCTTTGATGAATCGATGTGAGTCACGGGCTTCGAACAGCACCTGGAAGCTGGTAGTTGAAAAGGTAACAATGTCACCGCTGTATTCTGCAACCCAGCTTCACAATACCACACACGCTCAAGCTACGTTGCTACTGCCCTCCTGGTGTGAGCGCTGGCTGGGCAGTGCGCACTCTGCTCAAGGCTGAATGACGATCGCTTCACTCAGTCCTTCCCGTTGTTTAGCACAGAGCCCTGAGGCACACGCAGAGGGGAATTTTGTCCCGTCTCACACAACCCCTAAGTGGCAGAGCCCGGAGTTAAGCCAGGGCACCGTGCCGTAACTTCGGCCTTGTTCCCTTAGCCACTTCGTGAGCCAGTGGGAAGGGGTCGCCCGCAACAGGTACCCAGAAAGTTCCCGAGCTGTCCGGGCGGGCGGCGGGGAAGCTTCCCAGCCCGGGCCGGCCGAGACCCCGGCCACTGTCTTTACCACCAGAGGTCTCTTCTCCCCCAGGAGTCTATGAGAAGCCCACGCTCACGGCCCAGCCCAGCCCGGCGGTGTCCCCAGGAGGGGATGTGACTCTGCATTGTCACAGCACGTTTGGTTTTGACTGCTATGCTCTGTACAAGACGGGGGACAAGGGGCCAAACAAGGGAACGGACAGGTGGTACCAGGCCGACTTCCCCATCACCACGGTGACAGCTGCTCACAGCGGGACCTACCATTGCTACAGCTTTTCCAGCCAAGAACCGTACATGTGGTCGGCCCCCAGCGACCCCCTGGAGCTCGTGGTCACAGGTAAGGGGGTGCCGACCAGACCTTTCTTCCTCTGCCTTTGCAGGCCCTGATGCAGGTTTCCAGGGGGAGGGGCCGTGGGTGCAAAGGACACGCTCGATGTTAACACCAGGAGCCCTTCGGTCCCAGGAACCTCTCTCTGTAACCTCAGCCCGGGCTCCATGATTCCACTGCATATACCATACGTCTCCCTTTCCACACACGCGCTGCATGTGCACACAGTAGGTAATAGAACGGACACATCCAACACATGCATGATGGTGACTGCGAGCACCCTCGGGCGTGAGACGTGCGTAGTCGAACCACGACGCTGCACAGCTGGGCTGACACAGCATTGAACGCCAACTGCGATTCAAAAAGTAAAACACAAAAAACTATAAAAAAGAAGTGCATAGTTCCGTTAGCACCTGGGAGGGGAGGCTTCTCTGAGCCATCAGCGTTTGCTGTGGACTTCCGGGCAGAGCGGACCAGGAGGGCAGGTCTGCAGGGGGTGGGACTCTGGGAGGAGGAGGTCCCCGGCCGGTGCGGAGATGGGGAAGGGCTGCGCTGTGTTCCTCCCACGTGGGGACCGGCCTCTCTCCCCACGCCCGCTCTTTCATCTGTAACAGGTGAGTCCTGAAGGGTTTGCCCAGGTGTTGGGGGTCCCTGGCTCCGGGACCTCTTTTTTCCTTTCTCCTCCTTGTCCAGATTTCTCTGTTTGACCCACGTGTCTCTTTTACACATTTGCTTTATTACAAAAATCCTTTATTTCTGCCTGTAAAAAGGTGAGCATCATAAGCAGGTAGATCAACATCCCTGTCACCTCCTCCACCTACAAGAGCAGGTTTTGCTGCCAGGAACAAACTAAGGGTGCAGGTCACAGAGGCGCAGAGAACGGGCAGAACCGAGGTTCACCAGGTACGGGTACGCAATCTGTAATCTGTTATTGCGGACTAGCCCCGGAATGTGCTAGGGTTGCCTTTCAAAGGCTGTTCAACCCCCGCAACAGTCCCGTGATGTAAGCTTTATGCTGATTTTTCCAGGCGAGGGATCTGGGTGGCAGACATGTTTTATCTTTTTGCTCAGGACCTGCAGCTAGAGGTGCACAGAGTTCCCTCTTTTTCTTTCCTTTTAAAAAAATATTTATTTTTAGAGAAGGGAAGGGAAGGAGAAAGAGAGGGAAAGAATCATCCATGTGTGGTTGCCTCTTGCGTGCTCCCTACTTGCCACAACCCGGGTACATGTCTTGACTGGGGATTGAACCAGCGACCTTTTGGTTTGCAGGCTGGTGCTCAATCCACTGAGCCACACCAGCCAGGGCTTCCCTCTTTTTCTGATTTCTCAGGGACCACCGTGACACTCAGCAGGGTACCCGCAGGAGCACCTTCCGCTGTAACAGGTAAGCCCTGAAGGGTTCACCCTGGTGTTGGGGGTCCCAGGCACCTGGACTTCTTTTTTTCTTTCCCCTTTTTGTCCAGATCTCGCAGTTTAACTGACTTGTCTCTTTCACACTTTTCCTTTATTGTAAAAATCCCTTATTTCTGCCCATGAAGAAAGTAAGTGTCATAGTAGACAGATACTACTATGCTGCCCATGTCCCCCCTTCTGTCCCGCCTCAGGGTGTTGGTTTATGTCTAAGACATTCAAGAACATCTAAGTGTTTTATAGAATTGGAGGTTCCTGGGACTCCATGCTTGAGCCTCTGGCTCCATTCATTAGCGGTTCTCAAATGTTCGTGGGCCTGAGAATTGCTGGCAGGGGTTGGGGGTGTTTATAAAGAACAGATTTCTGGTCCCATGGGGTCTCTGATTTTGAAGGTCTGGGTGGGGTCTAGTAATTTTTATTCCTGACAAGTTCCCAGGTGAGGCCGATGTTGCTGGTCTGCGATGTCACTATGAGATCCACCGCACTAAATTCTGTGGCCCCACAGAGCTCCCTCATTCCCTTTTTCTCAGTCCTCGCCTGAGGATATCTTTATTGCTTTGAGAGAGAGAGAAAGGGAGAGAGAAAGAGAGGGAGAAACATGGATGTGAGAGAGAAACATCTATCGGTTGCCTCCTGTAGGTGCCCTGACCGGGGATCGAATTCTCAACCTTTCTGTGTGTGGGAGAGTGCTCCAACCAACTGAGCCACCCAGCCAGGGCTACGCTTCCTATTTTTAAAATTGAGATATAAAGTGTCACATTGTGAGATTCATCATACCCACTGGAATGGCAATGATAGTAACAACAACGACAACAACAACACAACAGCCGAGTGTTGGTGAGGATGTGGAGAAAACTGGAGTCTTCTTACGTTGCTGGTGGGAATAAAAATTGTGTAGCTGCTGTGCAAAACGGTTGGGTGGCTCCTCAAAAAGAATTGCCGGCTCTGGCCAGTATGGCTCAGTAGGTTTGAGCATCATCCGCACACTGAAAGTTTGCAGGCTTGATTCTTGATCAGGGCACATACCTGGGTTGCAGGTTAGATTCCCAGTCAGGGAGCCTACGAGAGGCAACTAATCGATGTTTCTCTCGGCCTTTCTCTCTCCCCCTTCCTCTCTCTCTAAACGAAAGGAAAATATGTCCTTGGGTGATTAAAAAAAAAAAAAAGAACTGCCATATGGTCATATCCTAGAACTACCATATGATCCAGCAATTTCATTCCTAGGTATGTGCCCCAGAAAGTTAAAAAAAAACAACAAAAAGCAAAAAACAAAAACAAAAACCAGGACAGAGCTCAGCAGAAAGGAAGACGAGGATGGGGCTCTCCCTTCCATCATCTAAGGCTGTTGCAGGTGTTTCATCTGTGTCATGAAACCATTTGACTCTTCCCAGGAAAGTCCTTGGTTTGAGGGTGGGGGATGGCATGGAGTTAGGCTCTGAGCCTGGGGACACAGGAGCATTCCGGGTCACGTGGCCATTTCAAAGAGGGCGGAGCCAAGCCTATGATGGGAACACCATGACTTAATCCCTATACACTGCTCTTCTGACTTGGTTCTGACCCATGTATTCAGCTCCACTTGGGTCACGGCAGCCTGAATACCAGACACCCGTTCCCACTCCAGTTCAATGCACACGTGCTTCCCTCCAAGCTGTGGTCCTTTTTCCCATTGTTTTTCTTGGGAAAATGTCTCCATTTCATCCTGACCAGGTGGTTCTATTGGTTAGAGCATCATCTCATCTCGATAAGCCAAGGTGGTGGGTTCGATCCCCAGTCAGGGTGCAAAGAAGATTCAACCAATGAATGCATCAATAGGTGGAAAAACAGATCTCTCCCTCTGTCTCCCCTCTCTTTCCCTTTCCCCTCTGTCTCTAAAAATCAACAACAAATGTCTCCATTTCTCCCAAAACAGCAAACCTTGAGGATAGTTCAGATGTCTGCCCTGAGTCCACTGGACTTTTCTTTAGGCTCTTCTTAACACCCCAATGGGCTTCTTCTCAACTTCCCTCTGAAATCCTTCTGGGTTCCCTGTCACCTTCAAGGTGTAGCCTGACCTTGCTGTTCACGGATTGTAGATTCTATGCTCTGACATCAGCCACAGCTGACACTATAGTCTCTTCATTCCTCATGCTGACTTCAGCCACATGGAGTTGGTTGAAGCTGTTGTGGAAACTTGATGTCCTTTTCTGACTCTGCATGTGGCTACCTGCTCTGCCTTATATTCCATGGCCCCACGGCCTCAGCTCCTCCAGCAAGCATTTTGTGACCCTCCAGGCTAGGTTGGAAGTGTCTTCTGTGCTCCTCCTGTGTCCTGTGGACCACCTATTAGAGTCATTTCATGAAGCACAGCCCAAGGCTGACACCTGGGAAGTCTCAGGGGATCCTTGTGGACCAGCAGAAGGAGAGCTCACGTGTATGGGGTGCTAAGTACATGTCAAGCACTGTGCCTTAGATGATTATTATTGTTACTAGTTTAATTTTTTCAATTTATTGATTTTAGAGAGAGAGGAGGGAGAGAGAATTTGTTGTTCCACTTATTGATGCATTTGTTGGTTAATTAAAATATTTTAAAAAAGATTTTATTTTTAGAGTGAGAGGGAGGGAGGGAGGGAGGGAGAGAAACATCAGTGTGTGGTTGCGTCTTGCATGCCTCCTACTGGGGACCTGGCCTGCAACCCAGGCATGTGCCCTGACTGGGAATTGAACTGGTGACCCTTTTGTTCACAGGCCAACACTGAGCCATACCAGCCAGGGCTTGATTCTTGTATGTGCCAATTGGGGACCAAACCCATAATCTTGGTGTATCAGGATAATGTTCTAACCAACTGAACTATTTGGCTAGGGCTGTTGGTAGTTTAATTTTCACATCAACAGGGGTAAAGGGGATGGTTCCATCCCTTCACATTTACTCTTTTTGATCCCAGAGCCTTCTAGGAATAATATCACCATCTTTACAGAAAGGCCAATCTCTCCAACTGGTGAGTAAATGGTCCTCTCTGGATCTCCCTTCTCCCCACCCCTGTGTCTTTATCTAAAGTTGACTGCTTTCCCTATGCAGAAGCTGTAACTCTGTGATCTTGTGTCCTGGTGTATAAAGTATTAAGGGGAGGGGAAATTATAATTCACAGAGTGCAGAACTGGGCAATAAGATCAGGTGGGAAGGTGGCAATCTTCTAGAGAAAGATCAATTCCACCTGGATCCCCACCCCTTATAATAATAGTCTTCTCTTCCTCAATTAGCCGAATAACCAGGTAGTGTCTGTGCATGAGACAGGTTGTATCAGAGGCCTGTGATGGGGTAATGGAAGAGGTTATATCTAGGGAACAGGACTTATCTAGCCCTGATCCTGGTGAAGAGGGGAGGGACCCTCCAGGAAGACTGACATCCTAGATTGGGCATCCTGGGTAGCAGAGAGTAACAGGATCTCAAGTGAGGGATACGGGTATGAGAAGCCCGGAATGTGGCTTGGAGCAAGTCCTTGAGGATCACCTTCTCCCGTCTCTTCATTCCTCAGGTATCCTGGGTAACCTGGTCCGAATATGCTTTGGGGTTGTGATTCTCATCTTCCTGGTGGGGATCCTGGCAGAAGATTGGTACAGCCGAAAGAAATCCCTGCAATACCTGGACCGAGCAGTCCACAGGCCACTGCCACCTCTCCCTCAGACTCAGAAATGACACAGTTAGCAGGATTGGGGTCGACCAGATGGCCAGAACCATGGTTGCCACCATTAGAATCCCAAGACTTGGTTGTATCTAGGACATAGGTCATGAGAGCTGGGAGGGGCCCTAGAGTGTGTGTGGAGTGTGAGAGGAAGACGATAGAGGCTTCTGCTGTGGAAAAGGAGGGCAAGGCAGGGCTTCTTGGCACTCCGTCAAGGAGCTGTTGAGTCGGTGTCTATTTATTTGGCTTTGTTTGGGATGAAAGGATCTCGTGGATGCCAAAGTCTCCTCACTGATGTCTTGCAAGTGTGGATCTTATGGCTTCCTCACTGGACATCATACTTATCTCTTTCTTCAAACTTTCCTCAGATGGGGCCTGGATTCGCCTCTGCATTTGGTCAGAATCCGTTAATAAATACAACCCTCTTGGCCCTGGCTGGGTTGCTCAGTTGGTTAGAGCATCAACCCCATTTAGCAAGGTTGGGGGTTTAATCCCCAGACAGGGCACCAAGAATCAACCAATGAAAGCATCAATAAGTGGAAGAAGTCAATGTTTCTTTTTACTCCTTCTCTCCTTTCTGCTTTCTCTCTAAAATAAAAAATAAGTAAACAAATACAATCTTCTTCATGAATGCTTTCACCTTTATTTCTCTTGATATATTCATGATATAGGCATTTCATCTTAACGGGATTAAGTGACTTGTGCATGTCTTGTGTAAGTTGGAGACACAGCCAAGGCTCAAATCACATCTGGTCCAGCAACTAACATCACTGGGAGGGTTCATAGGAAGTTCACTGTCACCTTCAGGATCCAGGACTTGATTGGAGAGTGAATGACTCCAAGGGGATTCAGAAAATGAAGTCCTGAGAAGAAGGCCTGTTATTTTTTGGCTCTTGGTCATCTCTCTCAATGGTCAGTTTTGGGTTGCTCTCTTTGATTTCTTTCAGCAGCTTTTGGGTTTGAGCATCAGATTTATCTATCTTCAACCTGGGGATGCAATGGGGGAATAAAATGTTTCTTGTTGCTTCCAGGAGATTCATTCCAGACCCTGAAACACCTGCAAGTCTCATCCTTTAGGGGTTTTCAGAGCAGGGGCCACCTTCATATATTATTCTATTCTATTCAAGGAGACTTCCATGTCAATTTGGTAGGGAAAATGTATGATATCAGGCATAAAGCCACTGCATAGCTTTGGATGCTGGGATGGTCTTGGGTGATTATCCTGTCATACTTGGTGTGAGAGATGGAACAGATGAACACGCCTATAACATATTCCACATTCCATAACTCTCTTTGCCAGTTTCTGCTACTATGTGGACCCAGGATGAGACAAACTTGATCCAGATCAGATCAGCTTTCTGTCCCCGTTTGGCTATGTGATGTTACTTCATGGCCATGCTTTATTTAACCTTGGATGACAGATTCACCCCCTTGTAACTATACAGCCATGAGTATGTGGAAATGGGAAGTGGGAGGGGACAGGGAATAATTAAACAAAAATATATAAAAATAAGAGATCAAGGACATTAGCTGCCATGTTTCTTCTTAGCATTGTAGTCCTGGCTTTGCTAGTACAAGAATCAATTTTTGTTCTGTTATTTGAGATGCAGAATACATCCATGCAACAAGCTTTCAGTTATAAGATGAATAAATTCTGAGGTTCTAGTGCACAGAACTGTGATTGTAGTTTTTAAAATATTTTTTAGAGAGAGAGGAAGGGGTAGAGAAAGAGAGGGAGAGAAACATCAATGTGTGGTTGCCTCTTGTGCACCCCCTACGGGGGACCTAGCCCACAACCCAGGCCTGTACCCTGACTGGAAATTGAACTGATGACCCTTTGGTTCACAGGTCAGCACTCAATCCACTGAGCCACACCAGCCAGGGCTGTGACTGTAGTTAATAATACTGTGTCGTATGCTTAAAAATGGCCAAGAGAGTAGGTCTTATGTGCCCTACCACACATATGAAAAGGTAACCATGCGACATGATGAATATGTTAATTAGCTAGTTTTCATGATCATTTCAAAGTGCCTGCATATATCAAAACATCACATTGTGCACCTCAAATATATATGACTCCTATTTGTCAATTTTACTTCAGTAAAGGTGGAAAATAACCAAAAAAAGCCTAATACCCCCATGCAGTGTTAGGCTAGCTTAAGTAGATATCTTGTCGCACCAAGATAACTTTGGCTAAAATGAGGGCTCACCAGCTTCAAACTATTTTAAACATGACCCTCCAAGGTCAAATGTAATTGTGTTTACTCATGATTGTCAGGGATTGGTCACGGTCTTTGGCAGAAGAACAAAAATAGTTCCCACAGTAGATGTGTGCGGGCAGAGGTGTTGAAGAAGTCAGAAATGAGTGTGAAGAACCATTGTTCTGAGAATGAGGTGTGATAGTGGGGTTTTTTTTTTTTTTTTGGCTGCAAGAGAAGGTGGCTATACTTAATGTAAAAGGGCTCATGAGAAGGCCACCGGGAAGCTGAGAGAGTTGGAGAACTAAACATGGAATTCTGAATGAACACCTGGGCCTTTGTAGGATGGGCCCCACCTTGAATCACTCATCTTGAGATTCAAAGATCCAGGAAAGAATGTCTGACTGTCTAATGAAACAGGTACAATGTCGTCTTTCTGGGGATTTATGTCTTCATGGAGATGATCAAAATGATCTAAAGTGAGAGGGCTAACCCCTGAGAAAGGGGCTGGAAAAAGAAAGAAAAACCTTTAGTGTTTTCCACACATCCCTGCTTTTAACTAGCAAGGTACCTTAGGACCTGAGATTCATGTTAAGTACATATATAATGTTTCCTCTACGTACTCATGAGAGTTTCAAGACATTAATGATCTATGTTCCATCTGAGAATTACAGGAAGTTCCCACATTCTTCCTGGGTTTTAGGTTCTCTGTTGCCATGGTAGCAACTAAACAACAGAACCTAATGACCAATTGCTTTGAGAAGCAAGCGGAGGACAGCAGTTGGTGATCATATCTGCTACGCCAGGCCACTCTCATCAGATGGCAGACCTACTCCAGAGAACACACCTCTGGGGCTGATGCTGACCTTCTGGACCTTTGTAACAGATACAGCCCCAAACAAACCCTTTCCAAAAGCACCTTGTGAGAAGGCAATGGCTGGCCATCATACCTGTCTCTCACTCAGAGAACCCCTCAATCTAGCTTCTCGGTTTCAGGTTGAGTTTTGGTCTTACCTTCTGACTCATCTTATCCACCAAAGCAACAAGAAGAAGTGACAGATGAGTAATCTGGGGACCAAATATCAATGGATAAAAACTGAATGTTGGCAACAGACACTTCTACCTGTAATCTTGCTGTTCTTGCTCCCCCAAAACCTACAATCATGGAGCAAACATTGTGGGGCGTAGGAGGATCATACCTGAGCTTCTGGAGAGGACAACTTGGAAGTTTCAGGACATCATACAGCATCTTTACTCCACTATACCCCACGGGGTTCTGGCCCAGGTCCAGAGTGACGAGGTTCTGGTTACTGCTAAGAGCAGATGAGAGGTTGGCACAACTAAAAGCAGTGATTGCACATCCCCACAACCTGTAGGTGAAACACAAAATTAATTTCCATCCTTCCTTCCTTCCTTCCTTCCTTCCTTCCTTCCTTCCTTCCTTCCTTCCTTCCTTCCTTCCTTCCTTCCTTCCTTCCTTTCTTCCTTCCTTCCTTCCTTCCTTCCTTCCTTCCTTCCTTCCTCCCTCCCTCCCTCCCTCCCTCCCTCCCTCCCTCCATTCCTTCCTCCCTCTCTCCCTTCCTTCCTTCCTTCTATGCTTATTGATATATCCTATAAGCCAGGCATACCCTTGGGTGTTGGAGATCCAACAGTGAACAGCACAACTCTCTTCCCTCAGAGTTTGGTAGTAGGAAACAGAGAAACAAATCTCGCGTGCCATGTACAAGTCCAATGCAAAGGAAGGTTATGAAGGGCAAGATATAGATTGGGGAGCTGGGGGTGCTCACTGCCCTGGCTGAGGAGCTCCTGAGGGGTAAAGCGAATGAGCCTTGGAGGGAGCTGGAGTCGGTGCTTTCCAGGCAGGGTCATAGCTGGTGCAAAGGCTACGAGGTTGCATGTGAGGGCTGTAGATGAGGACATAGATAAGAGGGACCCAGCTGGAATAAGGCCCTTAGGTCATTGTAAATATAGGATTTTACTTGGAAGGAGATGGGGAATCACTGGGGACATTGATCAGGTGGGTGAAGAGTCGCTCCTTAGAAGTTACTATTATGCTTGGTTGAAAAACTGTAGGGGAACAAAGAAGGCAGGATACAGATGAATTTGAAGACCCTACAACCATCCACCTGTGACTAGCATGTGGGTGGGAGTAGAGAACAGGTCCTAGATGTCTAGAAGGGGGTAGCATGATTTCAACAAGGATTAGACTTGATATTTGAAAGGAAAAAGGAACAAAGATGACGCATGAGGGATTTTTGAGGAAATAAAACACTCTTTTGAGATAAGGGGCTGGATCATGTATTAAGTTTTGTCGAGGACTTAGAAGAGGCTAAACATAATAGCAAATATTCAGTGTACTTCTTGGCATATGGTAAAGTAACAGGCATACACAATCATGATCATGATAATTGTCTTTTCTGATAGATGCAACTAACTCTATTTCCTAGAGGGTATAGCTGAGATTACACTGCCAGAAAGTTCCTGTGGACCAGAAGGAGGGCAGCCATCCTTCCCGCCCCAGTAGCGTCTGTGATTAGGAGCGACCTCTGTCACCACAAACGTCTCTCTCCCGGAAACATCACCAAGACCAACGTCAAGGACCTTTTGCCCAGTCTTTTCATCTAGGAATTTTGTGGCTTCAGGTCTTATGGTTCAAGTCTTTAATCCATTTTGAGTTAATGTTTGTGCAGTTCCATCTGCTGCACCTGGCTATCCAGTTTTCCCACATTGTTTATTGAAGACACTGTCCTTGCCCCATTGAGTATTCCTGGTGCCTTTGTCAAAGATTAGAGGACCATATACACAGGGGGTTATTTCTGGGCCCTCTACTCTGTTCCGCTTCTGTTTTCATGCCAGGGCCATACTATTTTGACCATTATAGTGAGAAAAGTAATATAGTTTGAAATCAGAAAACATGATGCCTTCAGCTTTGTTGTACTCTGTCAGGGTTATTTTAGCTATTTGGGGTCTTCTGTGGTTTTCTATGAATTTGGGGCTTTAGAATTTTTTTGCGTGTGTGAAAAATGCTATTCTAGAGGATTTAATAATTTTTTTATTTATTGAGTTTTTTTAGAGAGAGAGAGGAAGGGAGAAAGAGAGATAGAGATAGATAGAGAAACATTGATGTGTTGTTCTGCTTATTGATGCGTTCCTTGGTTGATTCTCATACGAGACCTGACCAGGGACCAAACCCATAACCTTGGAGAATGGGGACAATGCTCAAAGCAACTGAGCTACATGGCCAGGGATATTCTAGAAGATTTTAAAAATACTGAATTGAATTTGTTCCAACCCTTTGTATTAGAGCTGGAAATATTGCTACACCGCTATTTCAGATACAGATTAAAGTAAAAAAGAGAAACAACATAACTTACCATAGACATCTTAGGTTGCACAGTGGTTTCTTCAAAGCCTCACACAGAAACTTCAGTCCGGTAACTCCAATGTGATTTAGCCCCAGATCCAAGTGTGTGAGGCTTGAGTTTTGTTGCAGGAGCATTGAGAGATTAATGCAGCCGTCGCAGGTTATGTTGCAGTAGTAAAGCCTAGAAACCAATCACAGGAAGAAGAAAAATAACTGTTAGTGATGCACCCAAACCATAATGGACAACTTTAAGCCATGGATTTTAGACCAGGGGCACATGGAAATGAAGTCATGGGGCACTGTTACAGACAGGATAATGCCCCCTTCACCCCACCAAAGATCTCTACAGCCTAATCTCTAGTGTCTGTAAATATATATTACATTCCATGCAAGGGCACTCTGCAGGTAGGATTGAGTTAAGGTTTTTGAGATTTGGTGGGTAGCCAGGTGCACTCAATGTAATCACAGGATCCTTATAAGAAGGAGGGAATGGGGTGAAAACCAGAGGGAGAGATGCGATGAGAAAGACAGATGACATTTGAAGACATTCCTTACTGGTTTTGAAGATGGAAGGAGAAGCCATGCACTGAGAGATGAGGGGCTTGTAGAAGCTGGAAAAGGTGGGACACAGATTCTCCCCTGGAGTCCCCAGAAGGAATACAGCCTTGCTGACACCTTGATTTTAGCCCAGGGAGACCCATTTTAGATTTCTGCCCTCCGTAACTTTACGATCACAAATTTGCAGCTTCTTAGTTTGTTGACAGTTTGTTACAGGCAAGAAGAAAACAACTGGTCTCTATTATTTCTATTCTAACCATGGGGCAGAGAATTTCAATCTTACCTTGGTCTGCCACCTCCTAGTAGGGGAAGTGGCCAATTATATTTCCTTAATGCAGTTACCAGAAAAGTAGTATCTTAGATGGGGAGGGCGCCTGCTCTGATCTGAACACGTCTGGTGCTAGATCCTAGGTATCAATTACCTACCTACACAGGGTGTCAGCGATATTTCATCTGAACTGTTTTTTGGCCTTCTCCTTCTTGCCTTACTGTTGTAGAGTTCTAAACTTAGTTATGTTAGCAGAAAACCAGAGATGGGTGATGTTGTCCCTGGCTGCTGCCATAGGCAGAATGATGGCCCTCAAAGGGGTCCATACCCTACCCTCAGAACTGTGACTATGTGACCTTACACAAGGGGGCTTTTCACATCATGAGATTAAGACTAAGGCCCTTGAGGTGGGGAGATTACCCTGGATTATACAGCGGGGCAGAATCTAATCACATGAGTCCTTTCTTGCTGAAGTGAATACAGGGGTGACGTGAGGACTCGACTCACCATTGTTGGCTCTGAAAAAGGAGGGAGGGGGCCATGAACCAAGGAATTCAGGGCTCTTTAGAAGCTGAGGTTAGCTCTCAGCTCATGGCCGGCAAGGATGCAGGAACCCTGGTTCTACAACGGCACAGCACCGAAATCTGCCAACAACCTGAATGAACAAAGGAATGGATCCTTTCCTGGACCCTCTAGAACAGAACACAGCTCCAGCGACATTCAGTAAGATGTACATTGGTCTGCTGACCCACAGAGCTATAAAACTGATAACGCCGATCAATGTGTGAAAATTTGTTACAGCAGAAAGAAGACCGACAGCTGCTTTTCAATTGTAGTGAACTCAGTATATATTGTGGTCGGTTCCTTGAAGGCCTCCTGAGACATGGCCACACCCCTGAGAAAAAGAGTCACACAACATATCCAGGGACGTGGGATCACAGGTGGCCTCAGTGTCCCTAGCTGCCCACAAGGCACAACAATGGCTGAGGCCCGCAGGACCTGGAGGGACAACTGGAATGAATGACAGATTTGAGGGTGACCCACATAGACTGAGATGAGCCAACATGCCCTCTACCCTGTGGCTTGGTAATTTGTAAATCTGTAAAAACTTCCATGACCATGGGGCCACTGAGGAACGCCCAAGCCAATTAAGCTTTGCCAACTTAGCAAACTGAAGACACGGATAAGAACAAACAAACAAACAAACGAACAAACAAACACAGACTCAGCTGAGTTAAGACAGAAAAGGTCTTGACCTATATTTGCTGAGATTTAGACCTACAGAAGGCAAAATTGACCAGGCTTCATGTCAAAGACTTAGTTTTCTCATCTGCAGAGAGCGGGGAGATGAGGGCTTGCTTTAGGAGGCAGGAGCACTGGAGGAAACCATCTCCAGCGAGCCTTTAGCATAGTGCTTGTCATATGCCAGGAGCTTGGTAAGTGTTGACTGCCACTACCCTGCTTTTCTGTTTAGCTCCTTGGATGGCAGCAACTTCTAACATAATTTAATTTGATGAGAGGGCTGGTGGGTGGGTAGCATTTTATTCCTTATAGCACTTCCTATTAGTATAGTGTTTGAGGGCTTAGCTAGTAGGGAAAAATTCTCTCCTTCTATCTCTCTCCAACTGAAAATTAAATACTACATGGAATTTTAAGTGAGTGAATAGTTGTCAGACAGGGCACCTTCAGGCATTGCCGAGATTAGACCTAGGGAAAGCTGACAGTTACTGACTAGTGGAGGTGGTTTAGTAGATAGCAAGAACAACAGAGATGTGAAAGCTGAATCTCAATAGAAACAGGGTAGCCCATTTCTGCCTAAAAATTTGTCCTATGATTTCATTTTGTTTATTTATTTATTTTTGTATTATCCTATGATTTTAGTATTTATGGGAGGATTATATTGAGTTTGTTGGTAAATAACACCATCTAGCCCCAACTGCAGGTATGGTTTAGGTTACACAGCTCTAAGAAAACACACATTAAAAAAAAAAAATCAAACCTAGAAGTCAGCTACGCCCTCCAAATTCCTAGAGAATATTAATAGCACTTTTAAAAAAGATTTTATTTATTTTCAGAGAGGTAGGAAGGGAAGGAGAAAGAAAAGAAGAGAAACATTGATGTGGGAGAGAAACATTGATCGGTTGCCTCTTGTATGTGCTCCAACCAGGGAGCAGCTCACAACCCAGGCGTGTGCCCTGACTGGGAATTGAACCAGTGACCTTTCACTTTGTGGGATGACACCCATCCACCTGAGCCACACCAGTCAGGGCACAACTTGTACATTTTTCCTATCACCCACTCCCTAGGTCTCACCAGATCTGACCATCAGCATCATACTTGGGGCATTCAGAGAAATTATGAAGTATTCACAGTACTGTCTTGCTGGATTCCTGTGCACGCGCGCGCGCACACACACACACACACAGAGCCTGTAGGGACTTACACCAGAGTCTGTAGTTGACAGTCGGGATAACTCAAACCTTCACAAAGAAGTTTTACCCCGCCATCCCCAAGGTCGTTCTTGGCCAAGCACAGGTGTGTCAGCCTCTGGTTGACAATCAGAGCAGAAGAGAGCTCCTTGCAATAAGCTCCTGTAAAGTGACAGTTTTCCAACCTGCAAAAGCCGCACACCCATGGTAAGATGGTGAGAATATTTCCAAAGGCCAACCTTCTTGGCTGATAGCTCGTCTTGTGAACACCCCACCTGCTCTAGGGCTAATGATCAGTCACAAAGGAACAAGAGCGAGAGAAGAATGAGATGCATAGGACCAAAAATGGGAACCAAGTGTTTCCATTTTAACAAGCGTTCCCATTGTAGGTTGCCCAGAAAATAGGGGGCATAGCTCCTCCTTACGTCATCCCAGATCTAAACAGGAAGGGACTCCGTGGGAAAAGAGGAGAGACTTACGACAACCTCTGCAGGAAGCACTTTGGGTATCTCAGAGTCAAGTACAGCAACCTGGCACCTTCATCCAGGAGCTCATTTGCCGTGAGGTTCAAACACGTGAGGGACTGGTTGGTTTCGAGGCAGCAGGAGAGTTCAGCCCACTGCTGAGCGGTGGCAGAACAAGATACCAACCTGTAGGAGAAATGGGAGGTAGGAGAAATGGGATGAGAAGCATCGATTGGTTGCCTCCTGTAAGTGCTCCTACTGGGGATAGAACCCACAACCGAAGTATGTGCCCTGACTGGGAATCAAATCTGCAACCTCTTTGGTGCACAGACGATGCTCCAGCCGAGTCACCTGGTCAGGGCTGAAATCATCCTTGAGAACCAAACACTGGATCACGGTCTCCGGTTTCATCCCTCACTGCATTCCATTATGTTACACCCTAGACTACATGGTGCAGAGCAGTGGTTGTCCAAGAGTCGTCCCTGGACCACCTGCATCACCGCCATCTGATGACCAGCTAGAAATGCAAATCTCTGGAAACTCTGAATTTAGATACCAGTGACCTCTGTTTTCACGTGCCCTGCAAGTACCTGGAAGGTGAGTCAAAACAAGTTCTTGGGCCACAGGCCCCGAGTCTTATTGAGAAGATCTGTATGTGACCCACAATTTGGATTTGAACAAGTTCCTGGGGGATGGTCTCCCTGCTGGTCTGGAGAATGTGCTGAGAACGAATTATTCAGAAATCAAATCAATCATGCAACATGGGGCCCACATTCAATTCCTGGAGCGGGGTATTCTTATTATGGGGCCAGGGAATTCCATGGGACCATTATGTGTATCTTGTGGCCTTTAGGGTGAGGTTTCTAAAAAAATCCTTGTTCTTCCATTTACTATGTATAAAAATATGGCCAAGTTAACTTGAATTTATGAAGTCTTGTTTCCATCTTTAGGTTGGAAAGAAGTCACATGGTGATTCACATGAAATGCCAGGTGAAATCTATGCCACAGATATAAAATCTACTAAAACTCAGTTAAGCCACTTTCCTCTCTTAGAGTCTGAACTTTCACAGAGGAACCAAAGTTAACCACGGAGTTGGAACCCAAAACAGAATGTTAACTGTTCCAAATACAGCAAGTCAAATGTATACAGAGTCTTTTCCTTCCATTTTCGGTGTCCATTTATTCACTGAGAGACAAGTCACTCACCCAAGTCTCCCAAGGACACAACGCATTTTCCTAGTCAATCCTCAGAGGAGAGAGAAAGAAAGGTCAGCAGTAGTGGGTAGCTACCCACTACTGGATGTACATGTGCCTGGACGTGGTTTTATCCAATCCTGAAGTCTTTGTGAGATGTGCATTTCTTCCGTTCTACTCACAGGGAGGAGACCTAAACAGCCCAAGATCCTACCAGCAGAAGGGGAGCCATCATTGGAGACCAATATATCACGTTAAACTGTGTTTCTGTTACTACTCAAATGTGGTCCTGTGAGGATCAGTGGAACTCGATGATGAGTGATAATCAATTGCTATAGCAACCAGGTAGAGAACAGCCCAAGGGAAAACCCGGTGCTCCTGAAGCCACCTTTCCGGGAAAGATAAGGCTGGCAGCTGACATTCTGAGTTGTGACACAAGAGAAATGTGAACCATAAACAAATCATCTCTGATTGAAGGTGATAACTCTAAGGTATGTGGGAGTTTATTTGGGTTTGGAGCTATTATGTACAGTTGTCCAGGGTGATCAGTGATCAACACAAGTGGAAACTGAACTCCAGCCCATTTACTTCCTTTTTTAAATCCTCACCTGGGGATATGTTCACTGATTTTTTTTTTTTTGAGAGAGAGAGAGAGAGAGTGAGGGGGAGAGAGAGAGACATTGATCAGTTGCCTCCTGCATGCGCCCTGATGATCGAACCTGCAATTTAGGTATGAGCTCTGACCAGGGATTGAACCTGCAACATTTTGGTGTGTGGACGAGGCTCCAACAAATTGAGCCACTGGCCCAGGACCCATCCCATTTTCTATTCTGGGACGTGTACCCTGAGTGGCACTGCTTCCAACCAGAATAAGAGATTTTTTTTCCTAATTGATGCAGAATCGCTGCAGAGGCCTGTGACAGCTACCTCTACATGCGGAAGATGCTCGGTGATGGTGAGCTATACCTGAGATATTGCAGCTTACATTTTGGGTGCCTCAAGACCTCACACAGGGTGGGAAGCATATCATGCTGGTCATTTCCTTCAAGGGTCAGATGAGTTAGCGTCTCGTAACCGCCAAAACGGGTGCAGAAGTTCCGATAAGCATCAGCTGGGGAAATATTTCTGAGGCTAAGGGCAAAGAAAACAAGAATGAGTTTTTGTACCTTTACTGCCTATACATAGAAACAAAGGACTATAGTATATGTAAACATCAGAAACTATTTTTTTCATATTTTCACCTTTATTGAGGGATTATCGACAAAAACTGTACATATTTAAGGTATTTGACTTAGTGTTTTGATATAGGCGTACTTGGTGAAATCATGATCATAATTAAGCTAATTAGAATATCATCATCTTCCATAGTTACCATTTCCTTTTTTTATTTTGTGGTGAGAACATTTAAGATCAAATCTCTCAGCAAATTTCAAGTATATTGATAGAATTTCAGAGTCACTAAAAAGCCCACCAACCTCAATATACTCCCCCATAGGCCTAGTCACTTCCATATTACTTATTCATAAAAATATAGTCCTTACTACAAGAAAAAACCCTACAGACTAAACTTCCTCATGAATAAATGCAAAACGTCACCAACAAAATATTAACAAAATTTTTCAAGTATACAATGATGGAGTGTTAACCACCATTACACTGCTGGGCGTTAGATCTTCTGACCTACTCGTCTTGTGTATCTGAAACTTTGTACTCCTTAACGTCCCATTTTACAAACTAGTGGAATCTGCAATTTATGTAGGCATCTCAAACTTTTGCCAAAAAACGTCAGTCATAAGCAGTCACTCCAGGCAGAGACTGTTCTATGGGTTTTTCTCTTTTTATTAAACTTATTGGGGTAGCATTGGTTAATGAGATTATCCAGGTTTGAAGGGCACACTTGTATGACACATGATCTCCATGAATTCGACCCCAAAGGCAAAGAAAGTAAAGGGAAAAATAAATGAGTGGGACTGTAACTACAGCTTTTTGAAGAACAGAAGGTCACATTTCCAGAATGTTAGCAACGGGCACATTTCACAGCACTATGTTCTGCTGAATATTTTGACTCCAAGGAGTGTTTTGGCATTTAGAATCAGGATCATATGGCTGATATAACCCTAAGTGGGCAAGGGCTCTTATTTTTCTACATTGAGGAAAAAAAATACCAAAGAGGGTATCAGCAGCTTGCGAAGGTCTCATTGATATCAGCCCTCCCTCAGATTGCCCAATATTAAGCTTGTAGGGCTCCCCTGGCACACAAGCTACACGAAAATGAACCTGAGGCCCAGGAAGACCCTGATATTCTGTCTTACATGGACAAAAATGTACTCTGTTCTGAACCTCAGTATTTACATAATGTAACGACCTGTTTTTGGTGCTTCTCAGCCTCACCCTTTTGTTCCAACTTGATTCAACTACATAATGTCTATGCATTTTATCCTTACCCAAGGACATATTTCTATAGTTTTGAGAGAGAGAGGAAGCGGGGGAGAGAGGAAAAGAGAGGGAAAGAGAAAGGAAGAGAGAGAGAAACATTGATTAGTCACTTCCTGTACATGCCTTAACTGGGGATTGAACCCACAACTTTTTGGTCTACAGGACAATGTTCCGACCAACTGAGGCACCCGGCCAGGATGACTACATATATTTTTTGGATCATTTTCAGACAGACATATCCAGCCCAAGTGAATTGTAATGTTCAGGCCTGTTCCAGCACTTTGAGACCATCTCTCTATGTGAGGTTCCCAGTCAGGGGGGACTTTGTACCCGCGGGGGACACTTGGCAATGCCTGGAGATATTTTTGGTTGTCACAGTTGGGCGTGTGTGGGTAATACAAGGGAGGTGGAGACCAGGGATGCAGCTAGACAGTCTCCTATGCACAGGACAGCTTCGATGACAAAGAACCGTCCACCCCAAAATGTCAGCAGAAGTTGAGAAACTGTGCTCCATGGGCAAGCCTGTGGCTGTTATAATAGGATTGAAATTGCCCTCATGATCTTGATGGTCCTCATGGTGTTTTGTGGACATTCACTTACATTTCACATTGTGTTAAAGTTACTTTTTTAAACCAGTGGAATGGCAGTTGTCAGGGGCTGGAGAGCAGGGGTCATTGGACTTACAGTGTAATGAGTACAAAGTTTGAGTTTTGCAAGATAAAGAGTTCTAGAGACAAATGGTTGTAGTGATTGAATAATATGAATGTACTCAATGCCACTGAACTGCACTCTTTTAAAAAAAATCCCCACCCAAGGACATGTGTACAGATTTTAGAGAGAGAGAGAGAAACATTGATGTGAGAGAGAAACATCGATTGGTTGCCTCCCATACACACCCCGACCGGGAATCAAACCCACAACCTAGGTATATGCCTTGACCAGGGATCAATTCCACAATCCTTGGGTGTACAGGACAATGCTCCAAACAACTGAGTCACTGGGCCAGGGCCGAGTTGTACTCTTTAACAATGGTTAGGATGGTTAGATTTATGGTAGGCACATTTTGCCACAGTAAAATCTGGAAAAATTATTTGATTCAGTAGACAAATGCAAAGCCTGGACCACCTCAATTTCAGGTGTCTTGCATACTTAGTTGAAGTCTGGGACAATAATTCCAATACTGCTCCAAAGGGCTTGGTCATGCCTTAGGGGTTTTAGCTCTGGAATTTGCTTCTACTTACACCACTTTCTGGAGATTACAGGGAGCAGAGGCAATTCTTTCACAAAGAATCCTAACTGATGGGCTATCCAGGGAGCTCTGACTGATGTCCAGATAGACCAGATTCTTGTTTGAGTCAAACACGGAACAAAGGTCCATCCACAAAGAAAGCACGTGCTGATCATTCTGGGACCTACTGGGAAGCAACAAAGGAGGGAATTTACCAAATAGTGTTGGGGAGAAAACTCACATTTGTATGTCATCGTGAAGGGTATTTTAGACAGGTGAGTAGATACACGGCGCAGACCTGACCGCTGTCAGAGGGTGAGAAGGGTGAAGGGGTGAGGAGTACAAATGATAATGGGAAAAATTCAATAAAAATGAGATACTCATTCAAATAAATAAATAAATACGTAAATTCATTCTTTGTATTTTTTTTACCCTAAGAAAAAATGAGATACTAATGGGTAGTTATAGACGAGTCATGGGGATGTAAAGCACATCATAGCAAATATAGTCAATAATATTGTAATAACCGTGCACAGTGCCAGGCAGGTACGAGACTTATTGGGGGGGGAATCACTTCATATGTTACATAAATGCCCAACTACTGTTCTGTACACCTGAAACTAATATAACATTGTATGCCAGCTGTGATTGATAAAAAAAATATATTTTAGAGAGTAGGTTATAACTTTGGGTTTCCCAGTGCTGCCTGCCTTGATCAAAGATACATTCAACATAAACGACTTAATTATAAATCTTGAGGTCACAGGAGGAGGAAAAGTTGTTATCCACCTGGAATCTGTGACTTTTCAAAGAGTGTGGTTGATATGCACTGAGGGAAAAAATTAAACAGCTGGGTGGGGTTTAGTGTTAGCAACTGTCACATCAAGATAAGATCATCGAGCCACTAAGCAGAGCACCCCCCTTAGAACCCTGCTCCTGAAGGAAGGGATTGAACCGCTGTTGTGGGGACTATGGACCAGCAATGCTCTGAGCCTGCTGTAAAGTGTAGAACAGAAGCCCAAGTGGCTAAACTGTATGAAAAAAATTCATGAAAAGCATACATGTGCCTTACAGACCAGGATTATCACAACGAAATCTTTTTCTTCTCAGACAGGAGCTGCAGAACCTGTCAACCCAAACTTAGCTTGATTATTGCCCTTCTATACTGGCCCCGTCACGGATTTCAACCATGCCATGACTAAATAAAAAAAAAAAAAAAGAAAAAAAAAAGAAAAATAGAGACTATTTTGACTTGGGATCTTGGATGGAAGACAGAGAGAAGGTTACAGGTGCAATATTTTTTCCATTCAAAGCCTCTCTTAAATAATCCTCCTGCATTTAGATAAGAGAAGGAAAAAAACGAAGGTAAGGATGAAGAGGTAAACAAAGTCTGTGGACTGCTGGTTGGTTATCCGTAAAGTAGAGAAATATTTGTGCCAAGCTATCATGGTCTTTAAAAAAAAAACCTCACTCAAGGATATATTTATTGATTTTAGAAAGGGAGGGAGGGAGAGAGACAGAGAGAAACATCGATGTGAGAAAGGAACATTGATCGGCCGCCAGGTTAGAAGCAGTGCTTGGCAACTCTGCTCGAGCTTTGCGGCTGGTGTCTCGAGCCACAATCAAGAATCCCAGGCTCAGAGCTGACTGGCTACATCTCTCGGCCTAAGTCTGCTGCGCAAGGTCCCTGGGGAGAGAACTTCCGTGATCCTGCGTGAGGTGCAACTTTCAGAACTGTTGATTCAACCTCAGAAGACAAATCTTTAATGTTTCCCCCTGAGTTGTGTGGGGAAAAAAAAAAAAAAAAGGGACAGTTTTATCAGACATCTCCTGAAACCAACATACCCAACAGGTGGGCCAACACAGGTTGACCTACTTGCAAAAATAGCTCAGTTGAAGAAAGGACTGCAAAGCAGCTCTGGCTCCAAAGCCCCTGTTCCTAATCTGACCATCGTGTTATCTATCTTTTCTATGGTGCGCTGGAGGGAAGAAATTCCAGCACGAATTAAAAACCGACCTTAAGCCACACGGAGCAGGCCACTGTCCCCTCCAACGGAGCGTGGGTGAAGCTAAAGGTGGAAAGGTAGTCGGCTAAGAAAGGAGAGTCCTTACCTCTCCACCCACGAGCCTGACCCTGAGGCGCGGCCGCTCTCCACGAATACCCCCTTGGCCACCTGCAGGGAAACCTTCTGCAAGTGCTGACAATGCTGGAGACAGAATGAGGAGTGCGCAAGGTCCACTTCGTTTCGCAGATGCAGGGACAGTTCCCTGACGTGGGCTGTGGCCTCCTCCACGAGGGACCCCTCCTGAGATTCGTAGAGACAGTGCAGCACCTCCCGCAGGTCCGCGGTCCAGGAGAAGGGCGCCCCCGCGCCGGACAGCGACGCCAGGAGCTCCCGCTTGACCCGCGCGGACACGCGGCAGCCGAAGGTCGCCTCCAGCTCCCTGGCCCTCCGCTCGTTGCAGAGGCCGAACAAGAAGTAGCCCACGGCCGTCAGGTCGGGGTTCCTCAGTCTTGCTTCCCTGGAGAGCAGCGCCCGCAGGTCGCCGAGGTCCGGCGCGCGGCGGCCCGCGTCCTCCCGGCCCTCGCCGTCCAGGACGTAGAACACGGCGGCCAGGAACTGCTGGACGCTCAGGTGCACGAAGGCGTAGCAGCCCTCGCAGTCCGCGTCCTCCTGCACGATGCCCTTGTCCAGGAAAGGCCGGAGCGCGGAGCCCTTGAGGCCGAGCCTCTCCAGGTCTCCCGCCTGCAGCGCGGACGTCTGCGCGCGCAGGCCCGCGGCAGCCAGGGCGCTGGCGGCCCTCAGCGCGGCCGGCAGGGGCCCGCGGGCGGCCGCGGGCGCGACCTGGCCGCACAGGAAGCGCAGGAAGAGCGCCGTGCCGGTGCGGCAGGCGGCGGCCGGGTCCTCGCCCTGCTCCAGCTGCCGCCGCAGGCACGTGCACACGGCCCAGCACACGGCGGGCGCCGAGCCCAGGCGGAACAGGGCCGGGCTGCTCCTCATGGCCTCGAAGGCGCGCAGGGCCTGCGCCCCCGCCCCGAAGTGCCTCAGGAAATACTGCCGCCGGCCCAGCTCCGAGAGCCCCTCCACCTCGAGGAGGACCGGCTGCTCAGCCAGGAGCCGCAGCTCCCTCAGCGCGCCCGGCCGCGTGGTGACCAGCAGGGTGGCCTTGGGCAGCAGCTTTCTCTTCAGCAAGCTGCCCAGCAGCACGGGCACCGGCTTCTGCTTCTTCCAGTCGCCACAGATGTCGTGGATGAGCGACCCCGAGGGGACCCGCAGCTCCTCGAAACCGTCGACGACGAACAGGACGTTCTGCGCTTGGGCCAGGACCTCGGCTTCCCGCACCTCGGGCCTGCTCTTGGCTATCAGCTCCGCGAAAGTGCACGTCCCCTGGCGGGTGAGCGCCTTGCAGCTGAGGTAGAAGGCGGACTGCAGCGTCTTGGAGAGGCTGTCCTGCCTCCACTCGAGCATCCACTTCTTGGCCAGCGTGGTTTTGCCCACTCCCGCGGGGCCGTGCAGCACCAGCGTCTGTGGAAACGGCCCTGGGAGCATTTTCGGGTTGCAGAAAGGTCTTAGTCTCTCGCCTCTCTGGGTGAATACAGGGGGTCTGATTTTCGGCCAACAGTGTTCCTTCCAGACTTGCCGGGATGTCTCCACTGCCCTTCTGTGTTCATCCTTTTCACCTTCAGTGATATGAGACAGGAGATAGACAGAGCTGGCTAATCATTAGGAGGAAAGTACTTTGTGTTAAGTAGGAAAGGAGAAAAAACACAGAGAAAAGAGGTCTATAAAGAGCCACCTGTCCTGGCTGGTGTGGCTCAGTGTATTGAGCGCTGGCCTGTGACCCAAAGGGTCTTTGGTTCGATCCCCAGTCAGGGCACTTGCCTGGGTGACAGGCCAGGTCCCCAGTAGGGGGAGTGCCAGAGGCAGCCACACATTGATGTTTCTCTCCTTCTCTTTCTCCCTCCCTTCCCTTCTGTCCAATAACTATGTCTTAAAAAAAAAAAAGAGCCATCTGACACCAAGCTCAGTCCAGGAAGATAGCACACAGACCTGGCTTTTCGCCTTCCAACCTTTCTTTTACTTCTTCGGGGTTTGTGACACCTTCGCCCGGTACTTGTGTGAGCCCTGAAAAATAGAAAGTTAAAGTGACCTTGACACAAAATAGGTATACTATGTATCCAATAGAATATTACTTGGCCATGAAAAAGAACAACATCTTGCCATTTGTGACAATGCACATGGAACTAGAGGGTATTATGCTCAGTGAAATAAGTCAGACAGAGAAAGACAAATGTCATAGGATTTCACTTCTGTGTAGGATGTGATGGACAAAGTAAACAAATGAATAAAACAGAAACTGGCTCATAGACACAGAGGATGGGCTGATGGTCACCAGAGGGGAGGGAATTTGAGGGATTGGGTGAAAAAGGGGAAGGGATTGAGCAGTACGTATTCGTAGTTACAAAACAGTCACAAGGCTATTAAATACGGCATTGGGAATATGTCAATAGTGTCGTAATAACTACGGATGGCGTCAGATGGGGACTAGAATTATTGGGGGGGTCACTTTGTAAAGTATACACATGTCTTACCGCTCTCCTGAGTACCTGAAACGAATACAAAATAACACTGAATGTAAACTATAATTAAAAAATAAAATTAAAAAAACTAGCCCATGCCTAGGGGGAGACATAGATCTATTAGTTAAATCAGTATCTCCAGGGATAGTTTCTCGATATACGGATATTGAGAAACTACTGCTATAGTTTAAAGCTCCCCAGGGTATTGCCAAGAACGGTGAGAAGGTAGTAACCTCGGCTATGATTAAAGGGCCATAGTGCCCCCAAAGGGGACATTTGGCCCTGTGTAGAGATAGTTTTGGTTGTCATCCAGTGGGGAGAGTGGGCTGCAGACATAAGCGGGGGAGGTGTTGGGATGCTAGCACCGGGGTACCCGGGATGCTGCTAAATATCCTACGGTGCACAGAATGTTCCTTCCTTACCCCCCCAAAAGAATCACCCAGCTCCGAGTGCTCCTGGTCTAAAGGAAGTGAGGGGTTCACTTTTGTGGGGGTGTGTGAGTATGTTTATAGACATTGCTAGGTGGGAAGGGAACATGGTAAGTAGGAAGTGAAAACAAAACAGAGCGTATGCAGTAACTCAACATCTCGGAGGACGTAGGGGAGAAAGCCATGAATACATTTCAGGAACACTCTGGAACAGGAGAAGGGATGTCTGGTGAGGAGCCCAGGGTAGGTGTCCAGTGCTCAGAAAGAGTGGAAATAGCTAGAATATAAGAACTGGAAAGATACCACGCGACTTTGTGATGGTCTAGCATTTGTGTTTAGGATAGATAGCTTCTCCAAACTCAAGGTCATTTCTGTGTTTCCCATCCCTGGACGCTATTACTCCTTCCTCTCGGGGCACAGTCTGCTCACCTTGGAGTTCATCCTTTGCTCTCTTAGACAGATCTGTTCGGCTAATCTTCTCCAAGGCCTGGATGGTCACCATCTCTACCCAGCGGCGGGGGCAGCGGGTGGCGAGAATTTCCGCCAGTTGTTCCCAGTTGGCCTCTTCTACCTCCGTTTGGGGAATGTGCTGTAACTCATCTTGGGGGGAAAGGGTCCTCAGCAGAGACTTGAGCTTGCTCAACTCATCCTGGTTGAGTTGTTCCAGAAGAGGCCTCAGGTTGAAACCCAGCTCTGCAGAAGGTACCATCTTGTCCTAAGTGTGAGATCTGAGTCCTTGGCATGAAAGAAGAATGAAGGGAAGACATGGGAAGAGACAGCAGATCAGCACTCCCATCTCAAACGCCAGTTGCCTCCATGTGAGGAACTGGCCTAGTCTCACTGCTCAGCCTGGTGCTTTAAGAAGAAACCCCATCCCCTCCATCCCCTCCACTGGCCCGGTGGCTCAGTTGGTTGGACCATATTCCTATATACCAAAAGTTTGCGGGTTCGAATCCTGGTCAGGGCACATACAAGAATCAACCAATGAATGCATACATATGTTGAACTACAAACCCTTGTTTTTCTTTCTCTTTCAAACAAAAATCAATAAAAAAAAAAATAAAGACAAGGTGGTCAGAAGGAGCTTGGGAGAAGGTGACCACAAAAATGTCACCACCCCTTCGCGCCCTACTCAAAAATGCGGAGGCAGCCTAATTTATCTCCCTCTTAACTGCCTGCTTACATCACTGGCCTGAAGGCTCGGTTGTCTGCTGTGTGGCCGACCTTCCTAGGGTGGGGGTGGGGTGGGGGGGAAGCAACCTGCCCTCTGGCTCTCCTGGCAAGGGACTCCTCCCCCGCCCCCCATGCAATTGCCAGGCAACAAGTGCTGCCAGAAATGGAAGTCAGCCAGAATTCTCCATTAAGCCTGCTTAAAAAAAAACAAATCCCACCTTTTTGAATAAGCCTGCCTTGTCCCAGCGTATAAAAGCAGCCAAGCAGAGCCAGCCCCGCACCCCTAGCAGGTCGGAGGGCCTTCGGGTCCTCGGTGCTGCCCCGCCTTGTGTTTCAGCACAAGCGTCATCGAGTCTGTCTGGAAGTTTCTCTGCAGTTTCCTCTCGATTTCCATCTCGGGAACCCAAGAACCCCAATGCTGGCAACAGTTCTATTTGTACTGGGGTTTGGAACAAATTCTGTCGACCACCCAAGTGTTTTGCTCACACATGAGATATGTATCTTTCCTAAAATTCACATAACAGCTCATGTATCATAGAAATGTGCACCGAAACCTATATAATCTTATTAGCCAATGTTACCGCAATAAATTTAATAAAAAATGACAACCCAGAGAGCGAAACGGGGAAAAAAACATTCACATAATATAAGATTAACCATTAACTTAAAATAAAAAATTGTTGTTCTATTTTAGTTGTCCCGGTTTTCCCCTATTGCTCTCCCCAGTCTCCGCCCACCCCCTGGCTCCCACAGTCAATCCCCGCCCTGTGGTCCTGTCTGCGGGTCATTTATTCTTGTTCTTTAACTAGGCCCTTCCCTTTCTTTCCTCCCTGGTCCCCCTCCCCCCTCCCCTCTGGGCTCTGTCAGTCTGTTCCTTGTTTCCATACTTGTGATTCTATTTTGTTTGTTGGTTTCTTTTGTTCACCAGGTTCCTGATACAGGTGAGACCGTATGGTGTTTGTCTTTCCCCCACCTGGCAGTTTAGTGACGTTTAGCACATTCGGTGTTGTGCAGCCATCACCTCCATCTCGTTTCGGACATTTAAACTCCATTCCCATTAAGCAGCTGCTCCCCATTCTCCCCTCTCCCCGGCAAACACCTGTCTCCATGAATTTCCCTATTCTGGAAGTTTCACATAAGTTTGCTCACATTTTACACAAAAACTAATTCAAAATGGGCCAAAGACCTAGGTGTAAGAGGAAAACCTGCCTAACATTTTGAGGTATTCATGAGCAGCCTGAATTTTATTTATTTATTTATTATTGAATTTATTGGGGTAACATTGGTTTACAAAACCATCCAGGTTTCCCTGTGGACCAAAGGGTCGCTGGTTTGATTCCCAGTCAGGGCACATGCCTGGGTCCCTGGCCAGGTTCCCCGGTAGAGGGGGTGCACCAGAGGCAACCACACATTGATGTTTCTCTCCCTCTCTTTCTCCCTTCCTTCCCCTCTCTAAAACTAAGTACGTAAAATCTTTAAAAAATAATAATAAAAAAGAAATGTACAGTAAATGGGGCATTTATACGGGGAATCTAAAGAACAAAATAAAGGAACAAATGAAACAGAAACAAACTCATAGATACAGGGATAAGACTGAGGGTTGCCAGAGGGTAGGGAGTCGGGGATGGGTGGAAAAGGTGCCGAGATTAAGCACAAATTCGTGGCTGTAAAACAGTCATGGGGATGTAAGGCGCAGCACAGGGGAATAGAATCAATAACACTGCAATAACGACGCGTGGTGCCCGGCGGGGACTAGGCCTGTCGAGGGGGATCGCTCCGTAAGTTGTATAAATGTCTAATCGCCACACTGCACACCTGAAACTAATATAAAATAATCGTGACTATCAATGTAATTAAAAATAAAATTAAAAAAGTTAACTAAAAAATAAAAAAGGGCAACGGAAGATTCTTAGCACTGGTCAAAGACAAAGAGACGTTCTTACCTTTAATCAGCGTGCGTTTTATTTGTACGAGGACGTATTTAACAGAAACAATGATTCAGCTACGTTATGGGCACCGATTAGAGAAGGAACAAGTTCTTTGTATTTAACAGACAAGATCTTACCCAAGAGCAGTTTGGGTAAGAAGCTAGATTGCAAAGAACAGAAACATGCATGAGATGTCTTGATGTGGAGGCATGGGCCTAAGATGCTACTTCTAGACACTTGGCTAAGAAGAGAGAAATTAGAGAAGAGACGTTAGCTTTGGGAAAAATGGGAGCTAGGATCCAGTTTCACAGGGCAACGCATTAATTCATTGACTGTTGAGTGTGTTTTTACCCTTAAAGCTTTGTTATTTTATAACATGCTTTAGAACATGTTATTTTATATGGTTCCCATTTGGGCAAAGTTAATCCATCAATGCCCGGTGACCTTAGGAAACTGAGGTTCAGCCAGAGTGGGGAAAAACCTGTTCATAGTTATAGCAGGAGTCAGAGGCAGGGGTTTCCCTCCAAGGCTGGTTCTGTCTGTCCACAAAGGGCTATGTGACTTGAAGCCTCAGTAATCCTTCCAAGGTTTATCATGCAAACATTCAGGAAAAGGGAGGAGGGATTCCTCCTGCAGAGACTTAACAGTTGAATGAAGACATAGACACATGAAAGAAAGATGAAGTGGGGGATGTTACTCACCGGTCCAACACCTAAACCTACTCCGTGGCTGAGCGCTGCCCATTTGCAAAGCCTCCTATAAAAGAGTTTCTCTTCCTGCCCAAGCTCTGTGATTGGTCCTTGGGACCCGAGCCCATTGCCGAGAGCTTCCAGCATCCAGTGTGATTCCTGATAGGTGGAGGCCATTTCTTCAACTGGAGCATCGTATTCTCAGCGTCCTCAGCCTTGGCTGCATGTTAAACTCACCTGCCTGGAGCATCATTTCCAAGTGCCCATGCCCAGAGATTATGCTGTATTGGTCAATGGGGGCTGCCTAGATATGGGGGTGGGGGGGTGCGCGTTAAAGATTCCCAGGTGGTTGTAATTGCGGCCAACCTTGCGAACCAGGGCTCAGAGCCTTCAGCTGTGATTAGCAGCTTCTGTTGTCATGCAAGTACTTTAAAATCCACCCTCACTTCATGTTAAATGTAAGTGACACATTAACTACAAAGAGTCCATCAAGTTTGTCAGTTTAAAAAATTTTTTAAAAATTTATTTATTAGTTTTAGAAAGAGAGGAAGAGAGAGAGAGGAGGGCAGAGAGAGATATCAATTTGTTTCACTTATTCATGCATTCATTGCTTGAGTCTTACACGTGCGCTGACTGGGGATCGAACCCATGATCTTGGTGTATGGGTTTGATGCTCCAAACAGCTGAGCTACCCGGCCAGGGCCAAGTTCATCAGTTTTATACTGACAATATTAATTTTTGTAGGTATGTAAATAAGACTTCAACATTTTGCATTTTGAAGTTCTGTTTACTTTTTACAGCGAATATATCTATATATTTATCTGTCATCTATCTGCTCAAACTTGAAAAGTCTCTAGGCCAACACAGTTACCTATACAACAGAGTGAATACAAAATAGTTTATTACAATGAAATAATTTAATAAGCATGTGTTATAAGACTCCTCTGTAATGTAAATTTTTTTCTCACCAATTACCAATAATTAATTTTTAATTTTTAAAGTAACTGTGTTTTTTTTAAGATTTTATTCATTTATTTTTAGAGAGGGGACGGGAGGGAGAAGACAGGAAGAGAAACATTCTTGTGTGGTTGCCTCTCAGGCACCCCCTGCTGGGGACCTGGCCTACGACCCAAGCATGTGGCCTGACTGGGAATCAAACTGGCAACACTTTGGTTCACAGACCAGCACTCAATCCACTGAGCCACACCAGCCAAGGCTAATTATTTATTTTATTAAATTACTGAATTTTGGGGCAGTTTGCTATGCAGCAATACATAACTGATACAGAGACCAAGGTATGTCCTGGGAGAGCAAGTACCCTAAAGGTAAGAGGCACCGACATGTTGCAAATGGTAAAATTTCATTTTTAAATTTAAAAATGTTTTAAATTTCATTTTTTATTGCAGAATATTATTCCATTGTATACCTGCCACATCTACTTTATCCATTGATCTATCTACCACGTCTATTTGCTTTTCTCATTTGATGGGCTACTTTTACATACTGTATTTTGCTGTGTATAATGCGCACCCATGTTTCTGTGCACATTATACACAGGCTTATTATACCCATGGTATGCAATCATTATACCCATGTGTAATGTGCACCCTTATTTTTCCCTGAAAAATTTGGGCAAAAAGCTGCGCATTATACACAGCAAAACACGGGTAATATTTGTCACGCAGAAGCGTTGGTGAGGGCATGTGTGTTTTTCTGAGGCTATTTTAAGGGCACTGAACTGAAACTTCTAGAGAATTCCCCCTTGTGTAACCTTGCCCTTTAGGGCAACTTCTCCAAATGGGTTTGTCTACTTGAATGTGACCCATGGCCTCTATCTGATAACATGATGCAAACAGTTTCCCAGAAATTCTGCCGAATGGACGCTTCTGCCAACTTCTCCCTTTGACTCTGCTGTGGAGGCCAGCCGGCTGCCGCAGCTTCTGCATCGTTCTAAAACCTGCCCTTCCTCTCCAAGCCCACGACCTAATTTGGGCCCAGACATGACCTTCTCTGACATGGCTTCTTTCACGAGCCTGCCAGTGGCCTTGCCTCTCCTCAGTCCCTTTCGGTCTGGTCTCCGCTGTGCTCTCTGGGGAAACCTGTCTCAGACACCGTCCGGATGCCTCACTGCCCCATTCGACATGGCTCCTTGATTCCCGACCCCCTTTTCTTCTTTTTCCATTTTATTTTATTTCTTTCTTTCTAATTTTTTCAATGACAGTTGACATTCAACATTATTTTGTATTAGTTTCAGGTGTACAGCTTAGTGGTGAGGCAATCATATACTTTCAAAGTGTTCTCCCTAACAGTTCCGGTACCTACCTGGCCCCATACATAGCTAATACCATATTACTGACCGTATTTTCTGTGGGGTACTTTACATCCCCAGGACTATTTTTATAATGGCCAATCTGTAGTTAATTCCTTCACCTTATTCACCCATCCCTCAACCCCCTTCCCACCTGGCAACCATCAGTTTGTTCTCTGTATCTATGAGTCTATTTCTGTTTTTTTTTGTTCATTTATTTTGTTTTTTAGGATCCACATGTAAGTGAAACCATATGGTATCTGTCTTTCTCTGCCAGACCTATTTCATTGAACACAATACCCTCTAGGTCCAACTGTGCTATCCCAATGGTAAGATTTCACTCTTTTTTATGGCCAAGTAGTTTTCATTGTATACCTGTACCCCAACTTCTTTGTCCAGTTGTCTATTGATGGGCATTTGGGTGGCTTCTATATCTTGGTTGTTTAAAAACAATTCTTTAGTTGACTTGGCTATGCAACCAAGCTTGAAAATGAGGCAGTAGTACTATATCTCGTAAGTTGCTGTCTCTTGATTGTATTAGAACTAACTGGGGATTTTATAAATAATTCTGTTTCCTGACTACTCTTCTCTGCTGGGTGAAAAAGCCATTGGATCAAGCTTTGACCATCTGCCTTCAGCTCCCCACTGTTGCGACGCTTAAACTCTGCCATTATACGTAATATGTAAATAAACATGAGCAGTTGTATTCCAACAAAACTTTTTTTACCTCTCTTTTATTGTATTATGTTTTTTCCCCATACTTTTTCATCCTGTTTGGGGTCCTTTGGGCTTTGTGAATATGGGTAAGTCTATTATCTTGATTGTGATGAAGGTTTCATCGGTGTTTGCATATTAATTATAATAATATGTGGTACTTATTAATTATATCCAGGTCTTTGTATACCAATGATATCTCAGGAAAGCTGTTAAAGATATTCTTCTTCTTTTAATTTTTTCCAGCCATATAAAATGCAATGGTGGAGATGGTCATACAACAGTTTGTCACTGAAGCCTGTACTTAGAAATGGTTCAAGCGGTATATTTTATGCTACTGCAAATGAAAAAGGAGTTTTAGGTAAAGTGCGCTTACAGGGCGATCTGACCATAAATTCCTAACTGGGTAGTCACCCCCCAGGCCTATGAGTTCTTCAGTCAGAGGCTTATCTTTGCCTTAAGCCAGCTCAGTGTGTTGTTTCTGGGCACAGAGGTCAAGACACCCTTGAAATAAGCTGTGACAACACCCTGAGAGAGCGGAGAACTTTTTTTGTTCTGTTTTGCCTTGTGGGTACTTTTTTATTTTTAAAATTCCTATTTTAAAATATTCTGTGTTTTCCATTACCATTTAGTTCCCGTATAACCCCCTCTCCCCAGCAATTACCACATCGCTGTGCCTGTCCATGAGCCCTTTTTCCTTTTTGCTCAATCCCTCCACCCCCCCTTGCCTCCAATAGCTGTTATCTGTTGTTCATCTGGGAGTCTGTCTCTGTTTTGCTTGTTAGCTCCGTTGAGAGAGCATATAATCTTATTATCCTGTACTCTGACCCCTGCCTCGCGTTCTCCCGCCTTCAGGTAATCTTCCTTCCATTCTCTTCTTAATTTCAACTGCAGAAAACACCTGCAAAACTATTATTCTCGGAGCATTCGAGATCTAGCCCTCTGGCATATGCCATCAGTGTGGCTCCAATAAACTCTTACAAAAATTCCCTACCAACTTGGATGTTTCTTACATTGACACTATATGTATTTTGACACGAAAAATGCAAAAAATAAAACGAGTAAAATGTAGGGGCTGCACAAAATCATGGGGCTTGCCAGATTTGGCCTCTGGGTGATACGATAGGGAGCCCGGCTCTAGACCGCACGATTTTGACAAAAGGAATGAATCTAGGATTTTTTCTGTGCATCTAGGCTGTGACATAAAACGTGGCGCCCAAGAGGATTTAAGTTTATTTGTTTAATCAATGAAAATATGCAAAAATTACTCTGTCATTGTCTCCCAGGAACTTTGGAGGGTCCTGGGAATTGCCAGGCAATTGTCGTAGAGGTTCTAGAACTGACTGGGTGATACTGTTCAGGTCTCCAGATTCAGGGGATCACGCGGGTCCCCTCAGCCAGGTCGGCGGCCTCAGATTTAGAAACAGTGATGCCAGAGGAGGGACCTTCCAATAGGCAGCTCGAAGTTTTACTGTCCTACACAAGGTTCAACTCAGGGCAACTGTTGCATAATTGCTGATCTGGGTCGGTCTGGGCGTCGAAAACGTCCCTTGGGTGGGGACACGGAAGGCCACTTGGAAATAGGTGACATCTTGGGGGTCTCTAGCTTCAGAGGCCTGAGAAAGGAAGGGCGGCCATGATATGGTGGGGTGATGTTAGGGACCAAGGAATTGTTGGGGGGCAGAGGAAAGGGGGAAACTCTTACCTGCTTGCTCATTGATTCTTCTGCCTGTGGCTGTCTCCCTGTCTTGGCGGCTTCTGGAGGGAAAAGGTTGTCAGGCGCAGCATATTGGGCCCCCCAATTACGTACGTTAACACCCCAGTCTGCAATGTGACAGTATTGGGAGGCGGTGCCCCTGAGAGGGGATTGGATGTAGATGAGGTCATAGGGGTGGACTTCTCATAGCGGGGTTAGTGTCCTTGTGGGAGCAGGCCAGAGTTCCAGCTCCTTCTCCCTGCCACCTTGTAAGGCCCAGCAGGAAGGGGGCCACCTGCAAGAGAACTCTACCCTCTTCAGGACCCAAATCACCAGCACCTTCACCGCCGACCTCCCGGCCCCCAGAACTGTGAGAACCGAGAACTGAACGCTGGCTGAGCCTCCCAGTCTATTTTGGTCACAGCAGCCAGAATGGACTGAGACAGAGGTGGCCATGTCCTCAGAGAGGCTGCTGTCGATGTCCCAGCCCTGTCTTCTGAGTTCACAGGTAGGAGCCGGGGCTCAGAAGGTTATCGCAGTCACAGCTGGAGCCAGCAAACCAGCCCGCGTCTCTTACCTGCTTCCTGTGCAAATTATCCCCAGCAAATGCCTCTCCCCCTCTCCCCTGTAGGATCTGTAGCACCGGGGGCCCTGCTCTGGTCTCCCTCCCTCTCAGCAGGACATACTGTTTTTGGCTTTGTGATGGTAGAGGAAGATGAAAAGGATGATGAGGCCGAGGAGCAGCAGGCTGGCCACTGGCAAGCCAATCAGAATGAGCAGGTTTGGGGACTGGTCTGCAAAGGAGAAAACAGCTGGGAGCAGCTGCCCTGCCTGAAGGACCTTCGCAGAAGGCACAGTTTCTGTGTGCTCTCCCAGATCCCGTCCCGAATGTGGAGGGTTGACCCCGGCAAACCCTAATATAAGCAGAGCCACCTTAAAGTGGACCTGGAGCATCCACGTCAGAGGAGATGCCTTGCACGCCCTACAACTCAAGCTCTGGAATGTTAGGAGCAGGGCAACGGAACCTTTGGGTTGGGCCTTAGTAGCTTTGTGTCCCAAAGAACTGTTTGCAAGACAAGAAGAAAGCTGATGACTCTGACTACTGTACAGATGGCTACTGGGCTTGCTTAAGATAAAAACAAACCAAAACATCGTTGCCCTGGCTGGTGTGGCTCAGTGGATTGAGTGCTGGTCTGCAAACCAAAGGGCCACTAGTTCGATTCCTAGTCAGGGCACATAACTGGGTTGTGATCCAGGTCCCCGGTGGGGGGCGGGGGGCATGTGAGAGGCAACCACACATTGCTGTTTCTCTCCATCTCTTTATCCCTCCCTTCCCCTCTGTCTAAAAATAAATAAAATCTAAAAAGTAAAACAACAACAACAACATTGTTTAGCTTTAACCTCATAACTGTACAGAAATTTTATTTCTTTATTAGGACCTTTTCTCCTTCTTTCCTTTTGATTCAAAACTGGCCTCATCTGGCAGGCAGACCCACCCCCTTCCCTCTCCCTTGCACCCCTACTCCCTTAATCATTAAGTCCTCAAGACCTGAGGTTCTGGGCAGCATTAAACAATCTTGGCAACAGAGCCTTGGGTCTGTCGACCACAGACAGAATTTCAGTCGAACTCGAGATAACCCCTTGGCCTCAGTTGTGTTTCAGCTCCAGACCCAGACGAGTGAGCAGCCCACTGACGAGACAGAGTGACGCCCTGGCTGATGTCAGGACCGGATGCAATGGCCACATACCCCTCGCCCTAGCGCTGACCAATCAGTGGAGACCACAAGCCTAACCAGAACGCTTAGTCACCATGATTAATGATTTCGCTCTCTGCATGTCCTAGAAGCCACCTGAGAGCCAGATCATGGAGCATTAGCGCACCTGTGACTCTAGGTTTGGTGCCATTTCCTTAAAATAAACTTTTACTTTCTTGGCTGCAAACTCCTATTCACACTTGATTGGGCTTTGATGCATGCAGATGAATGACACCCTTTCGTCTGATAACATCGCCAGTTACGTTATCTGTACTGATAGCAATGCCTTCCTTCTATTAATGTAGTTGCTTTCCTTCCTTTTCTCATAAATGCCCATTGGCTTTGTCTCCTCCACTGATGAACAAAAGAGAAACAGAAAGATGGACAAAGGAGAAACAGAGGCATGAACACATGGAACAGACTGACAGCTGTCAGAGGGGTGGATGAAAGAAGGGCAAGACATTAGCTAAAAACGTACATGTATAACCTACAGACAAAGACAACAGTGTGGTGAAGCCCAGGGAAGCAGGGGAGGGCTGGGAGGGTGGGGGCAAATAGGGACATCTGTACTAGTGTCAACAATAAAAATAAAGGAAAAAAAAAAAAGAGAAGAAGAACATTTCATGACGTGTGCAAACATCTAAAACAAATTTCAGCACTCGTATGTGACACGCTGTGGGAACATGAACAAGCTGACTGTGGTCCCTCCGTGCTACAGATTATGAGTTGCCTAGTTGCAAAGGTGACCACGGAGCCCAAAGCCCGAATCATTTACAACCTAGCCCATGGCAGATGCTGTTTGCTGACTCCTGGGGTGGAGAAAAAGACAAGATAAATCAAGAGGGTGAATATCATGCTGAGCAAGATAAGTCAATTAGAAAAAGTCAAGGACCGTACAATTTCTGGCATATGTGGGACATGAAACTGAAAGCAACCAACGAAGAAGAAAAACAAGCAAAAACTCATAGACACAGACAACAGGATGGTGTTACCGGGGGGAAGGGGGGCGGGGGGCGGTGGAAGAGGGTAAGGGGGTCAAATACGCGGCAATAGAAGGTGACTTGATTCGGGGTGGCGAGCACAGAATGCACCGTACACCTGCCGTATCGTAGAGGTGTGCGCTGGGGGCTCATGCAATGTTCTTAACCAATGGCACTCCAATAAAGGTAATAAAAATTTAAAAATAGGGTGAAGATAGCAAAGCTAATGGGTGAGCTCACTTTAAGACTTAAGAACGGGGGCGGGGGGCTATGTCAAAATTTGTGGGGCAAAAAGGCATTTGCCGCCGCTAACACTACACATAAAGGATTCTTCGTGGGTCGGTGAGATTCCAATACAAGTATGGTTAACACATGCTAGATCCCAATAAAATGACTTCTTATTTATTTTTCTTTTTTTATGTAAATAATATATTTGTTTATTTTTATTGTTGTTCAAGTACAGTTGTCTTCATTTCCCCTCTACTATTGCTCCTTACCCCAGCCTTTGCTGCCTCCCACCCTCAATCCTACCCCCTTTGGCTTTAGTCCATGTGTCCTATTGAGTTTATTGGGGGTGACAGTGGTTAATAAATTTATGGGTTTCAGGGGTGCAATGCTATAATACACCATCTGGGTATAGTACTGTGTATTCACCCCAAGTCAAGTCTCCTTCCATCAGCATTTCTCCCCGTTTTACCTCTTCTACCTCCCATCCTAAAATGATTTCTAACCAAATGGGCAGTGAGCTGGGCTTAGCCCTTGGACCGTAGCCTTCCAAACCCTGTTCTACCCATCTCTTATGTATTTTTTACCCCAATAGATATTTTTTTTTTGGCTTGCATTATGTTTCCCGTTAGGACAGCCCTCGCGCTCGTCCTTGCATTCTCTGCAGTCTTTATACTCATCAATTTTATTTGTATCTACAGTCCTCCACCCTTGTAGCTCAAGACTTATAAGCCAACTTTGAACGCATGTAAGATAATGCACAGCTTTCTCAGAAGCACAAGTCCAAGACAGAACTCCTCACTTCGTCCCACCTGCCTTTGAAAATGCCTGTGCCTATTTCTCCATGAACGGTCCTGCAAAGCATGCATGTCACAGGTACCGAGAGCGATGTGTCATGGGACTGCAGGCAAGTTTATACTAAACTCTTCTCAACATGTAGGGACACAGCAATGGTGGCCACGACCACAGAAAATCTTGGCCCAACAGTCTCTTTTTTCTTTAAATCCTCACCTGAGAATATGTTTATTGATTTAGAGAGAAAGAGAGAGCGAGAAGGAGAAACGCTGATTTGTTGTTCCACTTATTGGTGCATTTATTGGTGGATTCTCCTATGTGCCCTGACTGGGGATCGAACTTGTCACCTTGGCATATGGGGACGATGCTCTAACTAACTGAGCTACCCAGCCAGGACCAGAAGTCCTCTTAAAAAGCTGATTCTGTCTCTGAGAAATCCTATTTTTACTCCAAGGCCCAGAGAAGACGTATGAAGACTTGTACTTTGAATTTTCTGCATGCACGATGACTCACCCTGTGGAGGTCTGGGCTCTGTGGGTGCGGTAGAACTGTCAGGGACTTCCGCAGAGGGGGACAAAGTGGGGCTGGTTTCCTTTGCTCAGACTCTCTCTGCACAGACTTGCAATAACTCACATGCCCTCACTGGCCTGTCACGGGGTAGGAGGGTTGCGGGGAGGGAGAGGGGCGAGGGTGAACTCACCGCTTCATGCCTAAGAAGAGAGTGCTATACGCCCTCCTCCCCAGCTGTCCCCCAATCTCTACTCTAACGGGACACCCACAACCTCAAGTGGAAACATGAAAACAAATGAGCTTCCTCACCTTTGAACACAAGCTCTAATGGGACACTGGCGTAGGACCACAGGTAGGGGTCTTTGTTGAAGGCCCCATAGCACCTATAGGTCCCTGCCTGTGTGCGGGTCACCGGGCCGCTGTGGAAGATGGTCTGGTGTACATTGTCCTGGCGTGTGGCGCACTGGGTGGTGTGAACTCCATCTTTGGTGAGAATGAATGTATCAAAGCTGAGTTTTGAGAAACACTTCAACATCACCTCGTCTCCTGAAGTCACCACAGTGCCCGTCAGGTTGCTGAGTGAGGGTTTCTGATAAGCTCCTGAGAAAGAGGGAAGTGTGGTGACAAAGGGGAGGCCGTGCACATGCATTGTCCCTTCTGTTTCCCAGGCGCAGATGCGGCTCTGGCTTCCAACCGCTCCCTGTGCCGCCCTGAGGAAAGCCCTCTCGGCAGCACCCTGCTTCCTCCCCAGAGATGGAGGTTTCATATCTGGGACGCTGGTTCTTCCCCCTGCAAAGGGGTCTGTCCTGGCCCTGATGTCCGCGTGTCACTCACCTGTCATGGCCAGCAGCAGGGGGCCACTGGGTTGGGACCAGCATTCTCCAATCCTGTAGGAACAGTGGTACAGGCCTGTCTTGCCTGCTGTCATCTGTTGGATATATAAAGTGGAGTTCTCAGCCACCGTAGACTCTTGTTCTCCCTTTTTAAGTATCTTGTATGCTTCAGCTTCTGGGGGCCCTTGGCACGTGATGGTCACAGGTTTATCACGCAGAACCAGAGATTCAGGCTGAGCTGTGATAGCAGGTTGGGTGAGATTTCCTAAAAGAACAGGTAAGAAATGCGCAGGTGTATCTGTTTTCCATGCCATTGCCCACTTGCTCCACTCTCACGTCCGCAAGGTTAAATGCCAAGACGCTTCCTCCCCGTGGCCAGGAGAGCCGGCATCTGTCCGAACCCTCCTCAGTCCTTGGAACGTTAAAAAATACTCACCACATAATAAGAAAAAAAAGATAAAAATGAAAAATAATATAAAAATACTCACCTCTCTGAGCCTGCATGCACTCACCCAGATACAGCCCTGGAAGAAAACAGTGGGTGAGAACAGCCCACTGAAATTTTTTTTTTTTGTTTACAGTTCACATTCAACATTATTTTGGATTAGTTTCCGGTGTACAGCATAGCGGCCAGACCATCATATACTTTATAAAGCACTTCCCCTCATATTTCTAGCACCTACCTGCCACCACGCATAGTTGTTACAGTATTGTTGACCGTATGTCCTATGCCGTACTTTACATCCCCGTGACTGTTGTATATCTACCAACTGGTACCTCTCAATTCCTTCACCTTTTTCACCCAGTCCCCCAACCTCCCTCCGCTCTGGCAGCTGTCAGTCAGATTTCTGTGCTTATGAGTTCCTTTCTATTTTGTTTTCTTTGTTTACATTGGAGATCCGCCCCGTCTTATAGAACCTCCACCCTGCCCCGCTGTAGTCTTGTGTTTGCACCTCGACCCTCCTGTCCATACTCACTGAGGCAGAGCAGAATGGGCAGAACCAGGGACATGGTCCTGGGTCCTAGCTGGTCGCCTGCCCCAGCGATGCTGCTTCTGTGAGGCACGGACCTCCCTAAGAGGAATGCGAGGCAACAGGAAGTGGCGCAGTGGCCTTGAACCTCCCTCCCAGCGTAAAGGCATTTCACAACCTGTTCTGGGTGAGTCTTGCACACGCAGCTCCGTCACGAAAATGATAGTCATCTGACCTTCACATGACCATCAGTCTAACCTGGTCCCGATTGCTGTCCCATTTCCTCAGGAGCATTCAATCTTTATGTTTCAAGTGTGCACTGAGCAAGAGCACAGATAAAGAGCAGGTCGGAAGTAGACACACCCAGTCTGAGGTGTGTTCTGAAATACTCTGTGAGCTCATGGCTCTTGCTTCTAAACGCTGGGGACATGCCTTGCCACTATCACTCAAAGGAAAAAAAAAAGTCTGCTGCCTGTCTAATCTGATTCTGTTCTTTGTGCTCTATTTTTTTTGCAATCTTTTAATGCAATGGATGGGGTAAAGAACAGGAAGTCAACGCTTTCCAACCTGAGGTCTGCTCTGAAATACCACATGAACCCATGGCCCCCTTTTGTCAATTCTGTGTTCCATTCTTTATATTCAAAATGGCGGGCATGACAATGAGTTCCTGAGGAGCTGTGATTGCAGAGTGTGCAAACTGTCCCAGGCAGACCTTGCCTGAGGGGCAGTTGTGGAACTAGCATCGGTCCTGTTGCTGTCTGTTTTTCCAAAGCTGCGTCAGCACGGATTCTATTCCTGGAAGTCAAGCTCCACACCCTTATCTGACACTCGTTTGGAAAGAACCAGCATGAATAGCTTCTGTGGCTATTCAGGACGGCATCTACAAACAGCAGAGATTCAAGGAGTGGTGATTCTGGGGCTTACGGGAATGGGAAGAAATAAGGATGGAGGGCCCCCAGATGTTTCCCTGAGTAATTGACTGACGTCTGGCACCACAAGCAGGGAAAGAACAAGCCGTGCGTGCGTGCGTGATATCGAGGGCGCGTTTTCTTTCACTGTATTACCTCACAGACACTAGGCATCAGAACAGAATCAGAGGAGAGATGGGCTGGCCTGTTGGAGAGTATAGCTGCCAAACTTGAGCCACCGTTTATTTAGGGAAAGCCTTTACCTGTTGAAGAATACCTCCCCAATCAATCAACTTTGCAACGCGAAGTCTTACGCTTTCTTAGGTGTCGGATGCGACCGGCCAAAGTCCCAGGCACAGGCCCGCTCACGCCATAGCCGCAGCTCTGAATCGTTTTGCCTCTCTGGCCTTTGAGGACCTTGGCAGAATCATGCGCAGTCCTTCAGACTGAGAAATAGCTCCCCTGCCCCGGGGGTGTCCTTCTGGTAGACACGCGCCGGTCGCCTTCATCCGAGCTTAACAGCAGCATCACCACGGCCTGCTCGGTTCTGTCCGAACAAATCAGCTCCCTCATGTTTGTGCCCTTGGGTCGTGCCCTGGGCCTGGGGAAACCTGGTGCAGACGTTGGCGCGGGAGCTTTCTGTGGCTGGGTTTTCTCAGGACTGAGAAGGTAATTGAACATTCCACCTAGAGGCAGACAGGGTTTCCTGTCTGTGGAATTAGGGGAAAATATCCATATCAATCAATTGATCAATCCATCCATCCATCGATTCGTTTAGCCATCCATCCATCCATCCATCATCCATCCATCCATGAATCTAGTACCTATCTAAGGTATCTCCATCTTCCAGAGCCACACATGGAGACCTTAGAAACAACACTCCTTAGCATTCTTGGCTCTCAAGTTGTTTTGGAAACCCACCGTCTGCTTTAGTATGGCCCCAAGGATGAAGAATGACTTCTACATTTTTAAATGGCAAAAAAATAATGCTCTCCAGTTCCATCCATGCCGTTGCGAAGTTTAGTAGTTCTTTTTTTCTTTCTGCTGCGTAGTATTCCACTGTGTATATGTACCATAATTTTTTTGATCCAATCATCTACTGATGGGCATTTAGGTTGACCAACAATACAAAGACGCAAGGAAAATAAGACCAGCAACACTGAAAGGAAAAGAAATCAACAGAGACAAGAGGGAAGGAGGGGGGGCGGGGAAAAAGAAGGGAAGGGGAAAGTCAAGGAACATATAGCAAGGACTCATGGACACAACCAAAGGGGAAGAGCTGAGGGAGGGAAGGAGGGAGGGGACAAGGGAAAGTCGTGGAGGGGAGGCAGAGACAAATGTATTTGAAAAAATAAATTAAAATAAAATTAAAAAAAATAAATGGCAAAAAAAAATCAGAAGAAAAATCACTATTTTGTGACCTACGCAAGTGTTTTGAAATGCGAAATTGCTTTGTGTCTGAAGTTGTACTGGAACTCAGCCGGACCCGTTCATTTGGGTGTCGTTTGTAGTTGTTGCGGCTGATGGGAAGGGGTTTACCCAGGAGACGCTTTGCTGCCACAACAGCAGAGTTGCGTAGTCCCGACGGAGACCAGGTGTCTTCCAGTTTCGTATTGGAGCTTGAGAGGAAGTTTGCTGGTTCCTTCTGTAGAATAACAGTGCCAACGAGCAGAGCCTGAGAGGGCTCTCAGAGAAAACTTCCCAGGGGGAGTTATGCATATGCATAATTCAGTGACTTTTACTAAATTCCTCCATTGATGCAACCATTGTCACCGTCCAGTTCTAGAAACTTCCAGAGCCCCCAGGGGATCTCCAGTCCCCCTTTACCGTTGATCCCATTTCCGCTGCCAGCCCCAGCCAATCTGCTTTGCTTCCCTGCAGTTTGACTTTCTTGGAGATTTCAGAAATGAAATCACACAACGGGTGGTCTTTTGCATCTTAGCGTAATGTTTCCCTCCACGTTGTAGCACGCACCAGCACCTCGTTCCTTTTCATTCCTTTTTATTTATATTATATGGGGTATAATCGACATGTTACATTGAGTAAGTTTGAGGGGGACACTGTGTTGATTTGATACATTTTTACGCTGCAATATGATTGCCACAGTAACGTTAGCTAACACAGTGTTACCTCACAAAATTATAACATTTTTGGGTGGTGGGAACATTTCATATCTACTCCCTCAGCAAGTCTCAAGTTTATAACATCATATTGTTAACGATATTCACTACTGTGTACATTAGAGCCCCAGGACTTACTCATAACGCTAAGTGTGTTTCCTGTGACCAGCATTTCCCCATTTCCCCCTTCCCAGCCTCTGGTAACCACTGTTCTATTGTTTGCTTTTGTGAGTTCAGTTTTTAGGGTCCACTTATAAGTGATATCAGTTTGTATTTATCTTTCCCTGACTTACTTCACTCAGCATAATGTCCTCCAGGCTCATCCATGGTGTCACAAATGGCGGGGTTTGGAGAGCCTATTTCTTTCCAAACATTTTTTTAATGGATATTTTCTTTTGTTCAAAAAGTGTTGTTACAGTTGCCCCCATTTTTCTCCCAATGCTCTCCCCTGTCCCACTGCCTCCCTGGGCTCGACATATTCACTCATTTATTTTTAGGGAGGAGGAAGGGAGAGAAAAAAGAGAGGAAGAGAAACCGCAGTTGCCTGTCGTACACACCCTGACCGGGGCCTGAATCCGGGCAGTGAACCACTGACCTTTTGCTTTGCGGGATGACTCTCTAACCAGCTGAGCTACACCAGCCAAGGCCCATTTCCCCGCAGGTGACTTGGTGGGGGGGTTTTCTTTCTCCCTCTCCTGTGACAGTCTTATCTTGTTCATGTCATTCACTGGCCCCCTTGCAGCGACCCCCTGGCCTGGCTTAGATCTGTTCTACCAACCCTGGGCATTCTGTTAGGGCGCTTTTGCTTGTGGCTTCTTATCAGTTCACTCCATGCTCTGTTCTGGCCACATAGTTCCTCTTTTTTGTATTTAACCACTGTCTCAGGCTTTGCCTATCCTGCCCAAACTCTCCTCCTCCTCCTCCTCCTCCTCCTCCTCCTCTTTCCCTCCCCCTCCCCCTCCCCCTCCTCCTCCTCCCCCTCCTCCTTCTTCTTCTTCCCAGGTTTTCTTTATATTTCAGTTACATAGTTCATTGTAAAAAAAAAAATCATGGGTTTTTTATTTTATTTTTTCTTTCCATTACCGTTCCAATTTTATTTTTCTATTGTTATTCAAGCACAATTGTCTCCACTTCCCCCTTCACTCTCTCCCCCCATCCACCCCTCCCTCCCCCCCTCAACCCTACTAACCTTTGGCTTTATCCATGGGTCCTTTATCCTTGTTCCTTGATGACCCTTCAAACTCACTCATTTCATCAGAAGCCTGTTAAAGTCCATCTCTCTCCCCTGACACCCATGTGTTCTGTGAACTTGGGGGAGGAGTTGCTCAATATTTCAGTCTCAATTTCTTCAGTTGTAAATGGGAGATGTTAAGTGTACACAGATTTCATAGGGCTATAGGATGATTAAATGAAATAATGTCATAACTGGATCATGGTACCTACGAATCCATCAGTAAATATATGGTTATTTTGCCTTTCAGTTGATTTTCTGAATCCTGAAATACGCGTACGTGAAAAGGCAGTTGCATACTTTAATTTATGCATTTGGTAATTTATTAATTAGTTAGCTGCTAGTTAGTTATTGTGCATGACGAACAGTTCAAGGCACTGCCTGTCTGCCATCTTGTCTTGATTTGAATCTTGGATCCAACTATTACGATTCTGTAATTGAGCTTTAGTTCTTAACGTCAGTCAAACTGCAATGATCATAGGGCTTACTTCATAAGCTTTATGAGGATTGAAGGACGCAACACAGGCAAAGGAACAGTTTGCTCAGTAATTTAATTATTATGAACAGTAACTTTTCATTTTAAAATCGACCATGGATACTTTCTTTTCACGGCACAGGCTACGAAGTTGTCCTGTGGAAACGCTGCTTGGTGTTGGACACCAGGGAGTTCGCTCACCAGCCTGCTCCTGCCTGGCTCTGGGGCATGTGGCTGATTTGCAGAAGCATCCCCTTTCCTGGGTGCATAGGAAAATGTCCCCATCTTGGTCGGATGGGCTTCTGATAAATGCCATTTTTAATTTAATGCCTGCTTGGTGTTCACGGATGAGGCCACTGATCAATTCACATACCGGATTGGTATTTCAGTATTTCTGAACTACACGGGGGCGTTTGAAAAGGAGCAGCTGTTTACCGAGCGTAGGGAGTGATGTCTTGGGGGGAATGTGATATATATGAGTGTAAAAGCAGCGAAGCGGCGGGCACCTTTTACAAACGCTGTGTTGATTTCAGCAAAATTCCCCTTTGTTCAACAGATATAGCAAACATAATATTCCCAAACATCACATTGTCCACCCTAAATATATGCAATTTCTATTTGTTAATTATATCTTAAGAAGGCTGGAAAAAAAATGGACTTGTAAAAGAAAGATAAACCTTTGTCTTTCACTGACTGACTTTTTTTACTGAGCGTAATATTCTCCAGTTCCATCCATGTTGTCGTAAAAGGTAGGAGTTCCTCCTTTCTTTCTGCTGCATACTTACCTATAAGAGGAATCTAATAAACACAATAAACTAATAAACAAAGTAGAACCACAGGCATGGAAACAGGGAACAGACGGGCTGTGACCAGAAGGAAGGAGCTAGGGGATAAAGCTGGAAAGAAGGGGGAGGGAGGAGACAAAGAACGTGTGTGAATGAGCCGTGGGCACGGGCAACGGCAGGAGAATCAACTGTGGGGGCAGGGAGGCGGGAGGGTGGAGGAGGGCAAAGGGGGAAAAATTGGGACAACTGTAATAGAATAATAAAAATCGTTAAATAATAAAAAAGAAATGTAAACCTAAATATCTTTATTTTTAAAAGATTTTATGTATTTATTTTCAGAGAGAGAGGAAGGGAGGGAGAGAGACATCAATGTGTGAGAGAAACATCCATTGGTTGCCTCTCAGGTGCCTCCACCTGGGGACCTGGCCTACAACCCAGGCCCGTGCCCCGACGGGGAAGCAAACCCGTGACCTTCTGATTCTCAGGCCAACACTCAATCCACTGAGCCACGCCAGCCAGAGCTATCGATTTAAGGTAACCTAGAATGTGCATGCGTTTCAATATACCTGATACAATGGACGGAAGCCTCTAATTGCAACCTCAATAGCAGTTCTCAGCTGGGGGGCTAGTTCATCTCCCAGGGGACATCGGACAATGTTTGGAGACGTTTTGGGTTGTCACAAATGGCGATGCTGCTGACATCTGGTGGGTGGAGGCCAGGGACACTGATGAGCACCCTACTGTAGACAGGACAGCCCCCGACACCAGAGAATCGCCCTCCTCCAAAGCCCGGCAGTCCCGAGGCTGAAAACCCTCACCGAGATGGCGTAGGAGCCAGATTGAACATGAGAATCACCAGGGAGCTTCTGAGGGCTCCTGGTCCTCTATCACCCACCCCAGACCAATTCAATTAGGATCTCCATGGAGAGGGCCCAGGTCCTTTCAATGTGAGGCTCATTTGGAAAGTCGAGAGGCACCCATTGGTGATCATAGTGGGGTTATTCCCCGCCCCCTCTCCCAGGGCAGGAAGATCGGCTCCCATGGTGGTCCCACAGGCCAATCATGACGCGTGGGCCGGCAGAAGAATGCCTCTTATTGGAGAACTCGGTGGCTGGGATCCCCTCAGGCTGCAAGGAAGCCCCAGCCTCAGGTAGGTGAGTACCAGCCCTAGCAGCTCTTTCTCTGTCTCATCCTTTCAGTAAACAGCAACGACAGGTTTAGCCTCTACCACACACAGCGTGGCAAGCTTGAACGCTCGCTGTGAGGCTTTTAGAAGGATGTTTGAGGTCCTCAGGCTGAGCTCTCTTTTGCAAGGACGAGAGAACAGATGGAGAGGAGTCAGCTGTCCAGGATGCCACGCGCCATTTTTATTTCTAATGTTACTTTTTAAGTGTTCGACGGAGGTCCTGTTCCATCTCATAAAATCTGCCCTTTTGACGCATGCCATGATGTTTAGTAGACTTACAGAGTTGTGCATCTACCACCACAGTCCAATTTCAGAACATTCCCGTGGCTCCAAAGAGCCTCCTCCTGCTCCTCTGCGGTGTCCTCATATCCTAGTCACCCTTTCGCATGGTGCCAGATGTTCAGCTTCCATCTGCCGTCCACCGGTGGGGGTGGCATCCCTCCTGAGTACCGCAAGACGGATGCAAAAGTCACAGAAATGCAGGCTCCAGGGGAGGGATGTCATCACGGCATTTAGTTTTGTATTCCCGGTAACCTATGGTGACAGAGTATCCAGGCCCTGTTGCTAAAGAAACATGCGGCGTTTGTAACAATTCTGTCATTCCAGGCTATAGCACAACAGATCTTTCCAGCAGGCACCTTCATTTCAATTTTTTTTTTTGGTATAGCACAGATGACTTTTTATCTATCTATTACAGTTGGTAGTCAATATTATTTTAATTTTTAAAATTTATTGATTTGAGGGGCAGGGGAGAGAAACAGCGATTTATTGTTCCACTTACTGATGCATTCATTGGTTGCTTCTTGTATGTGCCCTGACCAGGGATCGAGCCTGCGACCTTGCAGGCCAGGGCTCAATATACTTTGATATTAGTTTCAGGTGCACAGTAGAGCAGGCGCCTCTATTTTTATTTCCCCACGGCCACAGAGCCTCTCAGGCTCATTCTGCTCAGCTCCTAAATTTCTCCGCTCTGGGCTTCACCTGTCCTCACTCAGACCTATTTGACGTAAAAAATGGCTCTTCCTCCTCTCCCAGGTAAAACTATCCACCCGGTCCCATCATCCGCTCACTGCTTGCTAGTCATTTCCCCAGCCTCCCTCTCAGGTCCCGCCCTTATCTGCCCGCGACTGTACCCACTCATAACCCTCTTTTCTTCCATGCCCATTCGTTCTGGGTGGGAACAAGCCTGTTTCACCTCGGAAAGAGCAGAGAGAATGACTTACCATATTTTGCTGTGCACAATGTTCTCCTGTGTAAACTGCACATCCACATTTTTGGCCCCAACTTTCAGGAAAAAAAAAATTTAAAAAATTTTTTGTTTTAATTTTAAAATTCTATTTATATTTAGGTACATATTTTTCCCATTATAAAGGAATTTTAACATTTATTTTTGAACATACTATAAGGAATTTGTTGTAACAAAGAATGGCAAAACATAACAGATACAAGGTATTTCAGGTACTACTCCTCATGTAGAATGCATGTCCTTATCTTTCCCTGAAAAATTTGGGCAAAAATACTGCGCATTATACGTGGCAAAATACGGTCAGTAAGCAATTGCCTCTGCACTCTGCCATTGGGTGGTTCCACGTGGGGCTGCCGGCGAATCAGGCGGCCGCTTGTGTCGGTGGAAACTGGGTGTAAATGATTTATGACCCACTGGTACCCGAGCGGGGTCAGCGGGGGTTCTCAGAAGAGCACAGTCTTCCTCCACACCGTTGTAGGAAACCAGAATTTTGTCTCTGGCTTCCTCCTCTGAGTCCGCCCCATTTCTCCCCGAGGGCCTTTGCGCACCGCCTTTGCGCACCGCCTTTGCGCACCGCCTTTGCGCACCGCCTTTGCGCACCGCCTTTGCGCACCGCCTTTGCGCACCGCCTTTGCGCACCGCCTTTGCGCACCGCCTTTGCGCACCGCCTTTGCGCACCGCCTTTGCGCACCGCCTTTGCGCACCGCCTTTGCGCACCGCCTTTGCGCACCGCCTTTGCGCACCGCCTTTGCGCACCGCGTGCTTCTAATACCTAGTGTTTAGCTGTCCGGGGCTCCCTGGCTAGAGAGTGAGCAGGTCTCCGTGGGGGCTAACTCCCATCCTGGCTGGTTCCCTTTGAATCCCGCAAGGATCAAACTATCTATCTGTAAGCAGCACTGTGGAGAGGCGGCGACTTCAGGCCGACTTGACTGCCTGCTTCCCACGGTACTTTTCTATGTGTCCTGTCTGCAGGGACAAGCCTTCTCCCTCATCGTCGCATAGAAAATTCCATCAGCCCTCATTTTCCCCTCCTATTGGTCACTGCTTGTCAGGACCTTGCCCCTCTCTTCACCTTGTGAGCTCACTTCGCTGGAACCTAGGTTCTGACTCTCGCATTGGGGTTTCTAGGAGCCTCCAAGTCGTCACTACTCCTGTGTTTTTTGGTTCACTCAAGTCTAGCTCCCAGCGCCAAACCCTCACCGCCTTCCCCGCAAGGCTTGCTTCCATCCTAACTGAAAAACGAGACAGACAGGTTCCCTCCCCCTTCTGACAATTCTTTAAGATGTGGGTTACCCAGTCTCCCTTGTACATTTTTTCCCCTCTGAAGACCGCGTGCATGCTGATCGCATTTAATAAAGGACAATATCGGGGCCAAAATCATCCATAACATTGACTGACGCTCAAGCACAGTCTTTGGGTTCCTTGGGTTTATATGTTTTTACTACTTTTCCATTTCAGGGGGTGGAGGACTTGCTCCCATGGGCACACTGAGAGTGTGTAACTTGATGTTGTTTGTTCTCTTCTGACTTGGCATTTTAGCATGAGCATTAAATATTTCGTAACTGCCAAGAGTCCTTATTATCCATTGTGTTTTGAGACATTTTTCATGACCCATTCTTCTGAACAGATGTACTGTATTTTGCCATGTACAGTGTGTTCCTGCACATAATAGGCACGCATGTTTTTGGCCCAAACTTTCAGGAGAAAAATCTTCTGTTTTAATTTTTTAATTCAATATTTATATTTAGAAACAAAACCAATTATTGTATTCCAGGGCATTCTTTTGCATACGGATGTTGTTATTGCTGTCTAGAGTTACACTTTTAATGCATAAGCATAAATAAAATAATTCAAAAACATTTATACAGATATGGAATGAGTACTACCCGTTCCTCATCCTCCTTTTTCCTTCAAAAATTTGGGCAAAAAGGTATGCATTATACATGGCAAAATACAGTAAGCTCCCTTCTGTTTTTATTAAGCAGTTGTATTTCATCTTGTGACTCGTGCTTACTGTTGCCTGAGAACATAAAGATTTTAATTTGTTTTTATTTAATTGGGTGAGGTTGTGTATCCATGATTGAGAGCACAGGTTCTTTTTTTCTTAAATTTTATTTTTCAATTGCAGTTTGCATCCACCATTGTTTTGTATTAGCTTCAGGTGTACAGAATAGTGTGATTAGACAATCATATACTTTACAAAGTGGTCGTCCCCCCGGCCCCAGTATTTCCAATCCCCACCTGACACTATACGCAGTTATTACAATATTACGGACTAGATCCCTTATGCTGTACTTTACATCCCTGTGACTATTTTGTAACCACCAACTTGTTCTTCTTAATTGCTGCCCCCTTTTCACTCCAATTCCCCTCTGGCAACTCTCGGTCTGCAGAGCTCACCTTCTTGAGTTAAATGTGAGAACCTGTGCTGTGGAAACGTAGGCCTTTCACTTCCCTTTGCCTGTGGCCCTGAGACCAGCACGCATCCTTACCACCGGGAGGGTTCGTTGAAGCAGCCCCCTGGGCCCCGGCTGGTGTGGCTCAGTGGATTGAGTGCCAGCCTATGAACCAGAGGGTCGCGGGTTCGATTCCCAGTCAGGGCCCATGCCTGGGTCGGAGGTCAGGTCCCTGAACGGGAGCATTGGGAGGTTGACCATGAACTGATGTTTCTCTCCCTCTTCCTCCTTCCCTTCCCCTCTCTCTAAAAAATAAAAGAAAAATCTTTTTAAAAAAAGGTTCCATCTTTAATTGTTTGAGGTAACTCCACACTGCTCTCCACAGGGGCTGCACCAGTCTGCATTCCCACCAACAGTGCATGAGGGTTCCCTTTTCTCCACGTCCTCGCCAGCACTTGTTATTTGTTGATTTATTGATGGTAGCCATTCTGACAGGTGTGAGATGATATCTCATTATGGTTTTAATTTGCATTTCTCTGATGATCGATGATGTTGATATTTTTTTCATATACCTATTGGCCATCTATATGTCCCCTTTGGAGAAGTGTCTATTCAGGACCTTTGCCCATTTTTAAGTTGGATTGTTTGTCTTCTTGATTTTGAGTGTAGAAGTACTTTTTATATTTTGGAATTTAACTCCTTACCAGATGTTTCATTAGCAAATATGTTCTCCCATACAGTGGGTGCCCTTTTCATTTCGTTGATGGTTTCTTTGGCTGTGCAGAAGCTTCTTAGCCTGATGTAGCCCCATTTGTTTATTTTTTCCTTTATTTCCATTGCCCTAGGAGACATATCAGCAAAAATATTGCTACAGGACATGCCTGACATTTTACTGCCCATGTTTTCTTCTGGGATTTTTATGGTTTCATGATGTATATTTAAGTCTTTTATCCATTTTGAATTTATCCTTATGTATGGTGTAAGTTGGTGGTCTAGTTTTATTTTTCTTGCATGTACCTGTTCAGTTTTCCCAATATCATTTCTTGAAGAGGCTGTCTTTACTGCATTGTATGTTCTCGCCTCCTTTGTCAAATATTAATTGTCCATGAAGGTATGTGTTTATTTCTGGGCTCTGTTCTGTTCCACTGATCTATACCTCTCTTATGCCCATACCAAGGTATTTTGATTACAATAGGCTTCTAGTGTAGTTTGGTAACAGGTATTGTGATACCTTCAACTTTGTTCTTCTCTCTGAAGATTGCTGAGGCTGTTCAAGGTCTCTTTTTGGTTCCAATTAAGTTTTTGGAATATTCTGTATCTGTAAGATATGCCATTCGTAATTTCAGAAGAATTGTGTTGAACCTATAGATTGTTGTGGGTAGTATGGACATTTTAATGATGTTGATTCTTTCAGTCTATGAACATGTTATATGCTTCAACTTATTTAACTCTTCCTCAGTTTCTTCCTTTAATATACTGTAGTTTTCTGAGTACAGGTCTTTTATCACCTTGGTTCAGTTTATTCCTAGGTACCTTATTTATTGTTTTTGATGTAGACACTGTATTGTTCTTGTTGCAATAGTAAATGGGATTGTTTTCTTAGTTTCTCTTTCTGAACATTCATTATCGATGTATAAGAATGCCACCAATTTCTAAATATTAATTTTGCATCCTGTTACTTTGCCAATTTCATTTTCTAGTTTTTTTGGGGAAGTCTTTAGGGTTCTCTGTGATAGTATCATGTCATCTGTAAGTACTTCCTTTCCAATTTGGATGCGTTTTATTTCTTATCTGATTGCTGTGGCTAGGACTTCCTTTACTATGTTGAATAAGAGTGGTGAGAGCGGACTTCGCAGTCTTGTTGCAGATCTTAAGGGAAATGCTTTTAGTTTTTGCCCCTTGAGTATGATGTTGGCAGTAGGTTTTTATATATGGTCTTTATTATTATTTTAATGTAACATTTATTTATTTTCTGAAGTCTCTATAATGTCAGCCCAAGCAATTGAATAAAAAGTAGGCTTACAGTTGTTCATATGGAAAATAATACAATAGTTAATAAATAATGTAACAATAAACTGTTCTATGTCCTCACAACTGTAAACCTACTTTTGCCCACCTTGTCTATAAATCTAAGCTCTAGCTGGTTTTACATATGAATCGTCATCATCAATACTAGCAGTCTGATTAGTGATTACACGCGTATGTGTGTATCCATGTATGTTATTTATACTGAACCCAGGTTCAGCTGCCTGCTCCTTTGAAAGCCAGTACTTGAGAGACAGGTGCTGGTGAAAAGGAAAGTGGTTCGTTCACGTGCCAGCCACCTGGGAAGATGGGGGACTCTTGTCCCAAAGCCCATCTTAATGTCTCAGTGCAGGCAGGGGTTTTCTAAGGAGAGAGAGGGAAAGCAGAACAAAGAGATCAACGGGGGAGGGAGTTGGAAAGTTCTTTACGTGCAGATGAGCACGTAAAGAGGTCCAATAAGGACCTCAAAACTGGTCAAGTGACAGTCTGGTGTGTGTGGTCCTGGTTTTACACCTGACCAGGGATCAAACCTGCAGCATAGGGATGTGCCCGGACTGGGGACCGACCCCACAACCTTTTGGTGCACTGGGCGATGCTCCAACCAACTGAGCTCCTGGCCAGGGCATATAAACGTTTGGCTTAGCTCATCAAGTCCCCAAACCTGCTGGGATATTGAACAGAAATCCATGGAAATTGTAGAACAATTTGGAAAGAATTGATATTATCATACAGAGCCTTCCAACCCATGGATGTCCTTCTTCCATTTACTGCCAATTTCTTTGATGTTATTTACAAACTTGTAAATCTCCAGGGAGAGACCTTGTATGTGATTTTAGACTTATTCTCAGGAGTCTGGCATATATGTAAAACTTTCCCCCTGGGCCGTAGACTTGATTCCGTCACTTCTAATGGTGTTCACGTACTTCCAGCCCCTAGGACATCGGAAGTTCATTTAACCAAGCAGTGTGAAATGCGGAACGCCCCCCGTAGGTCAGACTGCAGAGAGGGAAAGCAGATGGGGGTTGCCAGGGACCGGGGGAGGGGGAAGCGAGTGTTTAATGGGGATCAGGTATCTGTTAGGGATGATGGTTGCACAGCACTCCGGAAGTTTCCAATGTCACTGAACGGTGCTCTTTAAAACAGTTAAAAAATTGTATGTGTTCTTTAACATAATAAACATACGATAGACTGAAGACCATTTAAAGTTTTCTTTGTCTCCAATGGTATCTGATCTAGGGAGTAGAAATAACCCCGTGGGTGAAGATACATTCTCGGGTACTTTTTACAGAGTGCCCACAAGTGTGAAGAATAGATAACCGGAAGCCAGGGGAGACAGAAGAGGTCTTGGAGGTGAGAAAAGTCAGGTGGGGCCTTGGCCAGGTACCTCGGTTGGGTAGAGCATCATCCTGATACGCCAAGGTTGTGGGTTTGATCCCTGGTCAGGACACCTACAAGAATCAATCAATAAATGCATACATAAGTGGGACAACAAGTCAATGTTTCTCTTCTCTCTCTCTCTCTCCGCCCCCCCCTCCTTACTCTCTTTAAAAGCGAGAATAAAAAAAAAAAAAAAGAACCCAGGTGGGTAAACACTGTCTTACAGTCATGTGTTTGATGTGTGGTACAGGACAAGATACTTTGTTTCTTCCTGGTATGACTCATTTTCCAGGTAAGTGTAATCAGGGGCCCTCCAACCTTCTCCTGTTGCATGTCATTCCAGGTGAAATGGAGAGAGAGAGAAACACAGTGGACAAAGTTTATTCTATCTGGAAGCATACATTTTGGCATGGAGAGAGCGATGACTTTCACTATAAAATCACCCAGGGAAGGCAAAGCCTCACGTCGCTCTCGAATCCCAAAACCCCCGCGCAGCTACGACCACTGACCCTGGTGCTGCACGGCCCCGCGGGAGTGGGCAAAACCACGCTGGCCAAGAAGTGGATGCTCGAGTGGAGGCAGGACAGCCTCTCCAAGACGCCGCAGTCCGCCTTCTACCTCAGCTGCAAGGAGCTCACCCGCCAGGGGACGTGCACTTTCGCGGAGCTGATAGCCAAGAGCAGGCCCGAGGTGCGGGAAGCCGAGGTCCTGGCCCAAGCGCAGAACGTCCTGTTCGTCGTCGACGGTTTCGAGGAGCTGCGGGTCCCCTCGGGGTCGCTCATCCACGACATCTGTGGCGACTGGAAGAAGCAGAAGCCGGTGCCCGTGCTGCTGGGCAGCTTGCTGAAGAGAAAGCTGCTGCCCAAGGCCACCTTGCTGGTCACCACGCGGCCGGGCGCGCTGAGGGAGCTGCGGCTCCTGGCTGAGCAGCCGGTCCTCCTCGAGGTGGAGGGGCTCTCGGAGCTGGGCCGGCGGCAGTATTTCCTGAAGCACTTCGGGGCGGGGGCGCAGGCCCTGCGCGCCTTCGAGGCCATGAGGAGCAGCCCGGCCCTGTTCCGCCTGGGCTCGGCGCCCGCCGTGTGCTGGGCCGTGTGCACGTGCCTGCGGCGGCAGCTGGAGCAGGGCGAGGACCCGGCCGCCGCCTGCCGCACCGGCACGGCGCTCTTCCTGCGCTTCCTGTGCGGCCAGGTCGCGCCCGCGGCCGCCCGCGGGCCCCTGCCGGCCGCGCTGAGGGCCGCCAGCGCCCTGGCTGCCGCGGGCCTGCGGGCGCAGACGTCCGCGCTGCAGGCGGGAGACCTGGAGAGGCTCGGCCTCAAGGGCTCCGCGCTCCGGCCTTTCCTGGACAAGGGCATCGTGCAGGAGGACGCGGACTGCGAGGGCTGCTACGCCTTCGTGCACCTGAGCGTCCAGCAGTTCCTGGCCGCCGTGTTCTACGTCCTGGACGGCGAGGGCCGGGAGGACGCGGGCCGCCGCGCGCCGGACCTCGGCGACCTGCGGGCGCTGCTCTCCAGGGAAGCAAGACTGAGGAACCCCGACCTGACGGCCGTGGGCTACTTCTTGTTCGGCCTCTGCAACGAGCGGAGGGCCAGGGAGCTGGAGGCGACCTTCGGCTGCCGCGTGTCCGCGCGGGTCAAGCGGGAGCTCCTGGCGTCGCTGTCCGGCGCGGGGGCGCCCTTCTCCTGGACCGCGGACCTGCGGGAGGTGCTGCACTGTCTCTACGAATCTCAGGAGGGGTCCCTCGTGGAGGAGGCCACAGCCCACGTCAGGGAACTGTCCCTGCATCTGCGAAACGAAGTGGACCTTGCGCACTCCTCATTCTGTCTCCAGCATTGTCAGCACTTGCAGAAGGTTTCCCTGCAGGTGGCCAAGGGGGTATTCGTGGAGAGCGGCCGCGCCTCAGGGTCAGGCTCGTGGGTGGAGAGGTAAGGACTCTCCTTTCTTAGCCGACTACCTTTCCACCTTTAGCTTCACCCACGCTCCGTTGGAGGGGACAGTGGCCTGCTCCGTGTGTGGTTTAAGGTCGGTTTTTAATTCGTGCTGGAATTTCTTCTCTCCAGCGCACGGTTCAAGACAGATACCATGATGTTCCGACTAGGAACGGGGGCCTTGAGACCTTTAATTTTTTTGTCAAGTATATTGCAGTAACATTGAATGATAACATTATATAAACTTCAGGGGTACACCTTTAGAATATGACATGCGTAGACACCCTCCGAAATCAACCTCCTTTTGTTTTAGTGATATAATTTTCATGTGGGGAATGGGTTTAGGAAGTCTGTAGACACACTCAAGATTTCATGTGTTCCCTCCCTACCCATGGTTATTTAAAAAAAAAAAAAAATCCTCATCTGAGGATATGTTTATGGGTTTTTAGAGAGAGGGGAAGGGAAGGAGAGAAACATCACTATGAGAAGGAAACATGGATCGGTTGCCTCTCATATGTGCCCCGACTGGAACCGAGCCCGAAACCCAGGCCTGGGCCCTGACTGGGAATTGAGCCAGTGACCTTTCACTTTGCAGGACAAACCCAACCCACTGAGCCACGCGGGTCCGGGCTCTACCGTTAACGTTTTGAGGAACCTCCGTTCTGTTTTCCACGGTGGCTGCACCGATTTACCTTCTTGTCAACAGTGCACGAGGGTTCCCTTTTTCTCCACCTTCTCACCAATGCGTGTTGTCTCTTGTTGTTTGATAGTGGCTATTTTAACGCCTGTGAGGTGAGATTCCCTCATGGCCCGGACTTGTATTTCCTAGATAACTAGTAATGTTGGCCGCCTTCTCATGGATTTGTTGGCCCCCTGGATGTCATCTTTAAAAAAATGTTTATGCAGGTCCTCTGCCCATTTTACAACGGGCTGTGTTCCTATTGAGCTGTACGAGTTCTTTATGTATTTTACGTATCAGCCTCTTTGTAGATGTATGATCTGTGACTGTTTCCTCCCCTTCTGTGGGTTGCTTTTTCATGTTGTTGATGTTTCCTTTGCAGGACAACCTACTGACTTGTAGTACTTTTCCCCTGTGTACTTTTTCAAAAAAAATTGAATCGATTGGGGTGACATTGGTTCACTAAACCATCCAGGGTTTCAAGGGTACAACTCAAAACATCGTCTGCACACTGCGTCCTGGGCTTATCGCCCCAAGCAAGTGTCTTTCTGTCCCTGTTTCTGCACCTTTGCCCCACCCCCTCCACCCCCTTTCCCTCTGGCCATCACCACACTGTTGTCTGTATCCATGGGTTATGTATTTGTTTTTTTTTTTGTTTTGTTTTGTTTTTGCTGACTCATCTTTCATCCAGTCCACCGCCCCCTGCCATCTTCCGGCTGTCAGTCTCTTCCGCATATTCCTGCCTCGGTTCTGTTCATTAGATTCTGTGGAGAAAACAGGAGCCCTTTTGTGCTGTTGGTAGGAATCAGACTGTGCAGCCACTGTGGACGGCAGGACGGAGTTTCCTCAGAACATTAAAAATGGAACCGCCTTCTGACTCAGTGATCCCACGTCTGAGAATGTACCCTAAGAAACCCAAAACACCAATCAGAAAGGACATAGGTACCCTTTTGTGCAGAGCAACATTGTTGACAATCACCAAGGTTTGGAAACAGCCCAAGAGCTCATCAGCAGACGAGTGGATGTAAAAGCTGTGGTACGTTCACACAGTGGAATACTACGCAGCCATAAAAGGAGGAACTCTAGCCTTTTGCAACAGCATGGATGGACCTGAAGGATATTATGCTCAATGAAATGAGCCTGTCAGAGACAGACAAATACCGTATGATCACCTGCATATGGGGAGTCCCACGTGTAGTTCTAACAGGTGCTCTTTTGGGCCCCTTCCTTGCAGGTGGCAGCACGACCACCATGCTCTTCATCTCTGGGCTGGTCTCTGCTCCGTGTTCAGTTCCAACAAGAGCCTCAGCTCCCTGGACGTGAGTCAAAGCTTCCTGAGCCCCTCCTCCGTGAGGATTCTTTGTGAGCAGATAACCCGTACTTCCTGTCATCTCCAGAAGGTGGTGTAAGTAGAAGCTTACCTTACAAAGGCTCTTTCCAGGTGCTGTTTTTTTTAAATCCTCACTTGAGGATATGTTTATTGATTTGAGAGAGAGAGAGAGAGAGAGAGAGAGAGAGAGAGAGAGAGAGAGGAAGGGGGGGAGAAACATTGAAAACATTGATGTGAGAGAGAACATCAATGGGTTATCTCCCCTATGTGCCCTGGCTGGGGATTGAACCTGCAACCTTTTGGTGTATAGGATGCTGCTGCATCCAACTGAGCCACCCGGCCAGGGCTGCCCCCAAGTGTTTTGAATGGGAGTAATATTTTATTACCTGACCAGGCTCTGACCAGCCAGGTGCTCAAGATACAAAGAAATGAAATTGTTCCTATTCTTCAAAGTGTCCAACGGGAGAATAATATGTCACATTGAGTCATTTTTATGAATTCTGGCCAAGAGTTTGGGTGTTTGCAAACATCCACAGTGGGTGCGTTTGAACGGTGCGACACTAAGTCATTTTCATGATACTTGGCCAAGGACTTGGGTCCTTCCATACGCCCCCTATGAAGCATGCTTGAAACTCGGCCCATGGGAAACGGAGGTGCATGCATGTCAGAAGTAGACCTGGGTGGGTTCTGGGAAATATTCTAGGGAGAAACGATTCCAATGCATGAGTAAGAATTTGTTGCTGACAACAGAAGCAGACTCATAGATACAGGGAACAGACTGATGGCCGCCAGATGGGAGGGGGCGGGGAGGGCTGGTGAAAAAGGTGACGGGCTCGGCAGTATAGGTTGGTAGTTACAGAATAATCACAGGGACGTAAAGGGCAGCATAGGGAATAGTCAGTAATGTTGGAATAACTCTGTAGGGTGTCAAGCGGATACTAGACTTATTGGGGGAAACCACTTCATAAATCATTTATAAATCATAGTCTAATCACTATGTTGTGCCCCTGAAACCAATATACTACTGAATGTCATCTGTAATTGAAAAATTAAAAAAATAAGCAGGAAAAAAAGAAGAAAGTGAGAAAAGAGAATGCACTGGTGAGGCAATGACGAACTTAGAACTCGTGTGTGGCCTGGGATTGAGAAGTGCGTGTGAGGAAGGTAGGCTGTAGCAGATGTGAATCGTCATGTGGGCCACCTGGGCAGGTGACTAGGAGGACATCCTTTTCAACCACCACAGGTTCAAGGGATACCCTTTCTCAGTTGCTAAAACTTTCCCCTACACCAACGTGCCTTAGAAGCCTTCATGAAGTCACTGAAAGTGTAACAATAGCTGTGTCCCACAACAATGGATTGTACCTGCTAATGTCAGGTGACAGGTAGCAACAAAATCTGAAAGAGACTGCTGCCAGCAAACATGTCAACTTGTTCTGTATGGCCATCCAAGGCTTACATTGCCCTGGTTTATAAGGCATTACAGAAAACAAGGCTTAGAAGATCCTTCTGGGTCTGGCTGGGCAGCTCAGTTGGGTAGAACATCATCTCAATACGCCAAAGTTGCAGGTTCAGTTTCCAGTCAGGGCACCTACAAGAATCAGCCAATGAATGCATCAATAAGAGGAACAACAAATCAATGTCTGTCTGTCTCTCCCTCTCTAAAAAATCAAATTCAAAAAAGAGGACACTTGGAATGTGTGTCATTAAGTGTTGAGGACAATTTAAGGAGGGGCTCTGGGCAGGTGGTGTCTCCCTCATTCTGCCTCTCTCTGTGCTGACAATTTAATTTCGAAGCTTCTTTCGGATGAGCCACAGGGACTATTCCTTCCCTAAAAACGAAGGGTTGAGAATTGTAAGACCAGTTGTGGGTTTCAGGAGAGAAGTATTGCGCAAATGGAGGGTGGACTGCCTGGCGTGGAGGTACTGCCTAAAAACTGGTTCCAAAATCTCTAAAAATAAAGTGGACATGAAGACCTGAAAGAAGAGCGTTGTAGAAGGGGCAGTGATGGGGGCGTGGATTGTATCTCGGATCAGGGTGGATTCAGCGTGTTTTAAAAAGAGGCCCTAGAAAGGTCCTTTCCTTGGTTACTGTGTACCCGGGATAATTCCCGAGCCTGTGTCTCCGTTATTGTATAAGACGAGGCTGATGGACACTTATATGGAAGGTAACATCCCCCAGGTGCTAGGAAATTCTTATTTTCTCCTTGTCAACACTTCATTTCTTTAAAATTAAATGTATTGGGGTGGCATTGGTTAATAAGATTATATAAATTTCTAGTGTACACTATTTTAAATGCTGAGTTTTCTTTTTTTTTTTTTTTGGTCTCTGCTTTGTTCATTTATTTTGTCTTTTAGAGCCCACATATAAGTGAAATCATATGGTATTTGTCTTTCTCTGCCTGACTTACTTCCCTTAGCATAATACCCTCTAGGTCTGCCCATCTGTCGCAAATGGTAAGATTTCATGATTTTTTTTTTATGGCTGAGTAATATTCCATTATATATGTATGACATCTTCTTTACCCACTCATCTGTCAAAGGACACTTGGGTCTTGCTTTCTTATCCATTCGGTTACCCCATGTCTTTTGATCGGAGCATTTAATCCATTTACAGTCCCAGTAATTATGGATAGGCGTGTAGTTTTTTGCCAATCTTGAAGCCCAGAGTTTGACTAGAGAAAAGCCACGTTATACATGGTTTAGAATTTATTTTAATCCCGTTTAAAATTCCGCAATCATGCTAGCTGGCAAGGAAATAAAAACACCGCCTGGTCGATACCATCAAGGAGTCTGCGATTTATCTGCTAGCTTAGAATCCAGACCTTAACTGTAGCCGACATCAGCAGAGCTTTGTAGAAAGAGAGAGACTGCGCGGCGGGGGTATAGGGAGAAGTGATTTGTTGATACTAGAAAAAGCTATTCGGCACTGAAGGAGACGTTTGTGAGCTGAATGTGGAAGGAAGTGATGTAATACAAAACACATTTCATCTGGGGAAAAGCATGAGCACAGACAAGGGTGTGCGAACCCCCTCCTCACCGGCCCCCTCGGCCCCCCAGTACCACGTACTTCTTTGATTCATAGCCCTCGTCTCTCTTCCATCTGTCAGTCCATTGTCTTGTCCTTCAGGTCAGTAGAGGAGACCGCCCTCCCCATTTTCATCCTGACTGGCCACGTCTCATCTCACCAGGCGTCCAGGGCCCCAGCCCCTTCGGCGCCCAAGGTGGGATCCCTCCCTCCTTCCCTGTTTCCTAGGATTAAGAACGTCTCCCCCGTGGATGCGTATCGGGACTTCTGTCTGGCCTTCATTGGTAAGAAGACCCTGACCCACCTGACCCTGGAAGGCGGTGCCCACGGTGACACAATGCTCCTCTTGCTGTTGTGTGAGGCCCTGAAGCACAGGACATGCAACCTGCAGTATCTCAGGTAGAGTTCATGTCACTGCTGTGCCCTGGGTGGGCAACGCACAGTCGGCACCGCTCTGAACTGAAGTTGCATCCTGCCACATGGGGGAGCGTGTTCTGCAGTGGAACCGGGACGCGGTTTCTGCCTCCATGCGCTCTCCAGCCAGCTTGTCTGCTGCGTGGAATCACGAGTCCTGAATGCGGAGAAACACCCAGGATTTTGTGTCAGCCTCGAGGGTAGGGATGTGGTATTTCGGGAGGCAGGTTGCCTTTGTGCTGTGATTCAGAGCAGCCGTTGACCTAAAGTGGCCACTCAGGGACCCCGTAGAGCATCGAGGGTCCTGGTTCCTGGTGGCTCCCTGGTTTGAGATGCTCCCTGGTTTGAGGTACTCCCGCTGTCTCAGTGAATGCTCATAACAAATGCTCTGACCCCCCTCCGCCCCCCGGCCCCGCCACTGGCTCAGCTGCGTAGCAACCTGAGGTGCTCGCTGGCAGCGTGGGGTTTTGAATTTGGAAATGGACTCAAATCCTTGCTCGGATATGTATGATCTATATGATCTCTTTTTTCCATCAAGTGGGATTTTGAGAATTGAATGTTGTGTGAGATGTGAACTGCTTTGGGTAGGGAGCCACCAGTCCCTACCCAAAAAGTCCCTGTGTAAGGCACAAATGGTAGCTCTTACTGTTATTGATAACTTATGATGGTGCTCTTTTCATTTAATTGGAAAAACGGCTGATAAATGATGTGTCTAAAAGATACTTCAAAATAGCAAATGGCTGATACAGAATCTTCAATTTATGTTCACATAATTTGACACATTTTAAATTCCACCTTGTACTCCAACTATGTACATAAATGCATAAAGTACTTACTATAGGTTAAGCTCCAAGGGAAAAAAGGTACTAATTTGAGCACTCCAATTTTACCTGTGACATACATTCTACTGGATGCAGGATATAGAGGGAATCTATTCTTCATTTGCTTGACATAGAGGTATCATTGCTCCCCAAAGTACAACTGGGGGAAATAGGACAAAGTTTAAATAACTTGCAAAGATTTTGAACATGGTAAGAGGCAGAACCATGATCAGACAATAAGCTTGTCCTCAAGTCCAAAACTCTGATCTCTGTCGGTAAGAGTAGCCGGGTTTCAGAGCCTAACAGAATGGATTAACGGATTGTCTCAATGGCCTCCAAAAGAGCGGTGTCCCATTCGTGTCCTGTCCACAGAAGGAGTTCCCAATTCTCCTTATCCTTGCAACACATAAACGCAAGGACTTTTGGACCTGGCTGCCTAGGGGTCAAACTGTAGCTCCTTTTTTAAAATTCTCACCTGAGGATTTGTAAACATCAATGCGAGAGAGAAACATTGGTTGCCTCTCATACACACCTGGGGTGGGGATTGAACCCGCAACCCATGTATATGCCCGAACCGGGAATGGAACCTGCCACTTTTTGGCACACAGGACAACACTCCAACCAACTGAGTCACCCAGTCAGGGCTGGATCTCCTTGTTTAAATTTGCGTATTCCCTAATAACTTATGAAATTGCATTTTTTTGAGTATCAGGCATCAGTTTCCCTCAATAGAATCTTGTATCTAGACCTACGTGAGATTAGGACAGTCTCAGGCAGGGGATGTGATCATATTAAAAAATGAGACATGAAAAAGAGCAGGTGCCATGGCTGGGTGACTCGGTTGGAGTGTCATCCTATACACCAAAAGGTTGCAGGTTCAATTCCTGATCAGGGCACGTACCTAGGTGTGGTTTTGATCTTGGGTCAGGGCGCGAATGGGAGGCAACGAAGTGATGCTTCTCTCTCACTTCAATGTTTCTCTTTCTCTTCCTCTATCTCTAAAATCAATACAAAAAATACTTATCCTCAGGTGAGGATTAACAAATAAAAAATGTTGTTGAAACTTCACACCGAACCCTATTACAGATTTGAGACGAGGTTGGATGTTGATCGAATGGCTCTGGGGATACTTGAAGGTGCAAAGGAGATCAACTGTCTCCAACAATTCAGGTGGGGGTTGCATACCTATTGGAGTAGAACGCAATGAAGATCAAGGATACACTCTTCAGGGAAGTGTCATAAGCTGATAGGGTCTCCCTGTCCTCCCAGGAGAGTGACTGGCTCCCACGTATCCCACAGGTTGGGGTCTTGTTCTGACATCCTTCCGCAGTGGGATGATTTCTCCTTGGCTCTCAAAGTCAACCAGTCCCTGCAGTTTCTGGACCTCACCGCCAGTGAGCTCTGGGATGAGGGTGTCAAGTTGCTGTGTGACACGCTGAGACATCCGAAGTGTTTCCTGCAGAAGTTGTCGTAAGTCTCTCTTCCGTGGACCATCTCCATCTTCATTCGGGGTCCCACCGAGAACTGTGGCGATAGCAGGTTGTCAGGGAAACCTGTGAAGGGCCTCCTACTGAGGCAGACGACAACCTCTGGTTTCCATTTTCGGTCGAGGTAGATGAAGCATAGCTTTTGCTTGCCCTTCTCTCATTGCTGGTCCTTCACGCTGCAAGATAAGGCGGGCGGGGAGTTAACAAGAAGAGCTGTCAGTTGAGGAGGTTGGACTTTGGAGTGTTCTCACCATCCTTCCCTGGGTGTGATGTCTTTGCAGGTTGGAAAACTGTCACCTTACGGGAGCCTGTTGCAAGGAGCTCTCTTCTGCTCTGATTGTCAACCAGAGGCTGACACAGCTGTGCTTGGCCAAGAACAACCTTGGGGATGGTGGGGTGCAGCTGCTGTGCGAGGGCTTGAGTTACCCCGACTGTCAGCTGCAGACCCTGGTGTGAGTCCCCGTGGGCTGTGTGCGTGTGCGTGTGCGTGTGCGTGTGTCTGTGTGTGTGTATTCATAATAAAAGGTGGCAGTTAAAGGCCAGGCCCCCCCCCCCAACCACCTGGGCAGGTGGACATAATGTAACCATCCTTCCATGTGTGTGTATGTATAAGCCTGTCTGAGAGTGGGTGGGTCAAGGGAGAAGCTACGTGGTATGGGGAGTAGCAGCCACTTCACCAGGGATGTGTCACAGGTGGATACCAGGCTTCTCTTCCCACGACTGTCTTGGTAGGTTGTACCAGTGCAGCATAACCAGACGTGGCTGCAAACACATCGCAAAGCTTCTCCAGGGAGGCTCCAGCTTGACGCACTTGGACCTGGGTCTCAATCCCATCGCTACAGGATTGTGGTTTCTCTGTGAGGCTTTGAAGAAGCCAGATTGCAACCTAAAATGCCTGGGGTAGGTACTTTTAAAACTCCTTTTAAAAGTGTTTTGGAGTCCTGGCTGGTGTGGCTCAGGGGATTGCATACCAGCCTGCAAACCAAAAGGTTGCAGGTTTGATCCCCAGTTGGAGCACGTATGGAGGGCAACTGGTTGATGTTTATCTCTCACATCAATTCTGCTTACCTGTCTCTCTCCCTTCCTTCTTCTCTCTCTAAAAGCAATAAACATATCCATGAGTAAGGATTTAAAATTTTTTTTCCCCGGACTTCTTCACTCCTAGGTCCCCAGCAAGTCAGGGCGTGGCTGACACCTGGTAGGTTCTGCAGAAGGATTTGTTCGGCCGGTGATTTGGCACCTGTTCTCTTTCTCAACAGGCTCTGTGGCTGTTCCATCGCGCCTTTCTGTTGTCAGACCCTTGCCTCTGCTCTTGCCAGCAACCAGAAGCTGGAGGCCCTGGACCTGGACCAGAACTCGCTGGGGCCGAGTGGAATCACGGTGCTCTTGGAAGCCTTGCAACAAAGTCGCAGTCCCTTGAAGACCCTCAGGCTGAAGATGGATGAATCCAGCGGGGAGATCCAGGAGCTGCTGCAGGCACTGAAAGACAGCAACCCCACGCTGAGGGTCGACTGTCAGAATGCCAAGGCGGCCAGATCCTCGTATGACAACTTCCTTTTCTGGACACCCTGAGATAAGGCCCTTGTCAGTTACCTGTCTCTCCCACATCTCACTGATAAAGACCAAACAGTCACATATTAATTACTGGGTCAAAAGAGAGAACTGAGCACTGGCGTACGCTTGTCTGGTTTACGGCAGATTCTGCACCAGTCACATCCCCACTTTATGTCAAATGTCTGTTTTCTTTCACGAGGATACAGGGTAATAAAAAGCAAAGCATTATGTCTGGCGCTGCATTTCTTCGTAGGCCCCAAGTTTATCGATGATTGTTGATTTTTGCCCCCTGGCGTTCTTGCCCTACCTCAGGCATTTCCTGGCCTAACTTAATGGCGGCCCCAGGAAGCTAGGGGATCAGTGTGGTTTGTGGTTTTCTTATCCGTTTTACGATATTCTAATGCAAGACTTGGTAAGCTCCCCCCTCAACTGGTCTTTATTTATTATTTTTTAATTTATTTTTTTCTTATTTTTGACACTGTTCCAGATGTCCCCATTCCCACTGCCCCCACCTTTGGCCATCTTCCCCCTGCCCTTGCCCCTCCCCTGTGCCTCCGGCCAGCACCACACGGTTGTCCGTGTCTGTGGGTCATGCGTGTACGTTCTTTGGCTGGTCCCTTCCCCTTCTCTCATCCAGACCCCCCTCCCCCTCCCCCCGACAGCTGTCTGTTCCATGTGTCCATGCCTCTTTCTGTATGATTCGTCAGTTAATTTTCTTCATTAGATTCCACACAGAAGTGAGATCCCATGGTATTTGTCTTCCATTGACTGGCTTGTTTCACTTAGCGTAACAGTCTCCAGGTAGGAGGGAGAAGGGAGATAAATGATGATGGAAGGAGACCTGACCTGGGATGGGAGACACTTTTTTTAATGTGGCAAAATACACAGAACATCAAAGTACTGTTTTAATCATTGCAAAGTGTACAATTTACCCGGGCTGATGTGGCTCGGGGGATTGAATGCCAACCTGCGAACCAAAGGGCTGCTGGTTCAATTCCTGGTCAGGACACACGCCTGGGTTGTGGGCCAGGTCCCTGGGGGGGGGGGTGGACGTGTGAGAGGCAACCACACATTGATGTTTGTCTCCCTGTCTTTCTCCCTCCTTTCCCCTCTAAAAATAAATAAAATCTAAAAAAGTGTACAACTCAGCAGCATGTCGAATATTCACAATGTTGTGCAACCATCACCCCTGTCTAGTTTCCAGAACATTTTCACCACCCTCCCTTCCCCCACCCCCCAAAAAAAGAAACCCTCTGCCCATTAAGCAATCACTCGGCAGTCCCCCCTCCGCCCACCCCTGCAAACCACATCGGCTTCCTTACCTTGACCGTTTTGGATTTTGCCGTTGACAACCGATTGTGCTACTAGATTTTAGCGCACAGAGACCACGGCTCGGCTCTCCACCCCACAACACGCGCGACAGCGGCCGCAGCGCAGGCTCATTCCGAAACCGGAGGTCACCGCTCAGCCAAAAAACAAGAGGCAGGGATTGGATTGCACGTGCGCCTCCGTTACTCTCAGACGCCGGCGACCCGAGAAGCGGGGCGGGGGTAAGAGGCCCGACACCCCGCTTCCCTCAGGCTTGTCAGGAACAAGCTCCTACAGGGGACGCGCCGGAAGGGAGGACGGGAAGGGGGTGCGGGGCGGGGGCAGGTTCTGATGATGCGTGGTCTTTGGAGTCTGAGTCCTTCTGGGGGCATCTTTACGGCTGGTTCCTGGAACAGGATGGCCCGCCGTCTCTGATAAGGACCTCAAAGCCAGGGAAGTGGCGGTGTTTGTTTCTGGGTGTTTCTGCGACGCCATCGGTCAGCCTCCGCATTCCTGGTGGCCAGGGCCGGGCTCAAGGTCCCTTTGTTTTGTCCCGGTCCACGGTTCCCTGCACCAGACTCTCTGCCACACCACAGGCGCAAACGCACGCACTGGATTAACGGGTGGCCTCGCGCGTTAATAACCCTCTCCGGCTCTCCTGGAGCGAAAGCGCCGCTGGCCCGCCCAAGTATTTTCCGCTCGCTTCCCCCCATCGATTCCATCCTTGCCAGGGTGGAAACCCCACGGCTGCGAGCAGGCGCGGCTTCCAGTCCGGTGGGATGTCCTCAGGGTCCTCGCCTCCCTGGGGCTCCCTCTGCGCAGCTGCAGACAGGGGAGAAGAGGTTCTTCTTCCTTCTCTCTGGACAGCAGGGTGAACAACCGCAGCCTCCCCAGTCAGGGAGGCCCGCGCCCCACAGCCTGTAGCTCCGCCTGCCCTCCCGGCGCGCAGGCCTCCGGCGCTCAGCTCCGCGGCAGCGGCCGGTCCGCCCCGCGACGCCTCCACCCCGCCGAGCCTGGCGCGCCGCAGGGCACCTGCAGGCGCGCGCGAGGCCCAGGAAGGAGGGAGGCTCTGGATTTTGGGCGGATCCCTCTGGATTTGGAGATCGGGCGGAGGGGAAGGGAGGCCGTCTCCCAACCTCTTCGTTATTGAACACTCCTCTTCAGTACCAGCCGGTGGTGGAGGCAGCTGTGGGGCCCTAAGCTCACGTGTCTGAAAGTCTCAGGACGGAGAACCGCACGTGGAGCTGAATCCGGGGAGATTCAGGGCGAGAGGGTTCTTCCCGGGAATACTGGCCGTTCGCTTCCAGCTCGCCCCGATTCCAGATTCCCAACGAGAGGTCCGGTCGGTGGGGACACCCGTGTCACATCTGGGTCCTTCGGGAACAGAACGTTCCATCATAGACCCGGTCGGGGGAGTGTGTGTGTGGCGAGCCAGAGGTGGGACAGTCCATGGTAGACCAACGGGGGTGGGAGACACGAGGTGGAACATTCCATCAGGACAAAGTGGGGACCAGTAGATTCTGTGCTCAACCTCCCATCCCGCCTTTCAGGCTGTCGGGGTCTCGCTCAGCGCTTGCCTGGATACTGCTCTGGAACCCAGGCCAGCCTCTTGGGTTTCTGTCTAGCCCAGTGGTTCTCAACTGGCGGGGGTAGGGGGGTTCCTATCTCTCCCCGCACTCCTCAACTCAATGTCTAGAGACATCTTTCTTTGGCACAACTGGGAGAGCGCCCCCTACTGGCATCTGATGGGTAGAGGACAGGGATGCTGCTGCTAAACATCCCACAGTGCACACAGTACAGCCCCTCCCCCCTTCAGCAAAGAACTACCTGCCCCAGATTTCGACAGTGCTGACTGAGGTCGGGAGACCCTGGCTTAGATGATTCTTTGCCAGAAACGAATAACCACCTTCCACGGCTCCATCCAGGGAAAAGCAGGGTTGCCAGTCCAGGGCAATTCTGCAAACGCAGCTGAGCGCGAGACACCCCGGCTTTTTAGAGAGCTCTCCACTAGGTTCCACGCCCAGGAGAAGCAGTAGCCGGACAAGACAGACGGATTGAGGTGTTCGACAAACAAAACATTTTCAACACAAAGGCCTGGCCCTGCTGACCTCTCCACTCACCTCTCCCGGGCGCTTCTCCCGAGCCCCCTCTGCACCCGCGCCAGCCACACGGGGCCTCCTGCCCTTCCCTCAAGGCCGCACCCACCGCAGGCGCTGCGCCCGCTGTCCTCTGCCTGGGGGTGGGTGTTCTGGCGGCTGCAGCTGCTTCACATGCCACCCCTTCCTAGCACAGCCGCGACTTCCTCACCCAGTGGCTCCCACACGCAGGCCCCTCCCCTGCCACGGTTTCTGCCACCCTAAGCCCGGGTTCATGTCTTCCTAAGCCCATGGTTATCTGGCGCTGATTTTTGTCCCCAAGGGGACACTTGGAAATGTCCAGAGATATTTTTGGTTGTCACGGTTGGGGGTGCTGCTCCTGGTGTGTAGTGGGCAGAAGCCACAGAAGCTGCTTGACATCAGACAATGCCCAGGAAGGTCATTGCTGTGGACTGAATTGTGTCTGTTCCCACAACCCCAAACGCGTAGGTTGAAGCCCGTGCCCCCACCGTGACTATAATGGGAGATAAGACTTTTAGGGCATAAAACGAGGTTATAAGAGGAGGTTAGACAAGGTCATAAAGGTGGGGTCCTAATTTGGCAGGATTGGTGGCCTTATAAAAGAAGCAGCATCCTGGCTGGGTTACTCAGTGGGTTGGAGCATTGTCTTGTGCACCAAAAGGTTGCAGGTTCGAACACCCCAGTCAGGGCACATGTGTGGGTTTGGGGTTCAATCCCCAGTCAGGGCATGGAAGAGAGGCACCTGATTGATGTTTCTTTCCCTCTCTCTCCCCTCCTTTCTCCCTCCCTCCCCCTTCTTTCTCTCTAAAATCAGTAAACATACCCTCAGGTGAGGATTTAAAAAAAAAACAACAACACAAAGCAAGCGAAGTCGCTCTCCACCAACATGCATGGAAGAAAGACTATCTGTGAGTCAGGTTTAATATATGGACATATCTATGACAAGTACTGAAATCAAAAACTAAAAAAAAAATTAAAACAGAACATAGGAAAGTGAACTTACTGACTTGGGCTCCAAGGAAACTGGGAGGAGCTTTCTTACCAGGAACCAAATCAACCAGGACTTTGACCTTGGACTTCCCTGCCTCAGAGCAGTGAGAAAATAAATTTCTGTTGTTTTGGCCCCCATCTGTGGATTTTGTTATGGCCGCCTGAGCAGGCTAAGACAGGCCCCCACAGAACAGGGTTACCTGGCCCCAAATGACAGCAATGCTGGGGGTGGACACGCTGCTAATACGTTGATTCAGAAAAGTCTCAGACATGCATGTTCAAGTAGAGACGCCTGCCCGCATGAGGGTCTGATGTGTAGGTGAGCGACTGACTCCTCTTGGTTTTCTACATCAACCCTTATATTGTGCAACATGTTACATAACAATTACATTAGTTGTTAAGTTACATAAGCAACTTGTACCGTATAGACATAGATGCTACCTATGCCATAGCCAATCTAAAGAAAAAGATTAATGGGAAAGATGCGGACAATGTGTGTTAGGGTTTGCGACATATTTCAATTGAAGTACAGGATCATGGAAGTATTTACCAGTGACATCAGTCAAAATGCTATGAGTCGCAAGTGATACTTATGTGTATCGT